AGGTTGATCTCTTCCCGGATAGAGACTTGGTTATCTGATATAATGTCCTGGTGTCTCTTAAGCCTGCAGTTGCCGATTTGTCGTAGAATTGTCGTTTGTCTTTTCTAGCACTCTTCTTCACTTCTTTCTTCATTCGACGCAGTGCACATTGAACTTCTTCTCCTTCTGTTGTCCATCTTCGTATTGAGTCATCTTCTCTTTCGCCATACTCCTCTCCTCTCTCCTATTAGCACCCAGGTAGGTGTCCATTGAGAGACATTCCTTGTCTTGTCTCTTCCTTTATCCTAGAACAGGTGTACACGTTTCCTTAAATATCGCATTCACAGAGTTATTTCCAGTGTTCTTCCACACAGGTTTCCTCAGTCATGCCACATAGTGTGTCCGACTTTGCTCTGATATCTGTAGCGAAGCCATCCCTTGTAGTTTTGTCTTTCAGTTTCTGAATGTTGAACTTGAAATGTGGTCTATCTCCATTTGTTTTCATGAATTTCAGCTTCACCTTGAACTGGATGATGGTCTGAGCCCACATTTGCTCCCCTTCTCGACTTTTTATCCAGCAGAATGGCTGCGTCTCCACTTCCTTGAGCAGCATTGAAATGAAGTAAATCTGGTTTGTGGGATGCATCCATGTTGGTTATACAAATGTTCACATATGTAGTTAACTGTTTCTACTACAGGTACATTTGTGAATAAAGAAGTTTTGTCGAAAGATATCATAGTTTTATACATGATATTAATATCTTTGATATTATTATTGATTCGATGTTATTTAAACAGTATTAATGTTGTTGATAACACTAATTCATTCACTATAATGTCCATATAACTGTAGAGCCTGATGATGAAGTTATCGAAAAGAATATTCCTTGTTCAGTAACCATTCTCATGGAAAATATTCTCCTGTTCTAGTTCTTATCAATGTATTCGCACGACTTCATAAATTGCATTTTACAGCTTTACTCCATCCTGTTTTCAATACAATATTCTGCATATCCAGTAAAAGCTTTGCGTCCCTCCGATTGCAAGTATTTGGTGCTGAGTGGGCGAACAACAGGTCCTAGCAATAAAGGGAATGTTTCCCAAAATGTATCATTCAAGTGTAAGTTTCAGGTGTCAGGTATGTATTATACAGAGAGCGTTCATCAAGTATAAACTAAAATTAAACAATTAAACTGAATAATAAGAATTCAGAATTGAACTAAAATTGAAAAACAGTCAAGTTAAGCTCGCCTTCATTAGGAGTTGAAATGTATTACTGCGAAAGGAAAATAATAATTGGAAAACTGAAAAAATTAGAACTAACTAATATCACGTATCACAGCACACAGCATCAAATAAGATCAATGTGAATACGATCAGAGACTTGGCCCGTCATAAACCACTTCAAACAAACTACAGACCTTCAACAGTGTTTCTCAATACTCAAGATCAGATAAAAGAAATACTCTGAGGAAACCATCAAGTGACATCACTAGACAAGCCATTGCTCGAGTGGAACCCGAAAGGGAAGCGGCGAGTTGGTCGTCAGTGCTAGGGTGACTTGGAGGAGGTCATGTGAAGAGGAGATGAAAACGTGTGGACAGACTGGAGCCAGGTGAAACTCTAGCAGAACGAATGAGAGATGGCTGAACTGTTCCTCTAATAAAATAATAATAATCAGTAAAGATCAAATTGGCTTCATTCTAGGTTCAGTGACTGAACAAATTTCTGTATACATGAGTTCAGGATTTAACACGTGGATGGTCATTCTTTCTGAGGTTTGAAGAAGTTTGATTCACACTCATACAGCTAGATTTCCGCGTACACTGTAAGTTACACTGGAGACGATTTGTGTGATCGCTCAGTGTGAGGAGTCTATCAGGTGTGCCAGAACAAAGCTGTGGGGAATCTTTTCTCCTCTTTACATTACATGAGGAGAACTCCTCAATGGTGGTTTTCGAGTACCACCGACATGACTACTTGGGGATTATCAAGTATTGATTTTGTATTGATTTTGTTTGATTGCATGGAGGATTTCATCATGAGCTGACATCAGTTAGAGAACCACTGGAAAATCTGGGAGTACTAGACAGCTGTTTCGTCCTAGTTTGGGACTCCTCACAGTACGCACCCACCACCAAGGTTCGAACCCAGAACCTTCTGGTTACAAGGCTAGCGAGCTCGGAGACCATTGAGCCACTGGGACCTGATCCAATGGCCCTTGAATTCTAACTTCTGCCAATTCACGACATTGCGGGACTATTTCGCAATGTCTTCCGATGAGTTACTGCCTGATCAATTACAATCAGATGAGAAATTAAGACGAGTGTTTTTATAGTCAAAATAAGTAACTTGTTAGAATGTTATGATGTGCTTGAATTGTAAAAGAATTTGGAGATCATTTATTATCCTCTTCTGATTTGACTGGTGGTAATAATATCTTCCATGCATATCTCTGGTATTTGCATTGAGTCATTTCTGTTGCATGTGTTGGGTGTAGACTCAATGAACCAGGATTCAGTAATCAATTTCTCTCTCTCTCTCTCCACCTACATAGATTGCTTCTTAAAATTTTAACCCTTTCCCAACCTATTATGTGATTGTGTGTTAATGCATACAGTGCAATATAGTGCTGAGCTTTTTTCTAAATTACTCATCTTCTCGGGGTCAAGTCAACCATTCCTACCATAGCTAAATTCTTATGTTCCGACAATCTGATTACCCCCGATCTACTAGTTTGACCTGTGTAGTTGACCTCACCCACAGTTATTGCAGGGTATTTTGTAAATTATATTATTTTGTTTAATTGTGTCCAGCGGGTCTTTTAGCCTACAGAGCTAGTCTCCGAGTGGATTTGTAGGTTTGAATGCCACCACTCTATTTCCTGCTTTATTGAGAATCCTACTACGTAGGGTCTCAGATGTCCCCTCCTTATATTGTAAAACTACTACTATAGATGCCTTATATTCTCTCTTATTTATGTTATCATCATTAGTTTCACCATTATTTTTGTTTTGCTTTTGGCCTTTTTCGATCTTCTTAATGAATTTTATGGGATAATTAAATAACACCAACGCCTCTTCTATCTGTTTTATTTCATCATTTAGGTTTTTTCTTGTGCTACTTAGTGCTATTGCTCGGTTTGTTAGGCACTTAACTAAGCCTGCCATAACAGTTAATGGATGAGATGAATTAAAGTCTAAGAAGTAATCTATGTAGGTGGAGAGAGGAGGAGAGTAATTACTGAATCCTGTCTGGTTCATTGAGCCTACATCCAACACATGCAACAGAATTGACTCAATGCAAATACCAGAAATATGGAAGATATTATTCCCACCAGTCAGTCAAATCAGAAGAGAATAATAAATAATCTCCAAACTCTATTTCAATTCAAGCACATCACAACATTCTAACAAGTTGCTTATTTATTTTGACTATAAAAACACTCGTCTTATTTCCCATCTGATTGTATTTGATGAATAACACTCATATTATTATTATTTCTGAATGTACATTATCCTATATTGGTTGATTTTTATTCAAATGTCTAATCATCAATTCCACTGATGTATATAAATGAAGCAACAAAGTTGTGTGAGTGAGTAACTTGACATGATTATGAGTGGCAATAGTTTGTGCTCGAAACGTGGACGTCATCAGTTAGTATTACTGTATAAACACTGTGTGATTTATCAAAATAAAATCTTATCCATAATGCAGTTACACTCTACCACAGTGCCCAAGTTTTATACTTAAAACGATCATTTAGAGAAACGACGAGTTGGGCATTGCTTCTAGGCTGACATGTAAGAGATAGTGCGTAGAGGAGTGGAAAAACTATAAACAAACGTCGGACCAGCTTAAGAGCACCTCAGAGAACAGAACAAAGCGTAGATGTATTGTTAAAGCCCTATGCTCAACTCGGAGCCTAATAATAATAAAGAATAATATTGGATCGTGTTAACTGAGAACAATCTGAATCTTTGTCACCAGTATTCTTCAGACATTCGCTCTAAGCACCCCGAAGACTCCCTAATGACTGTCTACACTTATCTATACCTCTCACATCAAATGTGTCAAACAATGACTTCATCAATAAATTTCGTTTAGTCTGTCTGTTTTCGACATAGAACTTTGCACATATGTGCGACAGTTCAAGTCGCCACACTCCCTCCATGTAGCACACAAAGCAAGAGGAGAAGGTAGAAGAAATGCATAATAGAGACAGTAAACAGAGATGTGAGACAAAGGAATAGTAATAACGAAGAACAAAACAGTTTCATTGGAAATCATAAGTCACAAGGAGTGGATGCATCTGCGCCAGCCATTGAGAACGATTTTGAGCCATGTCACCAATTGTCTCCAACCATTGGTTTTTACCGTCCCGAGGACCCCAACAAGACAGGAAGTCTACACCTTCCTACGTGGCTTAGACTAACTGTTGTGGATTTCATTGACTGGTGCCATGTTTTGGTTTGACCACCTAGCTCTTTTCCAGCCTGACCCTATATCAGCTAACATTGCCCGTCGAGGAAGGCGATGGCTAGACAGGCATACGTAACACATGTCCTAACCATCTCAGTCGATGTAATTTCACAGTCTCGTCTATTGATTTCCCCTCCTTACCTAGCACTCGACGCCTAACCTCAATATTGCTCACCTTATTATACCACTTCACACGGGAGATAGAACGCAGACACCTATGATCAAAGACAGCTAGCCAGCCTTTTCATGTCTTCCACTCTCAATGGCCAGGTCTCACAGCCATAAAGGAGGACGGAGCGGACTGATGAGCAGTACACACGCCCTTTGGTCGATAGTCGGATATCACGTCTACGCCAGAGACGGCGTAAACTGGCATATGCGAAACTAGCCCTCTGTATCCGTGCTGAGATTTCGTCAGAGATCAACCCGTCATGTCATGTCTTGTTTCACTTAACACCACGACAGCTGCATATGAAATCTGGTTTACTACAGACTCTGATGCCCGATTCATTCCCTTCCAATCAAGATATTATCAGTTTAAATTAACAAAAAATTATATTTATTATTATTATATAAATTATGAAATTTAAAATAATAAGCACATCACTTTTTTTAGAAAATCCAGTGTTTCTGTCAAAATTATTAATAATAATGTTAATAAAAAATGTAAGTATAATAAAAAGAAGAAAATTAAAAGTAATATCTCAATACATCCTGAGACAGACAGAAAAACTAAAAGTCCTGAGACAAAAGGTTAAGAAAGACACGTTCATGTTAGCGAGTGAATAGTAGTCAACAACAACAAAAAGCAAAACAAAAAAACAAACAGAAATATTTCGTGTTCCACTTATGTTTTCCCATTAGTAACAGATTTATTCGATGGTTTACCTGAGTGGCTTATTCCACCATTTTTCTTTAAATATTCACCAACTAACATACCAGGCAACTCTTGTAAATAGGCATATTCTTTTTCAGTAAGTGAAACTTGATCCACTTCAAGTCGATTTACTAGAGTTACACAGACTAGAACAGCTGAGAAATTGAAAATAAACGGAAATACACAAAAGTGGTAGTTATTCATTAAATATAGATGAAATATGATGAAATCCACCAACCAATCAAACAAAATCCCTACAAAACTTACACTTTAAAATTGATCTGATGCTCACTAGCCACTGGCTCTATTCAGGCAGTTACCTGAGATTCTAGTAGGAAGCCGTGACTAGTAGGGTACAGCAGATCGAGGATGAGGACAGTTACTTATCGAAGTAGTCACTCTTTGTCGTGAATTGGGAGAAGTTAGAATTCATGGACTAGCCACTCGATCGAGTCCCAGTGGCTTAGTGGTCCACAAGCTCGCTAGCCTTGTAACCAGAAGGTCCTGGTTTCGAACCCTGTCGGCGGATGCATACTGTGAATAGTCCCGCACTAAGACGAAACAGCTGGCTGTCCAGTACTCCTCCCAGTTGGTTTTCCAATGGTTGTCTAACTGATCTCAGCTCATGATGAAATCCTCCGACCAATCAAATAAAATCCCTATAAAACGAATACTTGAAAATATGGATAACTTTAAAGTAATAAAACAATTCAACGGAAGTGTATGTCAGTACTTCTACACAGTTCACAGACTACTACTACTACTACCAGTGAAAATTAAGTAATACAAAGGAGAAGACAGTAAAGATGTAATGAATTAATCAACTAATTACGCAACTGATGAAAATCGAATTTAAACAATCCATGTAGATAAGCGTGCGTCGGTGGCATAGCGGTTAGGACGCTCACCGAACATGCACATGGTCCGGGGTTCGATTCCCGGCCACCGACTCACTCCTTTACCTCGCTATGCCAGAAATAATACTGGTGGAGAGGAAAGTTTGGGCATGAAGCTAGTAACCCCATCCTGTAAAATAAACACACTGCTACAGAAAATTCAGGCCACTAGGTTGAAGCCCTATGTTCCACTGGGGAACGTGAAGGAAAATAAAAAAATTGGAGATAAGCATAATAAAGCCTGGTGAATATATTAGTGTTACGTGATAAACAATGTGTCTTAGACCATTATGAGATGATGGTTATTGTTCAACAATTAATAGTATAAAATTTACGTCTCAAGGGAACAAATGCTTTGAACAGCACTATTGCCAGACACATCTTGTTGATAAAGGTCATGAGGTGAACAGTGTGAAATCCTTCAAGAATATAAATAGCCACTACAACTCAATTTACCTCAAAGTTGAAGAAGCAAACGCTATTAAACCTTTATGACCTGACTTATGTGTGTTCAGAAAGATTCATTTATTAGTCTCTTTTTTGCCTTGGTGGCTCAACATCTAATCTCTTCATCACAATTACATAATCTTTTGCTCACATGCTTTCCCTCCCCTCCTGCATTTTTTTGCTGCAGTGTAATTCATTTCTTTTTCATCATGAGCTGACATTAGTTAGAGAGCCATTGGAAAACCTGAGAGTACTGGACAGCTGTTTCGTCCTAGTTTGGGACTCTTCATCAGTACACACCCACCGGGATTTGAACCCAGGACCTTCTGGTTACAAGGCGAGCTTGTAGACCATTGAGCCACTGGGACCTGATTGAGTGGCCAGCCCATGAATTCTAACTTCTGCAAATTCAAGACATAGCGCGACCCCTAGCCAGTGTCTTCGGCGAGTACTTGTCCTCACACCCGACCTGCTGCACCCTTCTGGTCACGACTTCTCACTAGAATCCCAGGTAGGGTGATATCACTCGAGTGGAACCTGAATATGAAATGTTAAGTTGTGCAAGAGTTCGAGGGTGACATAGAGGAAACCATATGAGGAGGAAATGAATAATCATGGAGCCAGATAAAAAAAGACTTCAAAGAGCAGATTGAAGTGGAGATGTACCGATGTATCTAGTTAAAGCTTTTTTATCAACTAATGAACTATAGGACTGTTTAAAAGCGGTTTTTTATTAAAACAATAATAATTGCCCTACGCTTAATTAATAAATATTCAAAAGTGTTCGTAAATTAGTTACCCCCAATATATGATGTTACATCCTACATATGGATTTGTATAGCTTGTAACCTACCACGTCAACCAGTGGTGATTGCTTACTAGATCTAATCATTCGTGTACCCGGGTATACTGATCTCAAAGAGACGAGTTAGTTTAAACCACCTGGATTCTGGAGAGATACTCGGGCAAACTAGTCGCCAATATGTATATATGATCAAAATCCTACTATGTAAACTTGGTTGACAATGGTTAACAACATGGTGATCAGTATTATCTTCAAGGAATTCCCACAGATTTCACTGAAATTTTTTACAAATAAGTTAAACAACAAAAAAATTAAATAAATATCATTTTATTATTTGCAGTAGTCATTTACCTCGATAACCAACTTGTTTACAATGACCAGCAATCCCAGTTCCTTCCATTTCTATATTTCTTATTCCATTATCATAAGCTGATTGTAGATACGCCTTCTTTTCTTCTTCACTAAAAGAACAGATTGCTCCATCTAATCTTGCCTGTTCTGTAAGAAGCCGAAAAGAAAGATCGTGGGAATTATTCACGCATCAGCTAGTTGTATTTGACAATGGAAGGTATATTTCTAAGTCATTCAAATGCATAAAAATGAACTAAAGTTTCAAAATAAAATTCTACATGAAAGTGTAGCATTTCAAGTTGCCATACTTAACATACTCACCTTCGAAGTAAGGACAGGAGTAAGACAAGCTGGCTGCCTACTATCGCCAATGATTTTCCTGATTGCAGTAGATTGGATAATGCGTCAGACAGCGGGCAATGAGGAAACAGGCATAAAATGGACTCACACAAAGAACTTGGGGGATCTGGACTTCGCCTATGATGATATATGTCTGATTTCCCACAAACTGGAAGATATGCAAGCGAAAAGCAACAAGTTGGCAGAAGAAGCATCAAAGATAGGACCTCAGGTGAACATAGAGAAGACAGAGGTAATGAAGATTCCTGGACAACAACAACAAGAGACAGCATAAATAGGAGGAACCTGAAATAAACAACCTCCCTCACCTACCTGGGAAGCATCGTTTCGACTACAGGCGAACGGAACTGATGAGGATATCAAAGCAGGAATCGGAAAAGCAAGACAAGCTTTCAATACTCTCAAGTCTGTGTGGAGGTCAACAGCACTCAGCATCAAAAATAAGATTCGGATTTTCAACTCCAATGTGAATTCAGTGCTACTTACTATACGGATCAGATACTTGACCAGTGTGTCATAAAGAGCACCTCAAACAAACTACAGACCTTCATTAACAGTTGTCTTCGCTCAATACTCAAGATCACATGGCCTGACAGAGAAGATCAGCAACAGGGAGGGATCTCTGGGAGCGAACAAACCAGGAACCAATTTTGAAACAAATAAGCAGAAAGAAATGGAGATGGATTGGCCATACTCTGAGGAAACCATCCATCAAGTGACATCACTAGACAAGCCATTGCTCGAGTAGAACCCGGAAGGGAAGTTGCAAGTTGGTCGTCAGTGTGAGGGTGACTTGGAGGAGGTTGTGTGAAGAGGAGATGAAAGCATGTGAGCAGACTTGGAGTCAGGTGGAAACTCTAGCAGAGAACCGAACGCAATGGAGACGCACGGCTGAAGCCGTTTGTTCTTCTAGGAATTAAAGGAAACAATAATATAATAATAATACTTAACACTTCACTCGAGGTTCCCGAGTTGAACCCGAATAAAGGACCATAAGTTGGGCGTGAGTTCGGCGGGAAGATCATTTGAGGAGGGAATGAAGGCTTATGGGAGATAGCGGAGCTAGCTAAGAAGGGATGAAGAGAGCAGCCTTCAGTGGAGATGTGCTGCTAAAGCCCTTTGTTCCACCTGGAGCCAAAGGAATAATAATAGTAATACTTTATAAAAACACACTTGAATGTAAAGAGGTAAACACAGAAGAATAATTCCATGAAAAATAATGACAAATTAGTGAATCTTGGAGACCGCAAACAACAAATGCATCTTTTGCAATTGTGAATGATTTTCAATTATCGATTCTTAGCGTCTCAACCACCTTTCAGTCCAATTAGTTGTTTTATAATATTAGATTGTAAACATTTTCATAAACACGTCCAATGAATTCACATCAAACAAAAAACAAATGAAAGAGCACAATCCAATGGAATCGCCCATATCAGGATTAATAGCTGAAGCCATCATGCAAAGAATAATTAAACCAAAATTCTAGGTACTTTACATTGATGATACATTTGTAATAATTAAGAGAAGTGATTTAGAATATACTCATAAATTAATAAACGACATATTTGAAGACATCAAATTCACCACGAGAGAAGAAGTATTAAATAACAGAACCCCATTTATAGATGTCTTAATCAGGAGAACCAACACAGGAGATTTAGAAACACAAGTATATAGAAAATCAACGCACACAGATCAAATACTCAACCATGCCAGCAATAATCCAATTACTCACTCACAAAAGAAACTGTGTGCAGACATTGTTTAAAAGAATTCAAACACACTGTAGCACTACTCCTGCGTTGATGGGAATGGAAGAAAAATACCTACTAACGGTCTTCACAAAGAAGAGTTATCCACAGAATTTCATCAAAAAGTGTTTGAAGTCGAATCACTACACCAACAAGGAACCATCATCAAGGAACACAAGAAAATTCATCCTACCATATATGAAAAATATCTCTGAAATAACAGCTAGAATACTGAAACCGTTTGAAATAAATATAACACACAAGCCAGTCAAATCACTTAATTCGATATCGTGCAAACCGAAAGATCCAACAGAAAAAGGAGATAAAATTAATACCATTTACAAAATAAATTGTATGAACTGTAACAGGCATTACATCGGCCAAAGTGGACATCCCCTTCGAATCAGAATCCAGGAACACAAATCAGCCGTGAAAAGACACGATATATATTCTTTCATATCAATGCATATAGATAATTATGGACATCAATTTGATTGGGATAATGTCGAGATTTTAGACAGAGGAAACACCAAAAGTGCCAGGGAATTCCTAGAAGCCTGGTACTCAAATGAATATGCAACTAACAACCAACCGTGTTAACATAGACCTAAAAGTTTAAAATCCAAGTCAATAGAAAATGATCAATGCATATGTAAAGATGGTTACCGGTAGACGCAATTCTATCACTCATGAAGAAATTTGAATCATTTCACTTTATGCTAAAAATTGCGCTGAAGGGGAATGTTGTCCAGAAATGTGGACGACGAAAGCTCCACAACTAAACCAACCAGCTCAGACAACAAACACTATTAATTGCAAATCATCCGCCTGAGCTACAAATCTTCTCTATTACATGAATGTTTAGCCAGTCATTTTAACTGACCTCAAACTGAAAACGTGTGCAGCTTCTTGACCTTTAAGATTTAGATTTTATTGGGTCATGCTGAGAAACAAAACAAGTCCTGTTACTGACATATTTGGGTTTTTCTTAACTCACACCAGGATACAGATAGTTTAAAGGGTAAGTGTTCTACGTTATAACTATAACTGTATAATGAGGCTAAAAATGAAGGAATCAAGATTTCCACAAATGATAGTTTTAAAAGTTACATGAAGATTGATTGAATACAATATTCTTCAAAAATAAGTGCGAAATTTTATTTTGATAGGAAACAGTTACCCCTCAACCATATCTAATTGATTAAATGGATGAAAGGTAAGGGAATAATGAATTCTGCTTGCTTTGTTTATCAGCTTGACCTAATAAAATTTAAGGTCAGAAAGGTCATCATACACTGCATCGCCTATGTATCTTAAATTCAGCAGGACATGGTAACTTCTTAAATTCTCCACTTCCTTCATATATGTGTTTAAATCAAGTTCACTTTTAATAGTCTAAAAGAATTTGGGCATTGGGTATATGATTACTACTTCACGCTGAAGAATAAAGATTAAGTTGCTAACCATAAGTTGAGATTTTGTAAATTCTAGTTATAAAGCTATTAGCATCATTAAATGCTGAAACGACAGTAAAAACAGTATCATTTTGTTTTTCATTAATTGGGAAATACAAAGACACTTTACACTAATGTGCCTAGCTTCCTTATTCAATGCGGAACCTTCTGTCAACTGACATCATGAAAAAATTTGCAAGCTGTAAGCAGCTGATGAGAAGCCAAATAAAAAAATGATGGTACCATATGATTCTGCACAAACCACTGTTGTTCTTGCTTTATTCAAATTCATCGAAGGGGAATAAATGCATGAAGTTTCTGAAAAATCGCCTCCCCACAGAATCTTTCAAATCACTGAATCGTTTGGTGACAATTCGTTGCAGAATATTCTGAGAAGTGACTCGAATAAAAATTTTACGATGAATGCTTGCAGTCCCACTGCTTTCCTTGCCAAATTTCCGCCCTCTCTCAAAAACCTTCGACGCATTACGAAATCAACAGAATGTCTGATTTCAAAATTGAGAACTGAAGCCTGATCCTTCGATGGTGTTGTCAAATTCATCGATTTCATTCAAGAGCTTCAACAGAAAACATGTGCAAACTTTTTATAAAACTCCCTGACAAAGGAGAAACTATATGACGTCTTCCCAGAAAATCCTGAGGAATTCGTCCGTAATCTGTCGAGTTTGAATTAAAGTCGCAATGAAACGGAAACGATTTCCCTCGGATTTAACTTTCATATCCTGAAAAATTTTGTCGAAAGAGCCGATGTCGCGGCTCGGTTCGAAAACTTATTATATCAACTGAATGACCTTACTCCAGTTGATGAGGTCACTAAGAGCTGTTTCAAAACTAATCTGGTCGATGTTGCAAATCAATACCCCATTTCACCAACGTCATATTCCAAAATCCTCTCTGAAGAGCATCAAAAAGCATTGAAAGCTCTCAGAAATAATGATAAAGTTGTCATACTTTGACCTGACAAAGGCTCAAGAGTGGTGCTGATGGACTCAGATGACTACATCGCAAAGATGGAAACTGTGCTGAATGACCTGTTGAAGTTTAAAGTCGATGATGGTACCATATTATTCTGCACAAACCACTGTTATTTTCGCTTTATTCAAATTATTCCCTTCCTGTAGGTGATCAGATATCTACAGTCAGATATGAATTTTCAGAAATATCCTATTTATTTCGACATCATCATTCTTGAGTGCACAAAAACAGGATTTGAATGCAAACTACAAGACACTGAACAAAAGATTAAAGATAAGTGCCAGAGAAGACAAAAGAAAGTATTATGAAACCATGGCAAGTGAAGCAGAACAAGCTGCAGGCAAAGGAGACCTCGCAACACTCTACCAAACAACTACGTACCTATCAGGCAAAAGTTTGACACAAATAAGCCGGTGAAGGATGATAATGGAAAGTCACTCACCAAAGAAGTGGAGCAAAGGAAACACTGGGCTGAACATTTCAAAGGACTCCTAAATCGACCACCACCTACAACGCGCCCAACAATACCAACGATGGAGACAGAGCTACCAGTGAACACCAACCCCCCGACGAAATCAGAAGTCCTGAAGGCAATCAAGATGTTAAAAGCTGGAAAAGCAGCAGGACCAGATGGAATCCCAGCAGAAGCATTAAAAGCGGACCCAGAGACAACAGCGGACTTGATGACGCCATTACTGGAGAAGGTGTGGAAAGAAGGCAAAGTACCTGAGGATTGGAAGAAAGGATACTTATCCAAACTACCAAAAAAAGGAGACTTAAGTCAATGCAAGAACTGGCGCGGAATTATGCTCCTGTCCATCCCAAGCAAAATACTAAGCCGCATCATCCTGAAGAGAATCAAACATGTCACGGATGAAAAAATTCGACCGGAACAGGCTGGATTCAGGAGGAACAAGTCATGCATTGATCAGATCGCCACATTACGGATCATCATTGAACAAAGCCTGGAATGACAGGCACCTCTCTATCTCAATTTCATCGACTTTGAAAAGGCCTTTGACAGCGTCGATCGAGAGGTGAGTTGGAAACTACTACGCTAACGTGGGGTGCCACCGACAATAATACATCTCATCCAGCAGCTGTACGACAATGCTGCATACCAAGTAATCCAGAACGGAAAACTCAGCTTCAGGTGGAACTGACGAGGACATCAAAGCAAGAATCGGAAAAGCAAGACAAGCTTTCACTATAATAATAATCATGATAATAATATATGATTGCTAAATAACAATTATGATGCCTATTTGCATGCTGATTATTTCCATAATAAAGATGAAGTTTGTATTGAGGAAGCAACCATTTCGCTCTTACAACTTAATAATTCGTGTATTCCACTTGTTGTTCTTGTAATTTTAATAAATTTTCTGTGTGTTCAAGTTTCCATGAAGGTTTGAAAGATTTAGTGTTGTAAGGTTGCTAGCCCCACGCCCAACCCTCCATCTTCACCCGGGCTTGGGACTGGTTAGAAAACTAGCGAGTTAGTTAATTAGGCCTTCATTAACCTGAAACCAGTTTTGAAATCTTCCGCACTCAGCATAAGGAACACGATTCGCATTTTCAACGTATATATATATATATATATATATATATATATATATATATAATTAAACGAAGACATTATATTCACATTTACGCAGCTTACCTTCATAAAAATCATTTGCAGTCATTGTTGCACCGACAACAACATCACATTTTAATTTCATACTTTCAGCTAGATTTTTAAGATCGTTTGCAGCATTCACATCAACAGCAGTTGGACGACGAACAACTTTACCAAGAATACACTGAAGTTAAAAAAAAATAAATAAAAGATTTCTCCTGTATACTACTCATTTAATGAATTGATAGATAGATAGTCTAATTCAAAATAACATTATCAGATTATCTGTAAAGATTATATTTGTATAGTTATAAGAAAAGAAACTTTTTTCCCACTGGTTTGATCTGAAGTTCTTTAGGGGAACACTAAAATACATCATAGGTAGATATTTTTAGGGGATATCCCATCTTGTGTTTAGGATGCTTATCCAAACATTAATAAATGAGTGAAACATTGTAACGATTTATTTCATTGTCACATATGTTTACTTCTCAGTCGGTCTCCAGTCTGTGTGGAATCATTAGGTGAAATCCTGACCAGATTCCATGAATATCTAGATTAAGTGTTTGTTGATTATATTACTATTATTGTATCCTTTAGTTCCTAGAAGAACATAGGGCTTTAGCCACGCGTCTCCATTGCGTTTGGTCCTCGATCAATTTCTCGGTATGATTGATACGTCTGAATTTGTTACAAGTGCAAAGAAACCATGGTATGACTAACTGTTTGTTATTATTTATTTATAATTATTACCCCGGTTACTGAATGGAGCATAAGGCTTTAGTGGCAAATCACCGTCTTTCTGTATTCTCTGCAGTCTGTTAAACCTGCCCCCACGATTGCTCATAAGCTTTCCGTTTTATGTACTCGTTGCCGATATTATGGTCTGACCGAGTGTTATTATTATTATAATTGTATCCTTTAGTTCCTAGAAGAACATAGGGCTTTAGCCACGCGTCTTCATTGCGTTTGGTCCTCTGCTAGAGTCTTCACCTGGCTCCAAGTCTGACCACACGTTTCCATCTCCTCTTCACATGACCTCCTCTAAGTCACCCTTGCACTGACGACTAACTCGCCGCTTCCCTTTCGGGTTCCACTCGAGCAATGGCTTGTCTAGTGATGTCACATGATGGTCACCCCAGAGTATGGCCAATCCAATCCACCTTCATTTCTTCCTGCTTATTTGTTTCACAATCGATTCCTGGTTGGCTCCCTCCCACAGGTCCCTGTTGCTGATCTTTTCTGGCCGGCCATCTCATCTTGAGTACTGAGTGAAGACAACTGTTAATGAAGGTCTGTATTTTGTTTGAGATGCTCTTTATGACGCGCAGGGCAAGTCTCTGATCCGTATAGTAGCAGTGACTTCACATTGGAGTTGAAAATCCGGATCTTACTTTTGATGCTGAGTGCTGCTGACCTACAGACAGACTTGAGAGTAGTGAAGGCTTGTCTTGCTTTTCCGATTCTTCCTTTGATATCCTCGTCAGTTCCGTTCGCCTGTAGTTGAAACGATGCTTCCCAGGTAGGTGGTAAAGGAGGTTGTTTCTTTCAGGTTCCTTCCATTTATGCTTATTGTTTTCTGTTGTTGTTCTTGTCCAGGAATCTTCATCACCACATCTGTTTTCTCTATGTTCACCTGAAGTCTCTCCCATCTTTGGTGCTTCTTCTGCCAACTTGTTGCTTTTCGCTTGCATATCTTCCAGTTTGTGGGAAATCAGACATATGTCATCATCGGCGAAGTCCAGATCCTCCAAGTTTTTTGTGTGAGTCCATTTTATGCCTGTTTCCTCATTGCCCGCTGTTTGTCGCATTATCCAGTCTGCTGCAATCAAGAAAATCATTGGCGATAGTAGGCAGCCAGCCAGCCTTGTCTTACTCCTGTCCTCACTTCGAAGGATTCCGTAAGTTTCCCGTCGTGGATTACTTGGCATGCAGCTTTGTCGTACAGCTGTTGGATGAGATGTATAATTTTCGGAGGCTGCTATTCCAAGCTTTATTCAATGATGATACGTAATGTGGCGATCTGATCAATGCATGACTTGTTCCTCCTGAATCCAGCCTGTTCCGGTCGAAGTTTTTCATCCGTGACATGTTTGATTCTCTTCAGGATGATGCGGCTTAGTATTTTGCTTGGGATGGACAGGAGCATAATTCCGCGCCAGTTCTTGCATTGACTTAAGTCTCCTTTTTTTGGTAGTTTGAATAAGTATCCTTTCTTCCAATCCTCAGGTACTTTGCCTTCTTTCCACACCTTCTCCAGTAATGGCGTCATCAAGTCCGCTGTTGTCTCTGGGTCCGCTTTTAATGCTTCTACTGGGATTCCATCTGGTCCTGCTGCTTTTCCAGCTTTTAACATCTTGATTGCCTTCAGGACTTCTGATTTCGTCGGGGGGTTGGTGTTCACTGGTAGCTCTGTCTCCATCGTTGGTATTGTTAGGTGTTTGTGATTAGTTCACTTAAATAAATCAATGATTTATGAGTTATTACGAGTTGATCATGGATTGATATCAGTTAGAGAACCATTGAAAACCAGAGAGTACTGTACAGCTGTTCCATCCTAGTTTGGGAATTATCGTCAGTACGTACCCACTGGGATTCGAAACCAGGACGTTCCAGTTACAAGGCAAGCTCGTATACCATTCAACCACTGGGACCCGATTTAATGACTCTTGAATTCTAACTTCTACCAATTCGTGATTTAGCGCGACCCCAACCAATGTCGTTGGTGGGATATCCATCCTCACACGTGACATCTGGTTGAACCTCACTAGTCACGACTTGTCACTAGAACTCCAGGAAACTCCATCCTGTAGCAAGTCATTAGCGAGCATCAGGTTAATTCTCTATAGTTTGGTTTGTAAGGGTTAGTTTTGTTTTTACGAGTTGATCACGGATAGATATCAGTTAGAATTCATGAGCCATTAAATCGGGTCCCAATAGCTGAATGGTATACGAGCTTGCCTTGTAATCGGTTCGAATACCAGTGGATGCGTGCTGCCGATGATTCCCAAACTAGGATGAAACAGCATCTGTCCAATACTCCCTGGTTTTCAATAGTTCTCTAACTGATATCAGTCCGTGATCAACTCGTAAAAACATAACTAACCCTTACAAACCAAACTATAGAAAATCTATGAGTTAGTTATATAATCTTTATCTACATTTTCTGTATGTATACACCTTGTATCCACTAATTTGCACAAAAACGATCGTTGAATAAGCGTAATCTGTTACATCCCAGCTCAAGACTCTTCGGCAGTACACATCCATAATACCACCAACCAAAGGGTTGAACATGTAACCTTCAGACTATGAGGTCAGCCCAATGGACACTCAACACCCAGGACAGAATCAGATGACTCACGAGTTCTAAATTCTTGCATTTCCTGAGGACCAATACCCGAATATGACATTGTATGACGTTAGTGCTATGTGTATACCGCTTAAGAGTCACCAACTTGGATTAAAAACATCTGTTCAGTACTCCCTTATTTTTTGATGATTTCCTAAGTGATGTCAGTCCATTATCTTACTTGAAATCAGCGAAACCCTTCCTGGAAAAATGCTTTAAAGCTGAAGAAAATTGGAGATCATGTGATGGCGAATTCAGGTGAGATGCTAAGAATACTAATATATATGAAACTCTAGGCTTCATCTTGTAAAGGACTATGAGTCACTCTAAATTAAGAGATAAAATTGTCATATCTTTGGTCGTAGTGATTCTCTGGTCAGTGAAATGTATGAAAAAGTTAGACTTGAAGTTAATCAGTTGATCTGAATGCCTCACAAAGCACATGGTTTGTTTTTGTAGACCTGAGAACAAGAACGTTCATGTTCAAGGCTGACGGGATTGGACAGCTTTCAAACAAGATGCTGCTAATCATATTATAGTCAAATGAAGTAATGTAACAACAGAAGACAAGGGCCAGGCAACAGATCCTTTATTCACGAAACCAACACATATTTATAGATTTTCATGTACATTATTATTATAGATTATTGTAAGCAAACAAACACAGTCTTCTGATTGGTGGTTTCTCGTTGAACGTTAATCTTTCATCTGTTTGTGGCCGTTTCTTGAAGTTCAGATTATCTATCTGCAAATTGTATCCACCTACGCAAAGTCTGCTGTGATTGGTTGTTGAGTCAGTCTTTGTTCTTATTTTTCCCATGACCAATATTGGGGAAGTATACATTGACTTAAACTATTATTTATTATTATTATTTCCTTTAATTCCTAGAGGAACATAGGGCTTCAGCCATGCGTCTCCATTGCGTTCGGTTCTCTGCTGTAGTTTTCACCTGGCTCCAAGTCTACCCACACGCTTTCAATTCCTCTTCACATGATCTCCTCCAGGTCACCCTTGCACTGACGACCAACTCGTCGCTTCCCTTTCGGGTTCCACTCAAGCAATGGCTTGTCTAGTGATGTCGCTTGCTGGTTTCCTCAGAGTGTGTCCAATCCATCTCCATTTCTTCCTGCCTATTTGTTTCACGATCGGTTCCTGGTTGGTTCGCTCCCAGAGATCTTTGTTGCTGATCCTCTCCGGCCATTTGATCTTGAGTATTGAGCGAAGGCATTTGTTAATCAAGGTCTGTAGCTTGTTTGAGCTGCTCTTTGTGACACGCCAAGTCTCTGATCCGTATGGTAGTATTGACTTCACATTGGAGTTGAAAATACGGATCTTATTTTTGACGCTGAATGCTGTTGACCTCCACATAGACTTGAGAGAAATGAAAACTTATCTTGCTTTTCCGATTCTGGCTTTGATATCCTCGTCAGTTCCTCCTGTAGTTGAGACGATGCTTCCCAGGTAGGTGAAAGAAGTTGTTTCCTTCAGGTTCCTCCCATTTATGCTGATTGTTGTCGGTTGTTGCTGTTGATGTTGGCCAGGAATCTTCATTACCTCTGTTTTGTCTATGTTCACTTGAAGTCCTATCTTTGCTGCTTCTTCTGCCAATTTGTTGCTTTTCACTTGCATATCTTCCAGTTTGTGGGAAATCAGACATATATCATCGGCGAAATCCAAATCCTCCAAGGCTTTTGTGTCGGTCCATTTTATGCCTGTTCCCTCGTTGGTTGCCGTTGTCTGCCACATTATCCAATCAGCTGCAATCAGGAAGATCATTGGTGACAGTAGACAGCCTTGTCTCACTCCCGTCCTCACTTCGAAGGATTCCGTGAGCCTCCCGTTGTGTATTACTTGGCATGCAGCGTTGTCATACAGCTGTTGGATGAGATGTATAATTGTCGGTGGCACCCCGTAGTAGCGAAGTAGTTGCCAAATCACCTCTCGATCGACGCTGTCGAAGGCTTTCTCAAAATCGATGAAGTTGAGATAGAGAGGTGACTGCCATTCCAAACTTTGTTCAATGATAATCCGTAGGGTGGCGATTTGGTCAATGCATGACTTGTTCCTTCTGAATCCGGCCTGTTCCGGACGAAGTTTTTCATCTAGGGCTTGTTTAATTCTCTCCAGGATGATGCGACATAGTATCTTGCTTGGAATGGACAGAAGCATAATTCCACGCCAGTTTTTACATTGACTCAAATCTCCTTTCTTTGGCAGTTTGAATAAGTATCCGTTCTTCCAATCCTTGACTTAAATTACTATCTACTAATTTTGGCTAGCAGCCAGCCCTCAACACAGTAAGTATTGTTAAGAAAACCGCACCAGGCATCTTCGCTACACTGAGAAATTCAACTGTAGTTACATTTTCAAAATGAGGTAAGTCTACGTTCTATTGAAATGTCTTTCCATTCTTTCAGTTTCAACTAAATTATCTTCTTGAATCGTCTTACATAATATAAGCCTTTATTTTCCTTTCCAGATTAAGTAATCCATACAGATTAAGAAACATTGTCAGTCTTGATCCAGTTCAATGGCGTAAAATAGTTACGCAGTCATCGTAGACAGTTCTCCTCAGCTGGATCCACGATTGCCCACAGTCTCCTCAATGTCACCCTCGCACCGACGACCCACTCGCCACTTCCCTTTAGGATTCCACTTGAGTGATGGCCCACATTGCGTGCGATATCATTAGACGGTCTCCTCAGCGTCTGCCCGATCCATCTACATTTTCTCCTATATATCTGTTGAGCAGTCGATTCTTGGTTGGTTTGTTCTTCAGAAGAGTTTCTTCTTGCTAATCCATCCTCCCTGTTCATTTGATCTCCAGTATGGAGTCAGTAAAGGCAGGTGTTGAAAAAAACTCTAGCTTGTTGGAAATCCTTTTCGTGACGCTAGAGCAGTGCAAATTTCTGACCACATAAAAGAACTGGCTGACTGACTGACTCAGCATTAGTGTTGAAAATCCGAATCTTGTTCTTCATTCTGAGGTGGAGTGCAAAAGATTTCAAAACTGATTTCAGGTTGATGAAGGTGCATCTTGCCTCTCCGATTCTGGCTGGCTGAACTTGACATCTACATCTGTGCTGTCGCTTGCAGTTCAAACATTCTTCTCTAGATATGTGAAGGAACTAACCACTTTCAAATTTCTCCTACTGATGGTGATTGGCGTTTAATGTTTACCTTTGGTTATTTTCATCCCCTCTGCCTTCTCTATGTTCACCTGGAGTCTTGTCTTCGCCGGCTACCTGCTTCTTCAGCCAGTTTCTTCGTTTTTGCCTACCTGTAAGTCTTTGAGTTTGTGTAACACTAAACATCAATCATCAACATGCGAAATCCACATCTCCTAGAGTCTTCTTATGGGTCCATCCAGCATATTCCAGTCTTCTCATTCTGAAGCACAATATGCCTCATAATCTAGTCCATTACAATTAAGAATATCATCAGTGATAAAAGCACAGAAATAAATACAATTGAAATGCTACTTACCATTTCTTGAATTGGCTCAAATTTAGTATTAACACAACTATTCGATATAACAAGTGTTCCAGCTTTCACGCCTATTATAAATATGCAAAAATAATAGTTAGTAAACTGCTATAATGTTATTGTTATTATTATTGCTATTTGAAACCATGTTCTGCTGAATATGTTATCAGCAATGTTAGAAACATACATTAAAAAAACAAGAGAGCTAAAATTATCAAGCCACACTTAAAATATCCGTGAATGTATGCCCAAAGTTTCATTAAAATGGTAATAGTTTGACACAAAAAGTAATATTCAAGTATTGATTTGTAGGGATTTGATTGATTGGTTACAGGATTTCATCATGAGCTGACATTAGTTAGAGAACCACTGGAAAACCAACTGGGAGTACTGGACAGCTGCTTCGTCCTAGTCTAGGACTCTTCAACAGTACGCACCCACCACCAGGGTTCGAACCCCGGACCTTCTGGTTACAAGGCTAGCGAGCTCGTATACCATTAAGCCACTGGGACCCGATCGAGTGGCCAGCCCATGAATTCTAACTTCTGCCAACTCACGATATAGCGCAACCGCTAGCCAATGTCTTCGGCGAGTATTTGTCCTCACATCCGACCTACCGCACCCTACTGGTCACGACTTCCCACTGGAACCCCAGGTAACTACCTACCTGAATAGGGCCAGTCGCCAGTGAGCATCTCATTGATATTCAAGTATTGGTTTGTAGTAACTAATTAGGCTTTGTGATAAGAATGTCAAACGCAGGAGCAAAAAAGACATTTATTAATCCGAAACAAGTGCGGAAATCTACTATATTCAGCATATGAAAAAAAGATTTGGCTTTTTACCACTGATGTCAAGCCAGTAATTGCTTTTCTATGGTTCAGAGACTTTACCAATCATGAAAAAAGAATTTCTAACAAACTGACGAGACCATCGGGCGACATCATATGCCAGGCCCTTGGATGAAATTTGAATGAGAAACTATGCGTTAGGAATAACAGTGTCAGGAAGGGTCCTATGGGAGGTATCATAAAAGGAGAAGGAGATAAAAGCTGACGCACAGTCGCCTAGCCACCTTTAATAATAATAATTATTATTATTACCTCTGATATTACAATTGTCCACAGTTATGTCTAGTAACAAAGAAAATCATTATGGCGGAATATTCATATTTGTTAGTTCAACTACTAGACAAGCTATACAATAAACTATAGTTGTTCTGATTGATATTGTATACACAGCTTACTGTTCATGTGTATACGGAGAAGTTTTCACATGAATGAAGATTTTCAGACCTTAGCTTTTGTAAGGATTTCCATATCTTGGCGATTTCTAAGAAAATATTCCGTCTTACCTTCTACATCAAGAAGTTAAAACATTCTGGTATAATCCAATCCTTACTCCTACAATTCGTTAACTCTCGCATTCTGCCTATTATTCTCTATTGTTCCCCCTTAGTTTTTCCCGGGCTACTGAAGAAAGACTATAACATATTACGCAGGATGTTAAATGTTGTCAGCAGGGTAAGCAACGTGCCACTTAACCAGCTTGTTAATATTCTGGTCGACAGGCACATGGACTCATGTGAAAAATGGGCTAAATCCATTTTATCTAACTCACACCATCCTCTTCATTCACAACTCTCTCCTTGCATCTCATCAGGCAAAACCAGAAGCCTATATAGAAAACTATATGCTTGCATTAGCAAGTACAAAAACTCAACCATAATCTACTTAGCTCTTGTTCTGTGCGATCAGGAAAGCATTAGGCGTGACACCTATAATTCATTAAATATTCAGTAGAACAACTGGATCTCGTCTTTACAACTCTTATCATTTATGGGTACAACATTTTCTTTCTTTCTTTTTTTCCTCTCTCTTTTCCGTCATGTGCTGCTTTGTTTGTTTCTTCCACTTACGCCAGTAAATATGACAGCACCTACTTTTCTAACACCTTCAAACACTGTTCAACTTTGGCTTTGCTATCGACATGCCAATATGTTGTTTTCATAATGAACTAAGATTTCCTTAATCTATGTAGAATTCTTTTTATTGATAATGTACTAACTGGATGCAATACTGTAGTAAAAATGCTGAGAATTCCATTCTGTATCACAAGTACTGTTTTGGAATAAAGCAAATTATTATTATCATTATTAATTTCTATGTAGGTTTTTGTCATTGACTGACCGTCTAGAGTAAACCGTGTCAAGGTGAAGTGGATTCGATAGCGGCCTATCGCCCCTATGACAGAAGTTAGAATTCAAGGGACACTGAATTCCAAGAAAGTGACTGAGCAGTCAGAGGAATGACTTTATAGCCTCAGAGTCTTGAGTTCTACCCTTGACACAGTCATAAATTCGCACTGCTGAAGATTCTCCAAATAAGACGAAACAGCTATCTCTATATTTTATTTTGGTTTTCAACATTTCAATATCTTCTGTTGATTCATGATAATTTATCTAGATAGAAATGCTGTAGTTTTCATTCCTGACTGCATATTTAGTGTTATCAGTTACCTTTCTTTTACTTGACCTGATTATGAAATTTGTTTATTCTTGTCACATGGTATGATTTCACCGCAAAACTATACAAAGTTATGGTTACACTAACTTTTATGTATAAAATATTAACTCAGCTTAACTTTTTATCTAACAATGGTCTAATCATTTATGACTGACTAGCGTCAAACTTCTCTGTGTTGACCTTCCTGTCAAAACAAGGAAGGAATTTGTTCAAACAAAATCTCATCGACTGATGTGTAGTGTTGTCATTCCATATAACATTTAAAAGCCTGATTAGCACCATTGAGATTCCTTCCTTCTCTCTTTTTTTTTACCTGAGGAGTATGAGCGCTTTCATTTTCATATTTTTAATGTTCTTATTGTTGTTATTTTTTGTTTTTCGCATGATAAATTCATTATCATGCATAGTGAAAATAAAAACAAAAGTTTCTGACTTTGATAATCTCTGTTAGTGTATTTTTATTCCGCAGACACTAGCGTTTTATTTTTCGTTTGTGGTATCATTGAATATCTTCAACAGTAATATCAACTCAGTTCTCTTATACGCTTCAGGGACTACATTGGAATCATCACAAAGAATATTTCCACCGGGCTACAGACTTCAATCAACAGCTACCTTCTCTGGCTCCATAGTAAAGGTCAGAGATGGTAGGCAACAAGAAACCCTTTAGACAAATCAACCAAGAGCCTTATTAGTTTCTTTATTAGATGTATCACACATAGTCAGTGAAACAGTATTATTTACTGGATGACAAAGTTTCGAACACAATTTATTGCTGTTCATAATCATATCAATTGTAATCACACGAATTTGACACTTGAGTTTTATAGTTTTCTTTGTTCTCCCCCATTTGTCGTAGGGGTAGTAGAATTTTCCAGATATCTGAGTGGACAGGTGTTGAATCATTCCTCTGTTACACATGTATTTGCAGTCGATTCGATAAACAAAGCTTCTGTTATCAATCTCTCCCTCCACCCTGCTGTGACATTAGATTTTAAAACTATCATCCTATCCCATCCTATTGTGTGGTTGTGTGTGACTGCATGTAGTGATATAACTGAACTATTCTCTAGATTTCTTATCTTATTAGGATCAACAAATCTAGATTTTGCTAAGTTTTTATGTTCAGCTAGTCTGACTGCCCCTGTTCTACTAGTTTGACTTGTGTATTTGACCTGACAATCATACCAGCACGGTATCAGATAAACTAAATTGTTTTGTTTAAAAGGTTCTACAGGATCCTCTAACCAACAAAGCTTGTTTCTAATTGAGTTTGTGGGTTCGAATGCCATTTTTATTCCTTCCTTGTTAAGAATTCTGCGTAAGGCTTCCGACGTTCCTTCCTTGTACGGAATTACTACTGATGGTTTAGATTCCCTATTCTTGGTGTTGTCGTTATCTTATTATTAATATTATTATCACTATCACTACTGTCATTTTTTATTTTTACATTTCCCTAGATACTTTCTGACTAATTTTTCAGGGTAATTATTAAGTTTCACAGCTTCTCTTATATGCCCCGCTTCATGTCTTAAATTTTCCTTCTATTGCTACTCAGTGTTTGTGCTCTGTCATTTAAACATTTCACCAATCCTATTTTGACTGACATAAGATGGGATGGTCGGAAGTCCAGATATCTGTTTGAATGTGTGGGTTTCCTGTAAACACTAGTGTATAATTTCCCATCTTTTTTCCTTTTTAATACGCTACAATCTAACATTGGAAGCTCCCTTTCCTGACTTTCCAATTCATAAGTGAATTGGATTGCCTCCACCTTCGAGTTAATGTGTTCGAAAAATCTACTTATATCCTGTGTTCCAAGTACAATGAATGTGTCATCTACATACCTCCACCATACTTTTGGGGTGGGGGTGAACGTTTCAGTCGCTATGCTTTCCCACTTATCCATGAATATATCTGCTACAACTGGGGATATTGGTGATCCCATGGCAACTCCCTCAGTTTGTTTGTATATTTTCCCTTGGAATTGTGGTTACAATTGATATGATTATGAACAATAATAAATTGTGTTCGAAACGTCATCCAGTAAATAATACTGTTTCATCACTGTGTGATACATCTAATAAACAAACTAATATGGAATTACTTACTACCACAGTGCCCAAGTTTTACACATATATCAACGAAGAGCCTATTGTTCAATAGAGATGGATTCGACATACTCTGTGAACACCATTGAGTGAAATCCCGTGCCTGAGTATCTGGTGCAATACCAAGTGACTAACGATGACTTGTGCCTTATTTCGAGGGTGACATTGTAGAAAATCGTGTGAAATGGAGATGAGAGCTTATGGTTAGTCATGCAGGCATCTGAAAAGGACTTCATTGAATAGGATGAACAGGACCTATTCTTCTGGAGCAGTATGTTCCACTCAGAATCCAAGGGAAAAGTAATAATAATGATAATAACCATTCCATATCCATTTTTTGGCTTTAAAAGTGGTATAACAAAATATATAGAAACTTGAAGTGACTTATTTCGATGGCAATTCTTAGAATGACGACTGAATCGTATTTTTATGCATATACATAACTAACATACAGAATCTCCTTGAGATCAAAACAAAGTCCAATGTAAAATATTCAAGAGAAATCAACTATCCCTTGTTAACCAAAAATTTAACGTAACTTGGAAATTTACCAGCCAAGACTTCAACAAAGATCTTCATTATGACGTGTATGGTGTGTACAGCAAAAATTCCTTTATCATATTAGCATCCACTGAGACGCGACGCGCTTAATTTCAATTTAAACCTGATGGAATCACCAAACATGGTTCACCAACTGAAGTCACTTTTTAATCAAACTGGAAGTTAATCAAATCCCTATGAACCTCTCATCAACAATTCATCGTCTCACAGTTCACAAGCGGTACCTTGATGATATCTTTATCATCAGCGATGAACATAATTATCGAAATCGTTACCAACACTCAAGAATCAGTCAAATTATTAGAATTATTATTGTTTCCTTTAATTCCTAGAGGAACATAGGGCTTCAGCCGTGCGTCTCCATTGCTTTCAGTCCTCTGCTAGAGTCTTCACCTGGCTCCAAATCTGTCCACAAGTTTTCATCTCCTCTTCGTGACGGCGAGCTACCTAGAATGGTGGCCACATTACAACCTAACTAATAGAATTCAGTCTGCACCAAAGAGAGGACTAGACGCATCACACTAGTTACTAGTGTAAAATCAAAACATCTCCTCTTCACATGACATCGTTCAAGTCACCCTCGCACTGACGACCAACTCGCCACTTCCCTTTCGGGTTCCACTCGAGCAATGGCTTGTCTAGTGATGTCACTTGATGCATTGTTTCCTCAGAGTATGGCAAGCCAATCCATCTAGATTTCTTCCTGCCTATTTGTTTCACAATCGGTTCCTGGTCGGTTCGCTCGTTGCCAGAGATCTCTGTTGCTGATCTTTTCTGGCCGGACATCTGATCTTGAGTATTGAGCGAAGACAACTGTTAATGAAGGTCTGTAGTTTGTTTGAGATGCTCTTTATGACACACTGGCCAAGTCTCTGATCCGTATAGGAAGTAGCACTGACTTTACATTGGAGTTGAAAATCCGGATCTTATTTTTCATGCTGAGTGCTGTTGACCTCCACACAAACTTGAGAGTAGTGAAAGCTTGTCTTTCTTTTCCGATTCTTGCTTTGATATCCTCGTCAGTTCCACCTGTAGTTGAAACGATGCTTCCAAGGTAGGTAAAAGAGGTTGTTCCTTTCAGGTTCCTCCCATTTATGCTTATTGTTGTCTGTTGTTGTTCTTCTTGTCCAGGAATCTTCATTACCTCTGCCTTCTCCATGTTCACCTGAAGTCCTATCTTTGATGCTTCTTCTGTGAACTTGTTGCTTTTCGCTTGCTTGTCTTCCAGTTTGTGGGAAATCAGTCAAATATAAGACTGAAATAAAATCAGAAGTTAAATTATTCATCTCAAATGTCCAAATTTTAAGACAAACAGATGGAAGTCTACAAAGATCAATCTACCGTAGTCGGAAATGGAACAAACTTTCACAGATTTTTTCCCATTAGGCAGAAAATGAAATCCCATCTCTTCGATTGAGAAGAGAATCTACAGCGAATGTACTGAGGAGACATTGAGTAAAGAATGACGAACGTTCAAAAAAACTCTAATCAAAAATGAATATTCTGCCTCCTTCATCGGAAAACACTGAAACAAAAAGACCGATAATAATCCACAAAAACTGGATATGCAGAAGAAACAACTAGCAATTCTGAAATTCATAGGCAACACAATTACTTAATATTCAAGTGTTGGTTTTTAGGGGTTTGATTGGTTACAGGATTTCATCATGAAATGACATCAGTTAGAGAAGCGTTGGAAAACCTAGGAGTACTGGACAGCTGTTTCATCCTAATTTGGGACTCTTCACAGCACGCACCCACCAGGATTCGAACCCAGGACCTTCTGGTTACAAGACTAGCGAGCTCGTATACCATTAAGCCACTGGGACTCGATCAAATGGCCCATGAATTCTAACTTCTGCCAATTCACGACACAGCGTGACCCCTAGCCAATGTTTGTGGCGAGTACTCGTCCTCAAATATTCCGAAGCCAGCCGTCGAGAACAATCCTATATATGCTCATGTTCATCGAGATGGCAAAGGCAAGATCCTGCTGTATGCAACCTAAGTGTACGCTAACTGAGTTCATTTGCTCTTGTAAAGCCAATTACATAAGCCGTAACAGCTAGAGGCGCACAAGAACACTTGCCAGAATACAGGATAGTCAGCAGCTTAATACTGGAGCATATTACAATTTCTGGTTGCGCATCATTAGCAGAGACTTCATTCAGAGTTATATAAAAAATACTGTCGTCACGTTAGGAAGGATTTCTCTTTTCACCTTCTTCATGTTACCAAAGCCCTATTAACCCATACAGAAATCCAGAACTTTGTTCTCAGCCTCTTTTACTACCACACCACTTTGTGTCCATTATGTTTTCTTAATTTCTCACATAATAAACCGTACTGAGTCCTCTTAGTTTCTTTCTTTATTTATTTATTGTAACTCATTTTGATCCCTTCGCTCTATTGTTTCTTATCAATTACAGGATTTCATCATGAGCTAACATGGGTTAGAGAACCATTGGAAAACCACCTAGAATTATTGCACAACCCGTCCACGACTTTTGAACCCTGGAGTCTTGTAGCTATAAGGCAGCCTAGTAGACCATTATGTCGCTGGAGCTGGATCCAATGACCAAACCTTGAATTCCAGGTTTTGTCAATCCCAATGGCACCTGTATGGTTAATAAAACCATATAGATATACTACCCTCCCTAAATGACCGTATAACTTTAAAGTCATAATACGAAAAGAGATGTATGTCTTTGTTTGACTTATTTATACTTATTCGCTTGAGAATAGTACAATTCAAGTGTTGGTTTGTAGGGATTTGATTGGTTACAGGATTTTCACCATGAGCTGACATTAGTTAGAGAACCATTGGAAAACCAACTGGGAGTACTCGACTGGCTAGGGGTCGCGCTATGTCTTGCATTGGCAGAAGTTAGAATTCATGCACTGGCTATTGGATCGGGTCCCAGTGGCTTAATGGTATACGAGCTCGCTAGCCTTGTAACCAGAAGGTCCTGGGTTCGAGCTCCTGTGGTGGGTGCGTACTGATGAAGAGTCCCAAATTAGGATGGAGGAGACAGCTATCCAGTACTCCCAGGTTTTCCAATGGTTCTCTAACTAATGTCAGCTCATGATGAAAATAGTAAAATTAATTCAAACTCTAGTGAGTATAATAAAATTAGGCTTTGAGTACAAAAATCAACAGGAATATAAATTAGAATTAGATGAGATGACTAAATCACAACAACAAAAAACAACACTTGTTTGTTTTCTTCATTTCATCATCACTACCATTCACTGAGCAAATCACTCAACACTGGCAAAGTGATGTTCAGTGAAATATAATTTGCACATAATAATAATAATAATAATAATAATAATAATAATAATTAGAAGAAGAAGGCCAGTAGTGAATTTGTTCTTACCTACGCCACCAGATGTTCCAATACGTATAAACAAGACATCTTTACAACCAGCATATTGTAATAATTTTGTAATTTCATGTATTGCAATCAACGTTGATGGTACACCCATGCCATGCTTTACACACACAAAAATGAGAAATAGGAAGGGGAAAAAATAAGTAGATACAATGAAAACAAATGAAAAACAATGAAAAACAATGAATATTGTTTTTGTTTTTTTGTTGTATTGAATGTGAAGAGTGAGTAGTCATCTCTTTCTATTTTTCTTTTTTCTTTCAAATCATTGAAAACAATAATAAATAACAAAAATGAAATTAAAACTTAGCTAAGTATTGAGATGAACTGAACTGAACTAAACTGAAGACAATTTTACGCATACGACTTTATACAAAAATGCAGCAGTCCAGATTGCTACACTTTATGAAGTACACAATCCTCAAACTGTGGCCTGTTTCAAACTTATTATTATTGTTTCCTTTAATTCCAAGAGGAACATAGGGCTTCAGCCGTGCGCCTCCATTGCGTTCGGTTCTCTGCTACAGTCTTCACCTGGCTCCAAATCTGCCGAAACGCTTTCATCTCCTCTTCACATCACCTCCGTCAAGTCACCCTCGCACTGACGACCTTTCCGGGTTCCACTCGCACGATGGCTTGTCTAGTGCTGTCACTTGATGGCTTCCTCAGAGTACGGCCAATCAAATTCAACTCCATTTCTTCCTGCCTATTTGTTTCACAGTCTGTTCCTGGTTGGTTCGATCCAAGAGATCTCTGTTGCTGATCTTTTCTGGCCATCTGATCTTGACGCACCAAGTCTCTGATCCGTATAGTAGCACTGACTGACTTCACATTGGAGTTGAAAATCCGGATCTTATTTTCATTTTCATGCTGAGTGCTGTTGACCTCCACACAGACTTGAGAGTAGTGAAAGCCTGTCTTGCTTTTCCGATTCTTGCTTTGATATCCTCGTCAGTTCCGTTCGCCTGTAGTTGAAACGATGCTTCCCAGGTCGGTAGGTAAAAGGGGTTGTTTCTTTCAGGTTCCTCCCATTTATGCTGATCGTTGTCTGTTATTGTTGTTGCTGTTGGCCAGGAATCCTTATCACCACATTTGTTTTCTCTATGTTCACCTGAAGTCATATCTTCCCTGAATGCTTGTTCTGTCAACTTGTTGCTTTTCACTTGCATATCTTCCAGTTTGTGAGAAATCAGACATATATCATCGGCGAAGTCCAGATCCTCCAAGTTTTTTGTTCGACTCCATTTTATGCCTGTTTCCTCATTGCCCGCTGTTTGTCGCATTATCCAATCTACTGCAATCAGGAAGATCATTGGTGATAGTAGGCAGCCTTGTCTTACTCCTCTCCTCACTTCGAAGGATTCCATAAGTTTCCTTTTGCGGATTACTTGGCATGCAGCATTGTCGTACAGCTGTTGGATGAGATGTATAATTTTCGGTGGCACACCGTAGTAGCGAAGTACTTGCCAAATCACCTCTTGATCGACGCTGCACTACCGGAGGCTTTTTCAGAGTCGAAAAAGTTGAGGTGGAGAGGTGACTGCCATTCCAAGCTTTGTTCAATGATGATCGGTAATGTGGCGATCTGATCAATGCATGACTTGTTCTGCCTGAATCCAGCCTGTTCCGGTCGAAGTTTTTCATCCAAGGCATGTTTGTTTCAAACTTGGGCTACGGAAAATAACCTACATCAGTGTATCTAGCATATAATTTCCGAAAATACCCATTGAGTCATGAAGAAAATAAAAAGACAAATTCAGCGAAGAAAATGCTTCTTTATCGACGAAATCATCTTCAGAGGCTGTATAGTCGTATTTATACTTACCAAAAAAATATATAGTGGTCTATTATTGAGTAATAGAGAGTGACATAATTGGCATAATTACTTGGAAGTGGCTTTAGAAGTGAAAGTTAAAAGTTATTATTAATATGTAATAGTAATAATAATAATTTCGCTTTTATCCCGTTTGTTTAAATCTAGTAAAATATGACCTCTGATAGTAATGTATACTCTGGCGAATATTTAAAACATTTACAACCTGTTGAATAGCATGTTTCTACTAAACATGAGGAGAAGCATTATCCCCAATAGCAAATTATCTCTATACATTAGATAACAGTTCCCAAGTGATGTCACTGGTTCACAAAATGTGCTTCTGAACCTTTTATGTCACTGGCAATCTGGAAGGAGAAGAAGAGATATCATAATGGAGTGGTCTACACTTCAGGTCAGATGGAACTGTTTCACACGATCTACTATCAGCTCATTTTATATTTGAAGATGCTGGACAAAGAGAAAATTACATACCGTATGCCCCGTTGAAAATTCTATGTATTATTATTACATTTATTTTCCCTTGGGGTTCCGAGTGGAAGATACTGCATCAACATCACATCTCCACACTGTTCTATTCACTGGTGTCCTTTTTAGCTGGATCCAGGATTGCCCATGATCTCTCATCTCCTCTTCCCCACACGACCTCCTCCATCTCACCCTCACACTAATGACCCACTCAAGCAATAGCCTGCACTGAACACGACGTCATTTGACGGCCTTCTCAGTGTTCCCCCAATCTATCTTTATTTTCTCTTACATATCTGTTGAGCAATCGGCTCTTGGTTGGTTTGTTCACAGCCAGAGTTACTTGTTGCTAATTCTTTCTGGCCGGCTGGCCATTTGATCTTCAATATGTGGCCAGTGATGCGGGCAGCTGTTGATAAAAGTCTGCAACCTCTTGGGAATCATCTTTTTGACACTCAGTGCAAGTTTCTAACCCATATGGAAGAAGTACCTGAGTCACTAAATGAGTGAATGACTGACTCAGCATCAGTGTTGAAAATCCGAATCTTCTTCTTCATTCTGAGGTGGAGTGTGGAAGATTTCAAAACCAATTTCAGGTTGATGGAGGTGTATCTTGTCTTTCCGATTCTGGCGGGCTGGTCTTGATATCTTCATCTGTGCTGTCGGTTGTAGTTCAAACATTGTTTCTCTAGATAAGTGAAGGTAGTAACCACTTTCAAATTTATCCTGCTGATGGTAATTGGCGTCTAATATTTTTCTTTGGTTATTTTCATCACTTCTGCATTCTCTATTTTCACCTGGAGTCCCGGTTTTCGCCGGCCTGTAAGTCTTTGAGCTTGTGTAACGTTAAACATAAATCATCCACACGCGAAATCTATATATTCTAGAGTCTTCTTATCGGATCCATATTACCAATAACCACTAGGTCATTTTCAGTGTCAGATACCTAGAGATAAAGCTGTGATAAATATAACATCAACCACAAAGTTCTATATCCCTTTCTTTATTCAAAAAAGAACTTATCCTAAACTAAGTGCTGTACAGGTAAATCGGAATGTCAATATAAAATAAAACTAAGCACAAGAGATTTGTCTCGTCTTAGTATGGGACCCTACAGCAGCGTCAAAGCGACAAATCCAACACAGATCGAATTCCTCAGGCTACAGGGCCAACCCACTGGCTCGTGAATTCTGACGTCTATTAATTCGTAGTACAATGCTAAAACCGACCAATACTATCAATGAACATTGATTTCATACTTGATGTGGCGACCCCTTCTGGTCACAACTTCTACTTTATTATGTAGATGCATGTATTCCATCGAAAAAGCTTCACATATATATCCAAGAGATATGGCCCATTAGTAAGCTGGTAAATGTGTTTTTTCATTGGGCTAGAATGTTTTCGAAAAATTCTTTTTAGAAGCATGGTATCTCTAAAATGTTTTCCAACTGATATGTAGTCACATGATATCTGCTTTGTTTTGAAAGTCTGATATATTTGCCACATGCATATTGATTGTTATTCCATTATAACTCACAAAATATTTTATCTTTCCATTAACTAAATAAACAAAGTATGACCTTACTGTCACGTGACATTACAACCAATCAGAATCCAGTTGGTGGCAGAGAAAAACTATACTACTCTCTATCTTATTGGTTCATGTGTGTGTTAGTTATTTCCTATTTAGAAAATCAAAACAAATGATTCAGTGAAGAGACTCTTTTCAACGAATTTATTTTCTATATGTTACAATGGGAATTTTCCATGATTTCCTATTTACTCTTGCATTGTACAATTAATTCACTCTTTCCGTACTCTTTAGTACTTTACCACTCACACTCTTGTGTGACAGTTAAGTTTTCTTTGTTGGAAAATACACGTATCCATTCGTGAACGTGGTGGTCTTCTGATTTGCCTCTTCGCGTCAGGACAAATTAACTACTACTCAGCAATACCAGTCTGTACGTTATCTATCGTCCGTTATATCTCACTAGCGCATATTTACACTCGGTCACACCATAATTAATATAGGCGACGAGTTCATAACAGCAACATTTTTAAGGCGTTATACGAAGACGTATTCGTCAGAATAACTACATCCAATCTCAATTTTCCAAACCACAAATTTTGTCTAGAACAAATTTTTCACAAATGCAAATTCTATATATCTTCAAAGGAAAATAAAAGAAGAGATTTGTGGTAACGACGCTGACTGCCTCATCGAATGCTACATTTTTTTTCCTTCACGTTCCCAGTGAAACATAGGGCTTCAAGCTAGAGGCTTGAAGTTTCTGTAGCAGTGGTGTTTATTTTTCCACGGGATGGGGTTAGTAGCCTCATGCCCAACCTTCACTCTTTGCCAGTTCTATTACTGGCCGAGGATCGAACCCCGGACAATGTGCATGGTCAGCAAGCGGTCTAACCGCTGTGCCACCGACGCTCTGTCACTTATAGAATAATTAATTTACCAATCGTTATGAAAACACTTTGATACCATTCATCAGATATGGTGCAAACGCTAAGCTGTGGTTGCTATTCACCAAATGAAATTGAAAAAAAAAACAGAGTGATTTGGCAATTGTTGCATGGCTGATACTAATGCTACCGGTATACACAATCAGGATACATCGTCATTCAGGGCGGAATGCAGGCACACCCAGCTGACGAGTCCCAAATAGGACGAAATGTGCATCCTAGATTCCACTGCTAGTCACCATCCACCAATTAACTTCTATTATTAATCAGTTTTGTACAAAATAGTTCAATATACCTTCCCATTAAGTACTAAGGTTAACCTTATTTTGAAGTGTTCATATGCCCAGTGATTGAAAAGGCACCATTTCAGTGTGTACCTGCAAAGTCTTACAGTTCTTAAAAGGAACGATTTTACAGCCTTCTGTGTTTTTTCATCCCTTGAACCTCATATTTTTGCATGATTAGGAGGATAATTTCTGATTCTAATAAAGTGTTCTCAATATTGACAGAGATCACCATTCACTGTCGATTAAAGCTTGATCGTGGGTATGATTTAGGGACTGCGAAAGCAAAAAAGTTGAAATTCAACTTTTACCGGATAGAGGGATAACCATATCAAAACCTGATACCAATCCATAAAATCTTTGAGAGGAGATGTAAGATTCCCATGGAGATTTAGAATGTTTGGTTGGTGTCCTCAGGATGTTAGTTAAGATTCAATGACTTAAGATTAATGGTGACATAGGTTGAATTTGTTCTCAATGACACAAATGCACTCCCTCTTTGTTAACTCTTATATCCAGTGAACCTACATGTTTCTCCTTGCTAATATTCTTTCTACTGGACGTCAGTGCTCATTATAGTCCTTCTCAATATTTTTTTCTCACTATTCTCTATTTTATGTGTCCCATGAAGTGTAACAAAACTTGAAGTACAGCAACTCATGGACAGAGTTCCGTATTGAAATTCAGCCAGTCATTTGAAGAACATCAAAATATCTTCCCGTCTAGCTTGATGACTTCATTGTAAAATTGATGGACAACTATTAATCAACTTCGAATGCTTAGAAGATATATCAATTGTCATTCAGTGATCAGTTTGTGTTTACCTCTCTTTTTCTCCCTATACAGTAAAGAGTTTTAACCACGCGTTATTCCCTGACTATCTGGCTGTACGTTCCAAGTTGGACACAGGACTTCAAGCTAAAGCTTTCAAGTTTCGGTAGCTTTGGTTTTTGCTACTTTTGTTGGGTGGGGTTGCTAGCCTCACGCCAATCCTTTCGTCTTTACCGCTCTCACTGCTGGTTTAGCAAGGTTTAAGAGTGCGTCGGTGGCCGGGGATCGACACTTAAGCCACTTCCGTGGTTGACGAGCTTTCTACCAGTAAACCGCTGACACACGATCACATAGCATACTTAGATACAATAATTATAATTTTGCCATAGAATACAAAAAACACTTACATCAACAAACAATGTTCGATCCACTTTGAACAGTACAAATCTTGCAGATGAACCAGCTATATTTTCCGGAGGTGTTTTCTGTCCAGCTTCTTCAGCCATGGCTGTTGCAAATTTAATTATTCTGCCAGCACTCCCACAGGTACAGACAAACTGTCAAAAAATATAACAAAGTTAAATATTTATATTGATTGATTAGTTTGAAGGGGAATAACTAATATTATGTGTGTTAGTTAGTGTTGTCGATGACTGGATTCTATCAGTCACGTTTGCTAATGTGTTAATCAGTCTGTGATGCATCACCACGGTACATTGTAAGCTTACTTCCGATGGTTGTAGGTAGTCGACACGAAGTCAATGGACAGACGTTTTGTGCCTATTGGTACTCAGTGGCAATGACATATCTAAGAACTCGAAGTACATTAATTCCCTGAGAACCTACATTACCATTATAATTATTTCCATTAGTTCCAAATGGAACATAAGGCTTCAACAGCACGTCTAAATCTCACTCCGTTCTCTGTAGTCTTCCTTACCAAGCCACACGACTTCCCATAAATTCTCATCTCCTCCTCACATGACTTCCTCCATGTCACCTTCTGACCAACTCACAACTCATCATTTCCTATTCTGGGGCCATTTGAGCGATAGTTTGGTGCACTGTATCACTCAATCGCCTCCTCAGAGTGTCTCCTATCCATCTCCATTTATCTTCAGCATATTTCTTGGGCAATAGGCCGGCTTTTGATTGGTCTCTTACCAGAGTTACTTGCTGCTTATTCTTTCTCGTCAACTGATCTTCAGTATGGAACCAGCACAGGGCAGCTGTTAACGAAAGTCTTCAGTAACTTGTTTAGAAATACTTTTCGTGCATCAGGCCACTGAATCATATAGAAGCACTAACTGGCCCTGAACATTGGTACTGAAAATTCGGATCTTATTTTCACCCTGATTTCAGAGAAATGGAGGTCTTGCTTGCTTTCTTCATCCTGCCTTTGACATTCCTATCTCCATAGGTGAGTGAAAGAGGTTACGTCCTTAACAGTTTCCCTGTTGATGATGTCTGTGGCCACGGAATCCACAAATGCATGTACATGTAGATGTTTTGAGCTGTAATCTAGTAAGAGTCTACTCAAATATTATACTAATAATAGTAATAATAATCACTTTATTCCAAACAGTAATAATGATAATACAGAATGGAATTTTCAGCGTCTTTTTATACATATTGCAACAATTTAGCTCCTTTTATAAATACGTACATATATAAAATTTAAAATAGTAATAATAGTAATATTAATAATGAAACCACCACTATAAACAGAACGTTGGCGGAAACATAATGAAGTATAAGTAGATAGTATCACAGATAATACATGTAATAATAATAATAATCTTTACTCATAATTTACAGTTCAGTTACTGATTTAATAAGGTTATAGATTCTTTTCTGACATCTGACTCTTTCTTCACAAAAAAACCCGTGCTAAATATGGTGGTATGGTAGAATTCTTATATTTAGTAGCTGTATGAGCCTGAATTCCTAAGGAGTTTCTGCTAGTTTTATCCGAAGATATACAGGGAAGAAGCTGTAAATAAAGGGGATGTTCGGTATTCGACAAGATGTCTATTGACAATAATGTCAGTTGGTTAGTTGAGTCAAAGCCACACCACTAATCCTACACACACAGCCTTCAGTGTTCTACGCAATATGACATAGTCTGTTTTGAGAAGTCCAGGGAAGAATAAGGGCGAACAATAAAGAAGTAGAATGGTCAGGATGCATTAACTAATAAGTTGTAAGAGAAGAGGTTGAGTTATTCCAGAAAGTCTCAGCTTATTTATGTAATAAGTCAAACAAAATGATTTTCCCTTAGAAATCAACAGGATGTGAGACGATTAACAGAGGAGATTCGAAGAGAAATTGATGTCGAGGTGTAAGAGATATTCGATTTACTTCCTATCATAGTGCCGTCAATATCACAAGGGACTGGATTAGTCCATGCAAGTCTTGTTCACATCTGAAACTAAAAATCAATAATATGACATTTAGATGGATCCAGTTTAAGACCATTTACGTTAGACCACTTGTGAACTTCAGATAAGAATCTGTTCGTCTAAGAACAATCCAATGCAGAAACCAGTGGGACAGAAATGGTTAGATCGTCGGCAGTATATATAATGAAGTTAGCTCTGGAAGAATATGGAAGGTCATGAGCAAAAAGGAAGAAAAGAAGGAATGGAGAGAGTACAGCTCCTTGTGATACATCAGTTTCCGTTAGCAACGAATTGGCGCACCTTTCACTCAAAACAGTATATTGTTTTCTAGCCAAAAGATAAGAAGACAGTCCACCTTGTAACCCAGGATTCAGTGTTTGCTGAAATCAGCTTGCTTAGTAAAAGTGCCTTGGGAATAGAGTCAAAAGTAGCAGTATAGTCTAAAAAGGAGGCTCGAACCAACCTTGCACCTTTATCAAGACTTGAAACAATATTGTGATGGAGTACAAAGACAGTATCTACAGTGCTTCTACTGGATATGTGTAAGCAAACTGCTTTGGGTCATTATAAGATTTCAAAGAAGGTTTAAGAATTTTGCTATTAAAGTTATTCAAGAATGGACATCATTACAATGAATAACAATTATAAAATTATATTTGTAAAATCTCAGCGAAATTGAAATGATTAATTCCAACGTTTCGTTCGGCAATCTGGTCTGAACTTCTTCAGGGAAATTAATCGAAATTAACCATAACACATGACAGGACAAACAATTTAAAACAACAGATGTACTTTTATATATAAACATACAATTTTATTTATTATACATGTTGATGCCTGTTGCATGACTCATGATTGGACATAGTTTAAAAACAAGAGTTGTTCCTTTTATATATAAACCTCTGTTTATTTTAATTCGATTAATTTCCCTGAAGAAGTTCGGACCAGATTGCCGAACGGAACGTTGGAATTAATCATTTAATTTTCGCTGAGATTTTACAAATATAATTTTATAAATGTCTACTTCCCACTCAGCGCTCAATTATTTTGCAACTATCCAGTCAAATCTTGATCACAGTTCATATGAATAACAATTATTCCTTAGAAAGGGAATGATTCAAGTGAACTGTTTTGTTTTCAATAAATTCTTCTTCAGCCTCCACAGTTATAACACTATAAGTGTCAGCACACAATAGGCAGTAAACGTCAATATAGACAAATAATAATAATCCAAATGAACTGTCGTCAAGATTTGACCGAATAGTTCTAAAATATTTGGGCGCCGAGTGAGAAGTAGACATTTGTATTATTTTGCTATCGAATTAAATTAACAAAGAAACTATGTAATTGGCACAATCATCGTGTTTTCAGTCTCCGTTGTCTGGAACAAAATGCATATCCTAAATCCGTAGCTGTCGAGTCACTTGACAACTCCAGTAGGTCGAATAAAGCAGCTCAATATTCAGAAAGAAGACAATGCAATAAGTTCAACAGGGTGCTTAAACTAAACTCTAATCCTAAACACCATAATTTTGAAAATACGTCTAATCATAAAATTCTAGATACTAGCAGTTTGAACAGACATGAAGGTTTGATGTTAGCTGATGCATAGGAAATCCTGAATAATAAATAAAAATGGATATGTATCACTAATAAATAATACTTGGTCAAATTCCTGACTGTCTATATCTTCCTATAGAGACGTTAAGAAATGTTTTACAACTGTCTACACACACACGCATGCACACTCTGTTTGAAGTATTTAACAAAGGTAGACCAATATTTGTAAGTCCGAGGTCAAATTTTGATCACAGCTCATACAATTTTGTTTATTATACTTGTTAATACTTGTGTTTATGAATCATGATTGGACAGAGTTTTTAAAAAGATGTGCCTTTTATATATAAAACCTCTGTTATGTTAATTCTGATTAATTTCCCTGAAGAAGGTCGGACCAGATTGCCCAACGAAACGTTGGAATTACTCATTTCAATATCGCTGAGATATTACAAATATAATTTTTTACAAATAATAATAATTTTTTATTATTATTATTAATTCCTTCACGTTCCCAGTGGAACATAGGGCTTCATGCTAGAGGCTTGAAGTTTCTGTAGCAGTGGTGATTATTTTTACAGGATGGGTTGCTAGCCTCATGCCTAACCTTTCCTCTTTACCAGCTTTATTTCTGGCTTAGCGAGGTAAAGGAGTGAGTCGGTGGCCGGGGATCGAACCCCGGACCATGTGCATGGTTGGCGAGCGTCCTAACCACTGTGCCACCGAGGCATAATAATAATAATGATTTGCTTTATTCCAAAACAGTCCTGATGATACAGTATGGAATTCTCAGCATTCGCTACAATATTGTATCTAATTTGCTTGATAACGGCGAAAACAAAACCAGAGAAATAATATTACAAGTTATACGTAACCAGGATTGATAAGAACAACTTTTTTTGGTACTTGCAGTGACAATAAAAACTCAAAAATGTACAAGAAGTATTAACAGCTAAAATTCTAAGTCGATTGAAATGGTGTCATCATAGATTACAAATATGAGAGGAGAAAAATGAGCAAATTATTTTGCTAATAACATAGTAAGTTGTAGGTTTCACGCTTAACACTATTTCTGCTGCATAGAACGTAAGCCGAATATGGTATCTTTGACATTTTTTGTACTTTTTTGTGCTAGCGAATATATGTAGTCTTTTTTTAGTGACTTCCAGTCTTATCTGATGAAATGCAAGGCGGAGAGAGTTCAGAATAGGTAGGGTGTTAAGAATGAGACAATATGGATTTAAATCATTTGTCAAATGAGTTATTCAGAGGTCTGCCAACTTAGTGGCACACTACTTGCCCTACTGACAACTTTTAATACTTTACGCAATATGATATAGTCTTCCGTCTTACCTTCTACATCAAGAAGTTAAAACATTCTGGTATAACCCAACCCTTACTCCTATAATTCGTTATCTCTCACATTCTGCCTATTATTCTCTTTTGTTCCCTCTTAGTTTTTCCCGGGCTACTGAAGAAAGACTTTAACATATTACGCAGGATGTTAAAGGTTGTCACCAGGGTAAGCAACGTGCCACTTAACCAGCTTGTTAATATTCTGGTCGACAAGCACTTCGACTCATGTAAAAATTGGGCCAAATCCATTTTATCTAACTCACACCACCTTCTTCATTCACAACTCTCCCCTTGCATCTCATCAGGTAAAACAAGAAGCCTATATAGAAAACTGTATGCTCGCACTAGCAACCATACCCTACTTAGCTCGTGTTCTGTGCGATAAAGAAAGCATTAGGCGTGAGACTTATAACTTACTAAATAGTCAGTAGAACAACTGGATCTCGTCTTTCCAACTCATATCATTTAAAGCTACAACATTTTCTTTCTTTCTTTTCCTATTCTCTCTCTCTTTTTCTGTTATGTGCTGCTTTGTTTCTTTCTTCCGATTACGCCAGTAAATATGACAGCACCTACTTTTCTAACACCTTCAAACACTGTTCAGCGTTGGCTTTGCTACCGACATCCCAATATGTTGTTGACATAATGGACTGAGATTTCCTTAATCTATGTAGAATTCTATTTATTGATAATGTACTAACTGGATGCAATACTGTAGTAAAAATGCTGAGAATTCCATTCTGTATCACAAGTACTGTTTTGGAATAAAGCAAATTATTATTATTGTTATTATTATTATTATTGAGTGGCTCAGAAATGAATACGAGGGAGAAGTAGACCACATCAGGTAAGATGTGAGAGTTAACCAACTATGAAAGCAGCGGTTGAATGATTCTTGATTGTCTTAACTTCTTAATGTAGTAGGTTATATGGGACATTCTCTTGGAAATCGACAAGAACTATTCCAAGGTATTTTATGCTTGAAGTTAGTGCCGTCTATGCTTCAAGCATCATATAAACGAACCAGTTCTTGTTCATCCCTGAAAGTGATGTTAATTGTCTGAAATTTAGAGGGATTTAATGATAAGATCATTTAACGGCCTATTTAATCGTTGGACTGCCTATACTACCATCTACATAACGCATCTAATTTATCATATTTTATGTGTATTTATGTATCGAATAACTGTAGAACTTAGAAGAAATTGTCGAAAATAGATATTCTTTGGTTACAGGATTTTCATCATGAGCTGACATTAGTTAGAGAACCATTGGAAAACCTGAGAGTACTGGAAAGCTGTTTCGTCCTAGTTTGGGACCCTTCATCAGTACGCATCCACCGGGATTCGAACCCAGGACCTTATGGTTACAAGGCGAGCTAGCTCGTAGACCACTGAGCCACTGGGATCCGATCCAATGGCTAGCCGATGAATTCTAACTTCTGCCAATTCACGACACAGCGCGACCCCCAGCCAATGTCTTCGGCGAGTATTTGTCCTCACACCCGACCTGCTGCACCCTACTGGTCACGACTTCTTTGATTCTTTGATTTATCCATCAGTCTTTTCAAATTTAATATAATAGCAAAAATAATAATATAATAATGTTTACAAGTGTATAAGTAGAGTACCCACCTTGACATCCCCGAATTTCTCTTTAAAATTAAATGAATTTGTTGATATCCCAAGATGATATAAAACATCTTCCTTAAGATTATGCAAATGTTTGTTTGTTAAATTTGCTTGAGAATTTGTCATTTTTTTCTTTTCTGCTCAATTGTATTCTATTGTACTGTATAACTAATATATTAAAACACAAATGTTTTAGAATGATATATATACAGCTCTGATGAAAGTAAGCTTAAACATTGTTAAAGAATGTTAATTCCATACTAAAATATGATTGGTTCATTCTCGTTAGCATTAACCACCAATCACAGAAGCGAGGATACACTTAATAATAATAATAATAATAATAATTTCCTTTATTCCAAAAACAGTACTTATAATACAGAATGGAATTCTCAGTATTTGTCACAATATTGCATCGGATTTACTCAAAATATAAATAAAATTTAAAACAAAATTAATCGGAGGAATTTTTCCACATTTACGACATAATTATTAGATATAATAATAATAATAATTATAACAGTGAGTTTGTTTCAAACATTATTGTCGATTCAGTTTGGAAACTTTAGCGTGTTATAGATCATTGGGTCTAATGTTCTGTTGATATAGTATAGTGAGGGGAAAGACAAAATTAACAGTCATAATACAGCTTAAAATTATGACCACACTTATGAAAAGAAATAAACAAAACGGAAAAATTGAGATGATTATAATATAAGAAATACAATAACAATAAAGTATGATGCTTTTAAAGTGAAGGAAATGGTTCATTTAGTGTTTATTTAGTGCTAAGAAGGTTAGTTAGTTCAAATCTGACGCTATTTTCATCAAATAAAGTACGTGCCAAATATGGTATAGTGGAATTTTTATACTTAGACGTGCGTGCATAAAGTCTTCTGAAAAGACTTCTTGTTTTACCTCAGGAGACACAAGGTTGCAGCTGCGGGTACAGTGGGTGCTCAGAGTATGACAAAATTCCTTTAGCGAATTTGTTACATGACATCAAGTGCCTATCAGTGACAATGTCAACGATGTGGCCCAATGGGATACCACTCGTCCTACTGAACAGTCTTCAGAGTTCTACAAAGTATGACATAGTCTTTTTTAAGCAATCCAGGAAAGAATAAGGGTGAACAGTAAAGAAGAATAGGTAAAATACACGAGTTGATAAACTGTAAGAGGATTGGTTGAGTTATGCCTGAAAGCCTTAACTTCTTAATGTAAAAAGTCAAACGAAATATTCTTTTAGAAATCGCTACGACATGGGAAGACCAGGATAGGTTAGAAGAAAGAATTAATCCAAGATACTTAACTTCAGACTTGATTTCTATATCAGTATCATCGATTTCGCAAGGGTCATAGGAACCAATATATGTTTACTAAAACTAACTTACTGTTGAATAAGATGATTTTTCTGTTGCATTAACAGATGTAGAATTGCTCACCAACGATTTATTAAAAAAGGAACTATATATCCTCACAAAATAGAAGGAAATTAACACTGATACAATATTTCAGTCTATGTTTTGAAATAATCAAAGTTAATCATTAAATTATTGATTAAGCTATTTTAAAATAATTCCATATTAGTTTGTTTATTAGATATATCACACACAGTCAGTGAAACAGTATTATTTACTGGATGACGTTTCGCACACAATTTATTCATGTTCATAATCATATCATCAATTATAATCACATGATTTCGAAACTTGAGTTTTTAATAGTTTTCTTTGATCTCTCCTATTTGTCGTTGTTGTAGGGGTAGTAGAATTTTCCAGATATCTGAGTTGGCAGTTGTTGAATCATTCCTATTACACGTATTCTCTTCAGTTGATTCGATAAACAAAGCTTCTCTTATCAATCTCTCCCTCCTCCAACCTGCTGTGACATTAGATTTTAAAAACTGTCATCTTATCCCATCATCCTATTGAATGGTTGTGTGTGTAGTTGCATGTGGTGAGTGCCACAGCTGAACTATTCTCTAGATTTCTTATCTTATTTGGATCAACCAATCCAGATTTTGCTAAGTTTTTATGTTCAGCTAGTCTAACTGCCCCTGTTCTACTAGTTTGACGTATGTATTTGACCTGACAGTCATCGCAGGGGAGGGTATTAGATAAACTAAATTGTTTTGTTTTAAAGGATCCAAAGGATTGACCCTCCAACCGACAAAGCTTGTTTCGAAATGAGTTTGTGGGTTTGAATGCCATTTTATTCCTGCCTGCATTGTTAAGAATGTTCCACCGTAAGGTTTCCGAGGTTCCTTCCTTGTATGGAATTACTACTGATGATTTAGATTCCTTATTGTTGGTGTCGTCATTAATATTATTATTATTATCACCATTATTATTATCATTATTATTGTTATTATCACTATCGCTAGTATCATTATTTATTTTATTTTTACATTTCCTTACATATTTCCTGACTAATTTATCCGGGTAATTATTAAGTTTCAAGGCTTCTTTTATGTGTATCACTTCCTGTTTTAGATTTTCCTTGGTACTACTTAATTTTTGTGCTCTGTCCTTTGAACATTTCACCAATCCTATTTTTACTGACATAGGATGGGATGATTGGAAGTCCAAATATCTGTTTGAATGTGTGGGTTTCCTGTAAACATTAGTGTTTAACTTCCCATCTTCTTTTCTTTTTACGCTACAATCTAAAATTGGAAGCTCCCCTTCCTGACTTTCCAATTCATAAGTGAATTGAATTGCTTCAACTTTGAGTTAATGTGTTTGAAAAATCTATCTATATCTTGTGTTCTAAATGCAGTGAATGTGTCGTCTACATATCTCCACCATACTTTTGGGGTGGGGCTGAACGTTTCAGTCACTGTGTTTTCCCACCTATCCAGAAATATATCTGCTACAACTGGAGATATTGGTGACCCCATGGAAACTCCCTCAGTTTTTTTGTATATTTTCCCCTGGAATTTGAATACTGTGGAAGTCAGGCATAGCTGCACTTCCAGTATTATGTCCTCAAGTGGCACTTTTGTCCTAATTTCGAGGTCTTGGTCAGAAATGAGTTCGTTTCTGACTGCCTCTATAGACATATTTATCGGTATACGTATATATAAACTGACAATGTCAAAAATAACAAGTTTTTCTTCATTATCTAATTTTAAATTATCTAATCTATGTTTTAGTTCATATGTATTTGTTAGTCTACATTTTGAGTGGCTCTTAAGGGGATTTGATACCATGACTAAATATTTAGACAATTCATTAGTAGATGAATTTTTAAAATCAATTATAGGTCTAATAGGGTATAATGACTTGTCAAATTTAACAACACCAAACGTCCCACTGGAGTTATTAGTTTTGGGTATTAAATTAAACCATTTAGACTCACCTAGAAACGGCTTCATTCGGTGTACAAGGTCCGCTGTGGATTTCTTAACCTTATTCATAACAGTGTCTATTGATTTATTGATTTCCTCATATGGTCCGGTTTGTATGTGAGTATTCACCTTGCCCAAATAGTCTGATTTTTGTAATATTACAATTGCAATTCCTTTGTCTGACTTTGTGATTACTAGATCCTCGTTATTCTTAAGGTGTTTTAGGGTTTCTATCTCTGATTTTGTCAGGTTAGGCTTTCCAGGTTTTTGCCTTTTTAATGTTAGTGCACATTGTGCCCGTACTTCGTCAGCCGTTGTTTTGTCTATCCGACTTAGTGCTATTTCTATTTTACGGATGACACCCTCAGGTTTCAGTTGGCCTACCACTATATTGAAATTTAGTACCTTTTCTAATACACTTATTTCTGTAGGACCTAATATATGTGTTGAGAGATTGATAACCCACTTTGTCAGGTGATCCAGTGAGGTGTTCAAAGCGAATACAGACGTAAGATAAGTTTGCCTGTTTACTATCACCGATGATATTCTTAGCTGTGTTTGACTGGTTTACGCGGAATACTGTGGGCTGGGAGTGAGAAGACAGAAATACGCTGGACGACTGATAAGAAGATTCTAGAAGATCTGGATTTCGCGTGTGCATGATTTATGTTTAATGACACACAGGCTCAAAGACTTACAAGTGGAAAACAACACACTTTCAGAAGGAGCAGGCAGCAGGCGAAGACGGGTTTCTGGGTGAACATGGAAAAGACGGAGTCGATGAAGATAACCAACCAACAACAAAAACGTTAATCACCATCAACGGGAGAAATTTGAGAAAGGTTAATGCTTTCACTAATCTAGGAAGCATCGCTTCAACTCCAGAGAGACGGCATAGATGAGGAAATTGTAACTCACAATTAAATAGGCAAAAAAGTTCTAGGAATCATTTTAAAAATTAGGCTGATTCCATCCTGGTTGTATGCTAAATGAATGGTTCCATTTGTCTGTGTACAGATTTTTTAACTGATTAAAATGATGCTCTAGAACATACGGCTACTGCTTACTTCGCAAACATTCTTTTAATCCAATAACCTCAAGATAACAGAAAATATGCTGTTTATTTAAAAACCCTACACTTATGCATATGTATAGATAGATACATAGATAATAATAAATGTACATGTATAAATACGTGGATTACCAAACAAGATGAACTCATTGACACACTGAAGTCTCTGCAGACTTACACTTTCAATGAGATTCAACCGATCCACATCTCCCTCCTTCCCATCGCCGGCTCGCTGTCACTCAGACACACACTGACTGACACTCACTCACCCATACTTGAAACCTCTTATTCAATCTCCTTGCTGCTTCACGTCAACAAATATTGTAAACATACATCACATAGACACAAAGAGACGCAAGTACAAGTTAAAGAAAACCAGCTATGAGAAAACCGTCAGATCAAATCCCATCTGCTGCACTCCCTCTATTCTCCATTGCTCAACTCAGCTCAACACCAAGACAAGTCTCCATTTCTCACAACTTCTTATATGCATACAACGAAGCATAGACGATGCGTGAAATCGCAACAAATCGCAACATTATCCTGTGTTGCTAATCTAGTTCACCAATAAACACGAAGTCTTCACGTTCCTTGGAAATCAAACTCAAAATTTCACATTCTTTCATCTTCAAACACCATCGAAAGTTAAATGTAGCGACAAAATTAATTTTATACCTTGTTGTTTCCAGTGGAACATAGGGCTTCAAGCTGGAGGTTTCAAGTTTCTGTAGCAGTGGTTTTCTTTCACGAGATGAGGTTGCTGGCCTCACATCCAACATTCCCTCTTTACCGGAAATACTAACACGACCAGGAGAGGTTTAGGAATGCGTCGGCTGAAAATCGAACGCTGAACCACTTGCTTGGTTGACCGATGTCCTACCACTGAACCACCGATGCAACATCTCTCAAAGGAGAACTATGTGATGTAAGTTTTGAGCATATCGGAAACCATGAGTATACGAATACACAAGTCAAATGAAAGAACCTGGGATTGAATCTCCTGAAAGCTGGATGGCGTCGAGCAGAATTTTGGACCTAGGAATAGTGCTTCTAGTTGAAAGGTTGACAGTTCAATGTTTGGGAAATTAAATACGTATTTTTCCGGACTGATTAGAAATGGACTTTCGGCATTACAAATTGACTTCAGGCTTTTAATTAGCTATGACTTGATCTTATCAGATTGTTTCTGTGTGACTTCATGGACATATTCTCCGGAGGATTGAAGTTGTTCTTTATCGAGGAAGGCGGTAACTAGACATACGTAACACATGTCCTAACCATCTCAGTCGATGTAGCTTCACAGCCTCGTCGATTGATTTCCCCTCCTTACATAGCACTCGACCGACGCCTAACCTCAATATTCCTCACCCTATTATATCACTTAAAACGTGAGGTAAAACACAGGCACCTATGATCAAAGACAGCTAGCCAGCCTTTTCATGTCTTCCACTCCCAACGGCCAGGTCTCACAGCCATAAAGTAGGACGGAGAAGACTGATGAGCAGTACACACGCCCTTTCGTCGAGAGCTGGCCGGATATCAAGTCTACGTCAGAAATGGCATAAACGGGCATACGCGAAACTAGCCCTCTGTATCCGTGCTGAGACTTTGTCAGCGATCAACCCGTTAGCACTGGCTGATGGTACTTCCCAAATAAGTGAAGCGGCCAACGTACTTTACCACTTTAGTCCCTATTTCTAAGCTAGGAATCAGTGTAGTCTAGTCCTCTAACATCATTTCACATTTGGAGGGAGAGAATCGCACGCTAAACATTCGTAAATTGCAGCTCAAGGTGTTCAGAAGACTCTGAATTTTGTCAGCGTCCTTGCCTCGTCTGCATATTCTAAGTCAACGAGATTATTCCCTGGTAGCAAGTCAATCCCTGAGTCTCTGAAGTCAGTTAAGGTGAAGTCCATTAGTACATCTATGATGAAATTGAATAGAAATGGGCATCCTTGACGGACACCACTAGTCGTCACCACTTGAGATGACAACTCACCATAAGCTGTCACCCGGCTGGCTGCATGAGTTCGAGTAGAGTGCCTTGATCAGTGCAATGTATTTTCTCGGCATTCCCTTTACAGCCAAGCATCGCCATAGTACCACTTGATCGACAGAATCGAATGCCGCCTTTAGGTCAAGAAATATAACCATTGTTGGATGCGGGTAAGTAAGTTGATGTAAATACTCTCAAAAGGTCTCCCATACATTCTCTTAATGCTTTTGTCCCCAACATAACAATTAACAAGGTTAGTGACTTTCATAGTTTTAAAAATACTTTTGATGCTCTTAAGTGTTTGAAATATCTAAAACTTTTCCAGAGCCTAGGTCCTGATGATGTACCTGCTGTTGTCCTCAGGAGATGTGCTGATATTTTGTGTTACCCACTTACAAACATATTCAATACTTCCTTTTCCAGTAATGTTGTACCTGTTACGTGGAAAGACATTAAAATCATCCCTCATCAGCTAAATCAGGTCCTGGTAGTAATGTTAAATTTGGACCTATTGTAATCACCTCCCCTTTTTGAAATTAATGCAGAAATCATTCTTAATCAACCCTGTACCTTCTTTAAAAAATTTTAATGATCCCAAACAGTTTGCTTATGGGCAGGGCAGAAGTACTTTAGATGCTACCACTGCATTACATCATAACATTGTCTCCTCCTTAGACAAAGTGACCAAATATGTACGTTGTACCTTCCTCGACTCAATACCGAAATGTCTTTTGTTAAACACGCTTGGTCTAAGCGGTCTAAGCTAAATGGTCTTAGGTTAAATCCTTCAAAATGCCAAATCACTGACTTCTCCTTTAGACATAAATGCGATCTACAACGACTGTTTGGTACATACGATGCTTGTCGTATAGAAGGGACTGTAACAGAAACTAGGTCTAAGACAAAACACCTTGGTATAGTAAGATACTCTGACGTTACTTGGTCATCACATATTTTGTCGATCTCCAAGAAAATGTTCCATCTAAGCTACTACATTAAGAAGCTAAAACAATCTGGAATCATCAAGTATTGGTTTTCTAGGGATTTTGTTTGATTGCATGGAGGATTTCATCATGAGCTGACATCAGTTAGAGAACCACTTGAAAACCAATACTTGAAAATTAATCTGATGCTCACTAGCGAATGGCCCTATTCAGGCAGTTAACCTGGGGTTCTAGTGGGAAACTGTGACCAGTAGGGTACAGCAGGTCGAAGATGAGGCAGTAACTCATCGAAGAAGACATTGCGAAATGGTCGCGCTATGTCGTGAATTGGCAGAAGTTAGAATTCAAGAACCATTGGATCGTGTCCCAGTGGCTCAACGGTCTACGATCTCGCCTTGTAACCAGAAGGTCCTGGGTTCAAACCTAGGTGGTGGGTGCGTACTGCTGAAGAGTCCCAAACTAGGACGAAACGGCCGTCAGTAGTTCTCTAACTGATGTCAACTCATGATGAAATCCTCCATGCAATCTGGAATCACTCAACTCTCCTTTGACAATTTGTTAACTTGTGTATCTCACCTATTGTACTTTACTGCTCCCCTGCACTTAGTCTTTCCTGCTGGGCTACTGAAAAAGGACTATGTCATTTTGAAAAAAAGGTATTAAAGGTCCTCAGTTGTGCAAGTGGCGTGCAACTTAATCAGCTTGTCGCTACATTAGTTGATAGACACCTGAATAACTCATGTGAGAAATGGTCTAAATCCATAAGGGTCTGACATTCAACAACCCCTCCATTCTCAACTCTGCCTGCTTTGCATTCATCAGAGTATATGCTCGTACTACCAAGTATGGGAACTCAACGATAACATATATTCGGCCCGTTTTCTATGTGATAGAGACAATGTAGAGCGTGAAACTTATGCATTACTATGTTGTCAGTAAAATGATCGGCTTATTTATTATCTCCAATTTTCATGCATTTATTCCCCTTGATGAATTTAAATAAAGCAAGAATAACAGTGGTTTGTGCAGAATAATATAATACAATCATTTATTTCGTCGGCTTCTCATCAGCTGCTTGCAGCCTAAATAAATTGTGAGGTTTACGTACAGAAAAGTTTTAACATACTTGCAAATTTTACATGTTGTAATTTGACAGAAAGTTCCACAATTAGTGAAAAGTGCTCAGAAAATTGTGCTTATATAGTTTTTACACAGGCAGTCCAAGTTTAAACAAAATAGATGTATGCATACAATGGTAAAGGAGTTACGTAATAAAGACGAGAGGTGAGTAAGATGATGAGTAACCAATAAATTTGGTAACGATGTACTGAGTTCAAATCACGTCATAGAAACAAGAGACAAGCAATATTACAGATTATAAAAAAGAGGGGTGAGATTAAAGACAAAGATTACGTAATCAGAGTAGAGAACAAAAACATCCAGTTACCATGGCAAGGAAAGACTAATAACTGCTTCTGTCTGAACACATAAATCTGGTTTGAAGCGTTTGATAGAAATTGCTTCGGCAAACTTGAGGAGAATGGAGCTCCTTTGTCTATTGATAATTTTACAGGATTTCTCGATTTCCACCTCATGACCCGTGTCGAGGAGATGCCTGGCGATGGCACCGTAAGCTTTTTGGTACATGTTCAGAAAATCGTAGATATGCCCTTCTTTCTGTCCTTCCAATGTAACTGCTCCCGCAGATACATGTAAATTTGTATATGCAGTTGGAGTTCACATGAGAAGGATATCTATCGATTTTTGATTTACTTTATTTATTAAATTAAATTATTAAATTTATTAGTTACTAATCATCTTACTCACCTCTCGTCTTTATTACGTAACTCCTTTACCATTGTATGCATACATCTATTTTGTTTAAACTTGGACTGCCTGTGTAAAAACTATATAAGCACAATTTTCTGAGCACTTTGCACTAATTGTGGAACTTTCTGTCAAATTACAACATGTAAAATTTGCAAGTATGTTAAAACTTTTCTGTACGTAAACCTCACAATTTATTTAGGCTGCAAGCAGCTGATGAGAAGCCGACGAAATAAATGATTGTATTATATTATTCTGCACAAACCACTATCTCCTATTTGTAATCTATGCTGACAATATCTCAATCAACTGACAAAAATATTCCGAAGAAAATAGAGATGGGTCGGATACACCCTGAGGAGACCGTTAAGTAAAATCCTGCGCAGTAGTCTTTCGAAAGGAACCGAAAGGGGGAACCACAAGTCGGGTATGAGTCCGAGAGTATCATGGAGGAAGCGAGAAAGCTTATGGACAATCATGAAGTTAGCTAAAGATGAACTGCAGAAACTGAGGTAATAGTAGTAAGAAAAATAATGTTAATACTAGTGACGAAGTCGACTGATTTGGTGACGAAATATCTGAAATCGAAATAACGTAACACAGTAGAACAAGAAGAAGAAGACTATGGAACACAGTTTCTTTTTATAAACATATATGTACAAAACACAATGAAATCTTTTTTAATTTTACCATCACTAACACATTCAAGAAGTATATTTCAAACAGTTATTGTGAGGGAAAAACACAATAATAATCTCAAATATGATGATTTGATTAGGCTTTATTTATTGCATTTGGACTCTCCGATATACCTAGTTGAGATTTCGTCACACTCAGTTCGTTACACCTTCTCAGAATCCAATCCAGTGGAACTAAAGGTCCACGAGAATCCTATAGGAAGAAAAACCAAAGGAAAATATACATCAGTAAAATAAACACGATGGTTGAAAGTAAACAATGAAGGACAAATTTTGTAATTCAACTTAGATTTTCCTGTCGATTGATTGGACCGAGTTGTCTGGTCTTAGGTTGACATGTCTGCGCGCCTTGTACAGATGTTTCAACGATGTCTGGTCATGTAACTTGAAGTCAATTGGTGGATGGTGACTGACTGACTAACAGTGGAATCCAGGTTGCGCATTTCGTCCTATTTGGGACTCGTCAAGTAACTGGATATACTTGCATTCCCCAGTGAGTCAGGATGTTACCAACGAGGATGTCACCGTCTCTCAGTTGTAACTGCTTTCCAATTCTATGACAACTAACATTACTTGACGAGGCATATGTGACACGTGTCCTAGCCTTCTCAATCGATGTAGTTTCATAATCTCATTGACTGATTTTCCTTCCTTACCAAACATTCTACGCCTCGTCTCAGTCACAGTAGGCAGAATGAAGACACCGATAGCCAAAGATGAATAACCATATTATTTCCACCACTTTCAATAACCACGTCTTACAAGCAACTACTGTGTATTATTATTATTGTTCCCTTGGGTTCCTAGTGGAACATAGGGCTTCAACTGCACGTCTCCACTTGCTTCTGTCTTCTGCTGTAATTTTCACTTGCATCCATGTTAGTCCATACTGCTTCAGCTCCTCTTCACACCACCTCCTCCATGTCACCCTTGCACTGACGTCCCACTCGCCGCTTCCCTTTCAGGTTCCACTCGAGCACTGGTCTGACGCGCGATGTCACTCAGCGGCCTCCTCAGCGAGTATCCAATCCATCTCCACTTTCTCCTGCATATTTGTTGAGCGATTGGTTCTTGTTTTGTTTGTTCCCATAGTTTCTGGTTGGTGATTCTTTCCGGCCATCTGATCTTGAGTATAGAACGAAGACAGCTGTTGATAAAGGTCTGCAACAGGCTGTTGGAAATATTCTTTGTGACACACTGGCCAAGTTTCTGATCCGTATAGAAGAACTGACTGACTTGACGTTTGTATATTGAAAATACGAATTTTGTTGTTGATGCTGAGTTGAGTGACGGAGATTTCCAGATTGGTTTCAGCTTGATGAATGTGTTTCTCGCCTGCCTTCCCGATTCTCGATTTGGCATCCTCGTCCGTTCCTCCTGTAGTTGAGACAATGCTCCCTAGATAAGTAAAGTGAATGAAGTAACCTCTTTCAAATCCTTCCCGTTGATGGTGACTGGCGCTGGATGTTGCCACTGTTGTTGTTGTTGGTTGGTTATTTTCATAACCTCCGTCTTGTCTATGTTCACCTGGAGTCCTGTCTTCTCTGGCTGCTTCTTCCACCAGTTTGTCGGTTTTCGCTTGTGAGTCTTCGATTTTGTGTGACATCAAACATAAATCATCCACGCGCGAAATCCAGGTCTTCAAGGTTCTTCACATTGGTCCAGGATATCCCTGTCTTCTCGTTTCCCACTGTCTGACGCATAATCCAGTCCACCACAATTAGGAAGATCATTGGTGATAATAAGCACCCTTGTCTGACTCCTGTGTTTACTCCAAACGCCTCGCTGAGTTTTCCGTTGTGGATGACTTGACATGTGCCGTTGTCGTACAGCTGTTGAATAAGGTTGATGAATATTTGGGGTACAACTACTGTGTGCAGTACACATATCCTTTGATGAACATATATCCGGCTTACTAAATTCGATACATATATTAAGAATCAAACCAAAGCAATCCACTGTTTTCAGTTAACAGTATAATTTCCATTTCAGACAAAGGACTGTTCGAATTTACAACCTATCGCCCAATAAATATACAGAACGGAATGCAGATAGATTGGACACATACTGAGGAGATAATTAAGTGACATCATGCAACAGGCCCATGATCAAAACTCAAATGATAAACGGAAGTCCAGGCGTCTGAAGGTGGCTAGGATGAGATCGTATGAGGCGGAAATGAAAGCTTATAGGGAATTGTGGAGTAAGCTAAAAGATACTACAGAGAACACAGTCAAATGAAGATGTGTTACGGAAGCCCTGTGTTCTACTCGAAACCCAAAGGAATATTTATTATAATAAAGTAATATTGTATATTATATATATTATATACTCCTCCTCGTCCTCCAAAGTCTAAAATTCCTCGATAATCTTGATTTCGTCATGTCACTGCATTTTTGTCTACTGTAGTTTCCCTACATTCCTCTTTCTCTACTTTTGTGTACTTCCCTGCTTTTCAGTGTACTTTCTGAAATGAAGTCAAAAGTTATTAAAAATAAAAAATACTGGAAAAATCCTGTCTAATACAATTTACATCAAAATTTTGATGGAGATTAGATATTAAAAAAGGCGAAGTCTTGAAGAAGTCTCCAGCCTAGAATGTTTCTATCGCCCTAGGCCTTGATAAAAAAGTAAAAAAATTATTTACCATCTTGAAATGATTTATATTCACTCTCTGAAAATATCGATAGTACTATTTGACTATTTTTGGGTTAGATTGACTGAATGATTTACGAGCTTGCCTTGTAACCGGAAGGTCCTGGGTTCGAACCCCAGTGGGTGCGTGCTGCCGGTGATTTCTAAACTAGGATGAAAAAGCTAACTATCCAGTACTCCTTGCTTGTTAGTCCCGCGTTGTCTAGCGGTTAAGTTCCTGACCTTCACCCAGGTGGCCCGGGTTCGACTCCAGGCTCGGAAGCGCTTAGTGCGTCGGTGGCACAGCGGTTAGGACGCTCGCCAACCATGCATATGGTCCGAGGTTCGATCCGCGGCCACTGACGCACTCCTTCACCTCGCTAAGCCAGAAATAAAGCTGGTAAAGAGGAAAGGTTGGGCATGAGCCTAAAAACTTCAAGCCTCTAGCTTGAAGCCCTATGTTCCACTGGGAACGTGAAGGAATTAAAAAAAACTATTTGACTAAAAACATTTAAGGGGTGGGTGTGTAGTAGTTGTTTGGTAAACAAGATTCCTAATTCTCAAGCAAAGATTTACTTACCCAAACTGTTGGACATAATCGATAGGCTAACTGTAGAACTGATGCATATCCAGAGGTTTCAGCTGCCGCCACAGTAGCCACCTCGGGTACATTAGAAGAAGAAGTGGAAGCATTCGTAGAAGAAGGAGTAGTAGCAGTCGTAGTAGTAGTAGTACTGGGACTGGTAGGTGAGCAAAGACTTGAATTAAAACTATTCGAAGAAGAATTCAACTGACCAGACGATGACGTCGAAGAATTACGTGAATACGAAACACAATGAAGCCGATAAATCTGAGTCAGTGTTTCCATAGTTAAAAATCCATTTGCTGTTATCGATGATATATCTGAATTGAAGACCAAAGAATTATCCTTTGAAATTTGTTCACTAATTCTATGCGCTAAACTTAAAGATAATTGAGTTAACCAATTAAATAGTGTTGGTTGGATAAGACTAAACGCTCGTCTAGCCAGGTAGACACGATCACCTTCACCAAGAAATCCTCTCCTAAATTTATAAAATAAGAGGGGGAGAAAACAAAAAGAAAGAAATAAAAGCTTAGCTTATTCTATGAACCACATTTCATTATGTGAGGGCTTATCTAGGTAGGTAACGAGGGATTCGAACCCAAGACTGATTGGCTAAGAGTAGAATACTCAAGCGATCGAATCAAATTATTGTTACTCAACAACCACAGGCAGCTGCAATTCATCAAATTTATTGAGCGATGGCTAGTGATACGTACTTTACGGCAGTGAAAATTCTCCGCAAGTGGAGCAGGGTTCGAACAAATGACTCTACAGTTAGAAGTCGAGCGTTTAGCCACAGTCAAGACATAGCTTGACTACATAAATTGAAGGAAACAGTTGAGGAAAAAGTAAATGATTAAGTCGGTGGCACAGTGGTTAGAACTCTCGCCGACCATGCACATGGTCTGAGGTTCGATCCCCTGCCGACGCACACCCGATATCAACGGTCGGCCTGCAAAATTTGGGCCACCGATATCCAAGCTGAAAATTCCATAGTTGTACCACAAATATAGTGTGGAATCAGGCTGTAATCAAAAATATCTTTAAAAATTCTTACTACTAAACCAAAAAACATTATTGAATTCACAGAAAAACAACCGGACAAACACCACTGTGGTGGGAGATGTCCGCAAGCAGAAACTATAGACAACAATTTACGTCAATGTTCACGTCCTGAATCGGTGTCATGAGAAAAAACAAGCACGAAGTCTAACCTTGAGGAACTCAACAACCAATCACCGCAGGCTTAACGTGTGCAAATACGATTCGCAGATATTTGGCTCAACTTTCTAAGAAACGGTCACAGGCAGTACAGAATAACCTTCAGCAAATAAAAACAACCAATCAGAAGAGGTTGCTTCTCTGCTGACAATAACACTAATAATAATGTACATAAAAATTTCTCTTGCTTTTCTCAATAAACGATCTGTTGCCTGACCCTTGTCTTCTGTCGTTACACTACTGACTCAGTAGTTACTTCTTGAGAATGCTATCTCTGAAAGTATTAAGATGAGTAGTAACAAATGATGTCATGACCTCCATAACAAGATAGAAAACCTACACAAACTAATGCTTGAATTATTAAATAGTTATCAACCAATCAAGCAAGGAAGTAGTAAGAATGAAGCCTTCAAAAGAAAATTAGATCTTTCCTTCAAAGGTTACTTTGCCGCAGTCTATGCATTCAAGTAGGATGTGTGTGGGATTGGTTTATTTCTAGGCTTTCATAAATACATCATGTCACCGGAGGTGATAAATATGGACATATCAGGCGGTGATAGATCAACTTCAAATCTGTTTGTTGGTGAGATGTTCAAATCCACGAGACTATTGATTAATTGAAAGGTTATCTTTCTAACGCCTGTCAGACTGTCTTCTTTATATAGTGTATTGACAAAAACCAAATTATCAACAACGCGATTAGGTTATTCTCTTCCTGTGATGGTAATCTTGTAACAACAGATGACAAGGGCCGGGCAAAAGATCGTTTATTAGGAAATCAACACATTATTAAAGATTATTGTTAGTGGAAAAAAACAGTCTTCTGATTTGTTCTTTCTCACTGAACTTTACCGTGTAAGTGTGCGTCAGTCCTTCAGCGGCGGTAGAACGCTCGCCAACCACGCACGTGGTCCTCCGGGATTCAATTCCCAACCGACGCACATCAAAACCTTACTAAGCCAATAGTAAAGCCGGCAAAGCGAGAAGATTGGGTGGTGGGCTAGCAACTTCACCCCCACAAAAATTAACATCGCTGCTACCGAAACTTCAAAACTCTATCTTGAAGTTTTATGTTCCACTAAGAACGTAAAGAAACAAACAACTACAGAGTACGCGGCTCTAATATACTGCAAAAACAGGTCCCATTTTTTACAGTAGGAGTGGAGTAGTTATACACGCATAACATTCTAATCCATCTTTCGGATGTACCCAATATCTTTCAATAGAATTTGAATGAGCACCGGTTAGAGGAACCATTATTCTTGATGAATGGTTGACTTTACGATGAATACATTCTGATGATGCAGCAGGCCGGGTGTGAGGGCAAATACTCAACGAGGACATTGGCTAGCGGTTGCGCTATATCGTGAAATGGCAGAAGTTAGAATTCATGGGCCACTGGATCGGGTCCCAGTGGCTTAATGGTATACGTGTTCGCTAGCCTTGTAACCAGTATGTCCTGGGTTCGACTCCTGGCGGTGGGTGCGCACTGATGAAGAGTCCCAAACTAGGACAGAGGAGACAGCTGTCCAGTACTCCCAGTTGGTTTCCCAATGGTTCTCTAACCAATATCAGCTCATGATGAAATCCTGTAACCAATCAACCAAATCCCCACAAACCACTTCAAATGTATGCTGTCCACGATCTTCATCGCAAGTTTCACCTCCAACCATACTTCGATCTAAACTTAACCCTAGCTTAACCCAAACGCTACTACTCTCACTATAATTAACTTTAACCGTAACCCTAACCCTAAATCAGGAGGAAAGTTGCAACGAAAACCATGAAAAGCATCCTTTTGCAATGTTGTCCAACCTGATTGGTTGGTTGAAGGTCACATTTACCTTAAGATATCATCGACATGAGACAACAGTGATCAAGCATTTCAGTCAGAAAAAAACTAAAAAAAATAATCAACGACAAATAAAACAAAGAAATAATGCGATGTGATGTGGTGAAAAAAATACTGATAATAACTAAAGTAACTCAAAGTGAACTAACTTCTCTTCTGGTGGTTGTTTTCTCAACTGATGAAATATATGTACTAGTCGTCTCCAATCCCCCTGATCATGAAGTAGTGACAATGTTAATGAGACAGAACGATACATATGCGCAGCAAAATTACCACTACGATCAATATCAGCTGTTGGTATGCGCCAAACACCCTTGAAAAAAGGTGAAAAAAATAAGAAAAGAGAAGAAAAGGAAGAGAATATATGAGTAGGTGGTAAAACAAAATAAGTGATACGAATACTGATCCCGTCAACGAATAAAAGGAACATATACAAGGTGCCAGTGACACCACCAACAGCAACAACAACAACAGACAACAATCAGCATAAATGAAAGGGACCTGAAAGAAACAACCTAATTAACCTACCTTAGAAGCATCGTTTCAACTATAGGAGGACGAACTGACGAGGATATCAAAGCAAGAATCGGAAAAGCAAGACAAGCTTTCACTACTCTCAAGTCTGTGTGGAAGTCAACAGCACTCATTATCAAAAATAAGATTCGGATTTTCAACTCCAATGTGAAGTCAGTCAGTGCTACTTACTATAAGGATCAGAGACTTGGCGCATCATAAAGAGCATCTCAAACAAACTACAGACCTTCATTAACAGTTGTTTTCGCTCAATACTCAAGATCAGACGGCCGGCGAGAAAAGATCACTAATAGGGATCTCTGGGAGCGAATCAACCAAGTAGTAACCGATTGTGCAACCAACAGGCAGGAAGAAATGGAGATGGATTGGCTGGCCATACTCTGAGGAAACCATCAAGTGATATCACTAGACAAGCCATTGCTCGAGTGGAACCCGAAAGGGAAGCGGCGAGTTGGTCGTCAGTGCAAGGGTGAGGGTGACTTGGAGGAGGTGATGTGAAGAGGAGATGAAAGCATGTGGGCAGACTTGAAGCCAGGTGAAAATTTTAGCAGAGAATCGAACGCAATGGAGACGCACGGCTGAAGCCCTATGTTCCCCTAGGAATTAAAGGAAATAATAATAATAGTGGTGCAGAGGTAGGATGCTTGCCAACCATTCACGTGGTCCAGGGTTCTATCTCAAGTCGACGCACTCCTAAACTTCGGTTAGCTGATAATAAGCCCGGCGAAGAAGGAGAATTGGGCGTGAGACTAGCAACCCCACCAAGTAAAAATATAAAAAACCCAATGCTATCGAAACTTTAAAAATCAAGCTTGGAATCCTACGTTCCTCAGGGGGCGGAAAGGAATAAGAAAATAATAAAAAAAATCCAAGGTATTCGAAGTTTTCCAGAATTAATGGAACACACGACACTCATATGAAATCATAAAGTAATTATTGTTATCGTTTTGGGTCTCAGAAGGGACATAAAACTCCAGTTGCAATCCTTTTCAAGTCGGCTTTACGATTGCCCATTGCCTTTCCAAATGATCTCCTCTAATCAACTCTCGGTCGCCCAACTCATCGTTATCCACTGATGTTCCACTAGACTATCTGTCACATGATGTCACTCAACGGTTTCCTCAGTGTGTGTGTGCGTGTGTGTGTGTGTGTAGTCCATCTCCATCTGCATATTTTTGGACAATAGTTTATTTGGTTGGTTCGTTGCCTGACAGAGTTCCTTGTTGCTTATGCTTTCTGGACATGTGTGATCTTGAATATATATGGAGCAAAGTGTACCGTAATTATTGGCAGTCAAATTGCTCAATAGAGTAACTTCTAGGTCAAACACAGGAGAGTGTGGAGAGCGGTGTAATTCATATAAATGAAACAAACGTGGCTCAAATATCAAATAAACACTTAGATTTCAAAAACTATTCCCTTTACATTTAAGGTATGACTGGAATTTTAGAGGCCTGTCAATTAAAAGTTCACTATGATCTATAATATAATAGTTACCAGTTTGCAATAAAATAACATGCACTTAAATATCATATTGCAGCGCAAGCTACTGATAAGATTTATAAGTAGTATGCATTTATACAGGTATAAATATGTAAAATATGTGGAAGAATATCACACAACAGAGAGAAGGATTTTATGGCGAAGGCAAGAGATGAATGATGCATGTGGAACAAAATGGAAAACATGAAAGGAAGACAAAGAAGCACAATATGGAAGATGTGGGGAAATTCTGATCTTAACGTATGGTAGACGTACTTTGATCTATATCGGGACATAGAGTTATCATAGATAATTCCTTTTGCAAATACTCTTGTCTGTGCTGTCATTACAATATCACCCAGACTTATACAATCGCCTCATTAAAGTTGACCATAAAACTTGATATCTACATGAATTATAATTATTTTATGGGTAACTTATGAGAGTGCCAACTGATTGACTCACTGACTTACTGGTTTCAACGTAGAACTTTGCACAGATTTGCAGCAGTTGGAGTAGCCACACTCTATGTAGTACAGAGAGCAAGAGAAGAGAGTAAAGAGAGATTCAAAAGAGAGATAACCAACAGAAGTGAATGCATCTGCAATAGACATTGAGAAGGATTTTGAGCCATATCACCAGTTGTCTCCAGTCATTGGTTTTTACCGACATGAGGACCCCAACCAACAAGTTTACACCTACCTACGTGGTTCAAACTAACTGTTGTGGATTTCATTGACTGGTGAAGCCATGTTTTGGTTTGACCACCACTACCTCTTTTCCAACCTGATTAATCCTATGTCAGCGGCTAACAATGCCCTTCGAGGAAGGAGACAGATGGCTAGGTATGCATGCGTAACACATCTCCTAACCATCTCAATCCGTGTAGCTCCACAACCTCGTCAAATGCTTTCCAATTCCCATCCAGCACTCTAAGCTCAACCTCAATATTGCTCACCTTATCATTCCAACAAAAAAACAAGCCGTTGATGAGAAGGCATTATATAAAAAATGATAATGTTACAACAACACCAGGGTAAAACGACCTACATAAAAGAAATTATTCTGTTTTCTGTCTTTAAAAAGACCTCCAATATTCGTCTGCGTAGAAGAACTAGCATTTGTAGTATTATTATTATTATTTGCAGTGGAAGATGGTTTAGACGATACTTCTGCTGGACCTAGTAGAATATCCAGTGCTTTATTCGGATCCTGAAAAAGAAAACAATAATCAAAATGTAGATTAAGAAATGTATTCAATTGGGACACATGCTTGCTTTCTACCCGGAAGGAGTTGGTTTTGGACCAGATGAGTCCCCAACTTTGACGAAACAGTTGTTCAGTACCTCTTGGTGGATTTCAGTGATTCTCTAACTGATATCAATCTGTGGTCAGACATGAAACAAATCAAACCCCTACAAACCAAATATTGCTTCCTAGCGACTGGCTACAGGACGAAGTTGCCTGGAATCCTAATCAGAAGTCATGGCCAGTGAGGCCAGATACTCGCAGAGGATATTGACTGATGGTCGGCACCAAAGTAACGAATTAGTAGAAGTAGGAATTCACGGGTCATTGAATCAAGACCCTGTGGCTGAATAGTCTACGAGCGAGTCTTGTAACTGGAGGGTCATGGGTACGAATGCCGGTGGGTGCGCAATGTTGAAGAGCCCCCCCCCCAACTTAGGTCAGTACATGGTTAAAACTTGAAAAAAGCTTGGTGTACATTATGAGGAACCAAGAGATGTGCCATAAACAAAAACACAATATAAGGCGGAGAAATAGACAAAATCCAAGAACGGTACTGTGTCCCAACCTATGACACCAAGACCTGACATCATGATGACGCCAGAAGTGGTCCAGCTTTGAGTATCCCACTACTTTGGCTTTGACTACACGATTAGGAAATTTTATGCGTGACACCTCTTCCTCCCACTATTACTCGATCAACTACCTAGGTACACGAATCTGTCGACTACTCTTCTAACTAGAACGACAACACTCGTCGATCGATAAAGACAGACAAAATTACAAAATTACCAAATTTTGAATTTCCCGCTGCATTCCTTTGATGTGTTGGTATCACCTGCCACTACTATGATAGACGCTATGATGATGTCTTATAATGAAGGTCAAAGTTTCATCGTCGAACAGAAGCTTAAGTCGTACAACACAACTTGAAGACTGCTTTACATGCAATTTAGGTTCCCCATGTCTTTTCTACTTCGATCACTAATCTTTGATATATATATAAATATATATATATATATATATATATATATATATATATATATACTGATGTGACACAGAGGTAGAATGCCTGCCAACCACGCATGTGGCTTGCTTGTGGTTCGGTCCACGGCCGACGCATTCCTTTACCTCGCTAGCCAGTAATAAAACGGGTAAAGGGGGAAGGTTGAGCCCGTAAAAGTAAACATCACTGCTACTGAAACTTTTAGGCTTTAGATTGAAGCCTTTTGTTCCACTGGGAACCTAAAGGAATAGAAAAAAATTTACTGACACTTCCAAATACCACTGACAACTTGACTTGAAACAGTGGTGGCTCCTGATTAAGAGTGAATGAAGTGTGGACTATGTATATTTGCTTATTATAGAGACTGCAGGTTCAGTCACGACTTGACATCAGTTAGAGAACCATAGGAAAACCAGGGAGTACTGCACAGTTGTTTCGTTCGAGTTTCGGAGTTATCGTCAGTACACATGACCATTCAACCACTGGGACCGATACAATATTCCATGGATTCCAACTTCTGTCAATTCACAATACACTTATCTCAACCGCCAACCAGTGTCATGGGTGAGTAACTGTTATCTTATCTAACTTCGTGGACCCAGCTGGTTACGACTTCTCACCAGAACTCCAGCTCACTTCCTGCATAGATCCAGTCGCTGGTGAGCATCAGATTATTTTATTGAGTGTTGATTTGTAGGGATTTGACTGGTTACAAGTTTGCCCATGAACTCGCCTGGTAACTGAAAGGCCGCGGGTTCAAACCCTGGTGGATGCTTTCTGATGAAGAGTCCGAAACTAGGATCAAACAGCTCTTCGGTACTCCCTGGTGGTTTTCAATGGTTCCCTAACTGATATCAACTCTTGATCAAACACCTGTGACTAAGCAAATCCCTGCAAACCAAAACTTGATAAGTATACAGATAACAATGAAACTAGTTGTCTTACACAGGTCATCGTAAAACACTTCAAATTCCACATAGTGGTATATACTACTGATTATTGTGTGAGTAGTTCCACACATGTTAGAAGAAAAAAAGATGACACATAGTAGTACATTTACATTCAACGACTTACTTTTAAGTGAGGAGCATACAGATACATTGAAGCCAATCGATACATTGCCTTATAATGCAGAGGTAATCGTTGCAACACCAGCTCTAAAGCACATCGACATCGATCAACACATTTTTTCCATAAAGCTATTTGAAAGATAGAGAGAAACGTATTCGGTGAAGAATTACTCTATTTCTTTTTAGCGATATCATTCTCAAGCTGTACATTCATATACCAATATAGTATATTGTATGTATAGCATTGCAACGAGAGGAATTTTTTGCACAGATAAATGTGTCATTTCAGATAACAAACGCGTAATTCAGAAAGCACGGATAGGACAGAACATAACGCAACATAATTCATAGGACTGAATAGAACTCAAAAATAATCGAAAGAGAGTAAAGATCAGTGTCAGAAGAATAGCAGAAGTGTAACAACAGAAGACAAGGGCCAGGCAACAGATCCTTCATTTACGAAATCAACACATATTTATGTATTTTCATGTACATTATTATAGATTGCTGTAAACAAACAAACACAGTCTTCTGATTGGTGGTTTCTCGCTGAACATGTTAATCTTTCATCTCTCTGTGGCCGTTTCTTGAAGTTCAGATTATCTATCTGCAAATTGTATCCGCCTAAGCAAAATCTGTTGTGATTGATTGTTGAATCAATATTGGGGACGTAAACATTGATGTAAATTACACTGTCTACCAATTTTGGCTAGCAGCCAGCCCTCACCACAATAGTAGTATTAGTAGTAGCAGTCGAAAATTAGGAAAAACATAAAACTTCGCTCTCTATATCGTAGATCAGACAGCCAAAAAGAAGTAGTAACTAGAATCTCTGGGAAAGAACTAACCAAGAATCCATTACTCAAAACGTATGCCGAAGAAATTGGAGATCGGTCGGATACACACACACACACACTGAGGAGACCATTGGGTGTCCTACTCGGAACCCAAGGGAATAATAGTACTTATAATAAACGTAAAGTGTTGAGGCGAATTAGGTTCATTGAAGCTTCAGTGAATGAACAAACTTCTTCTATTCGTAGATTTCAGGAATTATTATGTGCACTTCAATTGCTACTGTTGTCAAGGAATATGAACATCGAACGTTGGTTCATTGACCTTGGTAGCGATTGGCGGGCAACTCGAAGGCGCGAATGGTTCGATCGTGTACAAGTTCGAAGAAGACGAAAGAATACGAATAAACGTACATCATAATTTTGTATAAAACATTTGTTTATAGACTTGTAATTGTCTTTACTTTAATTGCCACACAATATAACCTTCAAAAAGGTACTGGTGTTTTGGAGTTGAAGTCGAGACAAGTACACAGTAATTATCGGCTCCGAGCGTCTTCGTTACAATAGGAACTTAAGGCTAAGTTCCTTGAAAACTGTGGTTTGGAGAAGTTTGATTCATACACATTTCGGCGACATTTCCGTATTATGTGTGTAAATGATCCTACAGTTGGTTTGCGAGTTCCATCATTGTTCACAACGAATCAGACGTTCTAGAATGGACCTACACCTGAGGGTGGGGGGGTTTTTTTCTTCTCTATAAAACCATGAGTACTTGCAGTGACTAAATAGAGATTTTTAAGCCATTTAAAAGAAATAGTGTTTTAAATTGATGGATGGTGACTAGCAGTGGAATCCAGGATGTGCATTTCGTCCTATTTGGGACTCATCATCTGAGTGTGTCCGCATTCCCCAGTGAGTGATGGCGTTTCCACTGAGGCTCGATCTCAGTACGCATAGCTTCAGATGCCGAAGCGTTATCCACTAGACCACTTAAGTGAAATGAGTCTAAATCCCCGGTCTCAACGTCAACCCCAACCACAACAATACGGCAGCAAGAGATGTGCTACCAATGAGAAGTCACCCAGAAAGTAACCAAGCATATTTGTCAAGATCACTTAGCATTCATTACTTCAAGTAGTTTTCAGAAAGGAAATCGAAGCATGTTTACCGTTAATTACGATTCTTGGCCAAATCTCATCACTTCTCGGGACCTACCCAGGGATTCGCGATGTACTGCCGAATACTAACCTAACACAAATGCTCTTCGTCCCACAGCTCGACACCATAAGCTGACTACCTCTCCACTTTTTCCTAGGACTAGCGAACAGCGAGTGGTAGGAAAGTTTATGTGATGACATTCGAAGCCACCAAGGTCAAAGTGTTTCAAGATGACTACACTCAATGGAAGGTGACCTCCATCATATCGAAACACACGCTGTTCTTCTAGGAATTAAAGGAAACAATAATAATAATAAGTAACCCTACGGAGGTAGGTAACAGTACCATAGGCAAGTTGAACAGGTCAGTAAACAATGGATAAGAACAAGGAAGCAAGACATTATTCTGTTGTCATGACAGTAAATAATACACCTTCTAAGGATGTGATAAGAAGTGATTGTCGAAAAGAAATATACGAACACGAGCTTAGTGTATATTTATACAATGATTTCAATAGACCATGATGAAAACCGTACTTCACTCGAGTTTACTTTCATGAAGCCACACACCCATAGCTAACAAGACCTGTTTATCAATTAGTTAACTTTAGCCATCTGGTAAAAGTTTGAAATGTCAAAGTAAACAGAAAGAGTACCAGTTCTGCGTGACCTAACAGCCCAGGAGAGAATTCCTTCAGGATAATCATTTACGACCTGCGTTCGTATGAAGACTGTAGTGTCAGCCAAGGACTACCGCAGAGATGCAAAACTTTTCGAGGTTGAACTTTTTTAACCCTCTTTCCTAAAGCTGGAAGGCGGCAAAACTGGTTACATATCTATTCGTTCTCAGGCCCCGAACATAATGCAAACCTTTGTAAAAAATTATATTTGTAAAATTTCAGCGAGATTGAGATGAGTAATTCCAACGTTTCGTTCGGCACTCTGGTTCGAACTTCTTCAGGGAAATTGATCGAAATTAACATAACAGAGGTTTATATATAAAAAGGAACATCACTTGTTTTTGAAAATTTGTCCAATCATGAGTCATTCAAAAAGTACCAACAAGTATAATAAACAAAATTTTATGAGCTGTGATCAAAATTTGACCTCGGACTTACAAATATTGGTCTACCTTTGTTAAACACTTTAAACAGAGTGTGTATGTGTGTGTGGGTAAACAGTTGTAAAATATTTCTTAACGTTTCCATGAGAAGATATGGACAGTCGAGAATTTTGACCAAGTATTAATAATTAGTGACACATATCCATTTTTTATTTATTAATAAGGATTTCCTATGCATCAGCCAACATCACACCTTCATGTTCAGAAAGAAGACAAAGCAATAAGTCCAACAGGATGCGTCTACTAAACTCCAATCCTAAACACCATAATTTTGAAAATACGTCTAATCATAAAATTCTAGATACTAACAGTTTGAACAGACATGAAGGCATGATGTTAGCTGATGCATAGAAAATTTTTATTAATAAATAAAAAATGGATATGTATCACTAATTAATAATACTTGGTCAAATTCCTGACTGTCTATATCTTCTTATGGAGACGTTAAGAAATGTTTTACAACTGTTTACCCACACAAGCATGCACACTCTGTTTAAAGTGTTTAACAAAGGTAGACCAATATTTGTAAGTCCGAGGTCAAATTTTGGTCACAGCTCATAAAATTTTGTTGATTATACTTGTTAATACTTGTTTTATGAATCATGATTGGACAAAGTTTTTAAAAACAAGTGATGTTCCTTTTATATATAAACCTCTGTTATGTTAATTTTGATTAATTTCCGTGAAGAAGTTCGGACCAGATTGCCGAACAAAACGTTGGAATTACTCATTTCAATCTCGCTGAGATTTTACAAATATAATTTTTTACAAATGTCTACTTCTCACTCGGCGCCCAAATATTTTGGAACTATTCTGTCAAATCTTGACGACAGTTCATTTGAATAATGCAAACCACTTTTACATTATGAGTAATAATTGGAGACTACTCACACCAATCAATACTGCTTGCTAGTCAGCTAGATTCGAAATGATTTAGACACCGGACAACTGTGTTTCGCTCGACAGTAATGGTGCGTCCAGTTCGATTCAGCTTAGTGAGCCAAATCAGCAAACCAGTAAACCGCTAGAATTCTAGTTATTGGGACAGATGAAAGCGTAGACGTGATATCCGACTGGTTATTGACCAAAGGGTGTGTGTACTGCTCAGTAGTTCGCTCTGTCCTCCTTTATGGCTGTGAGACCTGGCCATTGAGAGTGGAAGACATGAAAAGGCCGGCTAGCTGTCTTCGATCATAGGTGTCTGCGTTCTATCTCCCGTTTCTGTTAGGTGGTATAATAAGGTGAGCAATATTGAGGTTAGGCGTCGGTCGAGTGCTAGGTAAGGAGGGGAAATCAGTCAACGAGACTGTGAAATTACATCGACTGAGATGGTTAGGACATGTGTTACGTATGCCTAGTCATCCCCTTCCTCGACGGGCAATGTTAGCAATTGCCCGTCATAACAATTGGTGACATGGCTCAAAATCCTCGTTCTCAATGGCTGACGCAGATGCATCCACTCCTTGTGACTTATGATTTCCAATGAAACTATATTGTTCTTCGTTATTACTATACCTTTGTCTCACACCTCTGTTTACTGTCTATATTATGCATTTCTCCTACTTTCTTCTCTTGCTTTGTGTGCTACATGGAGTGTGGCGACCTGAATTGCCGCACATATGTGCAAAGTTCTATGTCGAAAACAAACAGACAGACAGATGAAAGCAATAAAGCCAATCAATAACAAGTGAAGGTATGTGTAATGGAGAAGGAAATGATTCACATATTCTAAGAGAACAAGGAGAACACCCATAAATAGACAGACTTACTTAGTTTATCAATTGTTGATTCAACAGACGATGACGCTTCCGGTACATTAACCAATTCTTCATCTTCTTGTAAAGGTGGGTCAGGCAATGTGAGATCAATAAATTCCTCTTGTGATGGAATGGTACCTGGGATTAAGGGAATATTAGACGATTGACCTGATTTGTTGTATGCTGTGACATCAACTGGTTGATCATTTACTCTTGACACTGTGGCCGATTCATTCTGTTGCATTGGTTTATTATTTTGACCTTCACCGGGTCCATTTTGATTGGCTATTTTTTGTGATTGATTTGTTTTACTAGATAATCCTGCCATGTTAGCGGTTCGTTTACGATTTCTTCGACTGAAATATGCACAAATACATATTCGAAAGCATAACATTTATTACATCTTGAGATATACAGCGGCCTGTTTAAAACTTGGGCTACCCAAAAAACACATGCAGCATGATACCGCTAATCAATGATTTTTCACCTTCACTTTGTTTTAATCTATTAAAATATGACCTGTAATGGTGTTTTCTACTCTCGCGGGTATTTAAAATGTTTACAACCTACTGATTTGCAAGTTTCAAGTAAACTTGACTAAAAGCCCAATTGCGGGTGACGGTATATCCAAATACATCCGATAACTATTCTTGAGAGTTTTCTACAAACCACCAATGCTTGAGGAATAAAACTTAGGGCAAAGTTAAACTTTAAGTACCACTAACTACCAGTCAACGAATGACCTCGAACGCACCAATCACGTGAAGGAGGCATTTTTCTGTATGGAATACATATATATATATATATATATATATATATATATATATAATTATGAAAGAAAAAACGCATAAAAAACTGCAGAAAAGTGTTACAGAGGATACCTTCCTCTCACATGTGTTAAAAGTAGCTCTCAGTTTTAGGTTGGAGTATCAACAGAGTATAAATTCCATTGTGGGTAAACTTTATTTTGATAAAGTCTCATAGTGTTATACAGTAATATTTACTGAGCAATAAATTGTGCTCTAAACGTGGTCATCAGTAAATATTACTGTATAACAAACACTCTGGGACTTTATCAAAATGAATTTTACTCACAATGGAATTATACTCTACCGCCACAGTGCACAAGTTCTATTCTTATATCAACAGAGTAATTTAACCTTCATTAATAGTTGTCTTCGCTCAATACTCAAGATCAGATGGCAGGCCAGAAAAGATCAGCAACAGAGATCTCTGGCAATGAGCGAACCAACCAGGAACCGATTGTGAAACAAATAGGCACGAAAAAATGAAGGTGGATTGGCCATACTCTGAGGAAACCGTCTAGCATCAGTAGACAAGCCATCGCTGGAGTGGAACCCGAAAGGGAAGAGGTGAATTGGTCGTCAGTGCAAGGGGGACATGGAGGAGGTCATGTGAAGAGGAGATAAAAACACGTGGGGAGACTTGGAGCCAGGTGAAGATTCTAGCAGAGAACCGAACGCAATGGAGACGCACGGTTGAAGCCCAATGTTCCTCTAGGAATTAAAGGAAACAATAATAATAATAATAACACTCGGTCAGACCATAATATCGGCAACGACACTATAACATATTGGCAGCGAGTACATAAAACGGAAAGCTTATGAGCCATTGTGGGGGCAGCTTTAACAGACTGCACACAGAGAATGCAGAAAGATGTCGATGTGCTGCTGATGACTTATGCTCCATTCAGAAACCAAAGGAATAATTATAAATAAATAATAACAAACAGTCAGTCATACCATGGTTTCTTTGCACTTGTAACAAATTCAGACGTATCAATCATGCCGAGAAATTGATCAAGTTCTACCAAATTAATTGGATAAGCAGAATGATTCGGTTGTGTAGACGTGACAGGAGATCCACATTTCAGCAAAGTTTTTAATGATAGAGCATGAATTCGATAATAAACCTATTTTTTGAAAGCAAATAAAAAAAAATGAAGAAAAAAAGAACAGAAGTTATAACTCACACAAAACTGTTCACTATTAGAAGAATAACAACAAATGGAGATAACATCTCCAGAGCTAACTGCAATGTGTGAAGTGAGCCTTTAGAACATTCTATGGATGGATGGATGGAATATTTGTTTGTCGTGACAGTGTCTTCACCATGTCGACTACGAAAATCAACCTAGTCTCTTACACTATAATATGTAGGCCAAAAGATCTAACAACAACAGAAGATAAAGCCTATTTCAGATGTAAGACAGATTGAATCAACCACGACGAATACTTTATTATAACAATAATAATAATAATCTACTTTATTCCAAAAACAGTACTTATAATACAGAATGGAATTCTCAGCATTTGCCACAATATTGCATCTGATTTACTTAAAATATAAATAAAATTTAAAATTAAAACAAAATTAACCAGAGGAATTTGTCCACATTTACAAATGAGAATAATAAATATAATAATAACAACAGTGAGTTTGTTTCAAACAGTATTGTCGATTCAGTTTGGAAAATTTTAGCATGTTATAGATTATTGGGTCTAATGTTCTGTTGATATAGTATAGTGAGGGGAAATAAAAAATTAACAGTTATAACACACCTTAAATGATGTTCACACTTATGAAAAAATAAACAAAAAAAAATTGACAGGATTATAAATATAAGAAGTACAATAACAATAAAGTTTGATGCTGTAAGGGTGGAGGAAATGGTTTATTTAGTAGTGCAAAGAAGGTTAGTTAGTTCATGTCTGACACTATTTTCATCACATTAAGTACGTGCCAAATATGGTATCGTGGAATTTTTATACTTAGACGTACGTGCATAAAGTCTTCTGAAAAGACTCCTTGTTTTACCTGAGGAGCCACAAGGTTGTAGCTGCGGGTAAAGTGGGTGCTCAGTGTCTGACAAAATTCCTTTAGCAAATTTGTTGCATGACATCAGGTGCCTATCAATGACAATGTCAACGATGTGGCCCAATGGGATACCACTCGTCCTACTGACAGTCTTCAGAGTTCTACGAAGTATGACATAGTCTTTTTTAAGCAATCCAGGAAAGAATAAGGGTGAACAGTAAAGAAGAATAGGTAAGATGCACGAGTTGACAAACTGTAAGAGGAGGAGGGGTTGAGTTATGCCTGAGTGCCTTAACTTCTTGATGTAGAAAGTCAGACGAAATATTCTTTTAGAAATCGCTAAGACATGGGAAGACCAGGATAGGTCAGAAGAGAGAATTAATCCAAGATACTTAACTTCAGACTTGGTTTCTATATCACTATCATCAATTTTGCAAGGGTCATAGGAACCAACGGCTTCATTTAACTTTCGTTTACATCGGAAACTGAAATTAACAGTCTGACATTTGGAAGGATTTAGTTTAAGGCCGTTAGACGAAGACCATTTGCTAATTCCTGATAGAAAGCTGTTCATCTTAGTACAGTCAAGCTGGGAGTTTACAGACATTGAAATAGTTAGATCGTCGTGAGGCAAGCCATGCAAGAAGAAAGAAAACAGAAAAGGAGAAATGACAGCGCCTTGAGGGACACCAGCCTCATTGAGCAACGAAGTGGACGACTTTCCCTGACATACAGTGTACTGTTTTCTTCCTGAGAAATAAGAATGCAGCCATTTGACAACCCAACAGTCAGTTTGAGTTTCAGCAAGCTTGTTCAACAAAATGTCCCTAGGTACTGAATCGAAAGCAGATGTGTAATCTAGAAAGGTGCAGCGAACAAATTTAGCGCCCTTGTCTAAGCTGGAGACAATGTTATGATGCAAGACTGCAGCTGCATCTAAAGTACTTCTATTGTGTTTATAGGCGAATTGTTTGGGATCGTTAAAGGCTTTAGGTGAAGGTTGAAGATTAAGTAAGAATAACTTTTCCATAGTTTTTAGAAAAGGAGAGGTAATAGCAATAGGTCTAAATTTAAAACATGTTCCAGTAGACGACTTAGGTATAGGTACAAACTATTTCTGGAAAAAGATTCATTAAATATGTCCATGAGAGGATAACACAGGATTAACCAATTCAGACTCCCATCCCTCCCTCCCCACCTCTTCATGATCATTGCACTTATGATCATAAAATAGCATTTCAAAAGACAAACATTCATTTTTATCAATTCACGTGGCCAACTATGGATATCCAGTCAACTAGGAAGGTGTGAAAATGATAGATAGAGAGAGAAGACAAAAACAATAACAGGGGATTTCTAGAAGCCTGATGCTTGGATAAATTGTCAAACCCATTAAACCTTAATGTTCTTCTATGTTACTACTCTTCCTCCTGCATATTTGTGCTTATTAACGATCTTTTGAATCCCTCTTCTATCCTCTCTCTCTTGTTTATCTTTGTGTAGAGACTTGAACTGCTACACTACTGTGAAAAGTCCTATGCTGACGCGTGGTCAATCAGTTAGTGAACTCATCTGGAAGACAGAAGTGACGATGTTGTCCAGAGGGGCCAATGGAAGTTCCGCAATCGAACGATTCAACTCAACAAACCTCAATGCATACACATTGTTTAAAAATAGGTATTTAAACAGGAAAAAAAGGCATTTCATCACGCCTTCTATATATTGAATTTCAACAACTGACTGACTGACTGGTTTCAACGTTGAAATTTACACAGATGTGTAGCAGTTTGAGTTGCAACTCTCTCTCTCTCTCTGTCTCCATGTAACACACAAAGCAAGAGAAGAGAGATTATAAACAAAAAGATAATGACAATAATAATAATAATAATCACTTTATTTCAAACAATATGAGGCAAAAAGAATAGTAATATGGAAGAACAAGATTTCATTGGATATTATAATTCAAAAAGAGTGAATGCATCTGCGCCAGCCGTCAATGAGAACGATTTTGAGCCGTATCATCAATTGTTTTCAGATTTCATTGGCTCTCACTTTCCCGAGGACCCCAAGCGGACAGCAGTCTACACCTCCCTACGTGGCGGCTGGCTTAAACCAACTGTTGTGCATTTCACTGACTGGTGAAGCCATGTTTTGGTTTGACCACCATATGCTAGCCCTTTTTCAACCTCATCGATCTTATGTCAGCTAACATTGACCGTCGATGAAGGCTATCGACGGCTAGGCATGCATAACGCATGTCCCAACCATCTTAATCAATGCAACTGTCTCTCTGTTTTCGACATAGAACTTTGTACCGAGGTGCAGCAGTTCAAGTCGCCACACTCCACTCCTTGTAGTACACAAAGCAAGAGAAGAAAGTAGAAGAAATGCATAATAGAGACGGTAGACAGGGATATGAGACAAAGGAATAGTAATAACGAAGGACAATATAGTTTCATTGGAAATCATAAGTCACAAGGAGTGGATGCATCTGCACCAGCCATTGAGAACGATTTTGAGCCATATCACCGATTGTTTCCAGCTATTGATGTTTACCGTCCCGAGGACCCCAACCAGCAAGTCCACACCTTCCTACGTGGCTTAGACTAACTGTTGTAGATTTCACTGACTAGTGCCATGTTTTCGTTGGACAACCTAGTGCTAGCTCTTTTCCAACCTGACCCTTTATCAGCTAACATTGCCTGTTGTCGAGGAAGGCGATGACTAGGCATACGTAACACATGTCCTAACCATCTTAGTCGATGTAATTTCACAGTCTCGTCGATTGATTTCCCCTCCTTACCTAGCACTCGACCGAAGCCTAACCTGAATATTGGTCACCTTATTACACTACCTAACAGACACGGGAGATAGAACGCAGACACCTATGATCAAAGACAGCTAGCCAACCTTTTCATATCTTCCACTGTCAATGACCATGTCTCACTCACAACCATAAGGGAGGATGGAGCGAACTGCTGAGCAGTAAGCACGTCGATAACCAGCCGGATATCAGATCCACACGGAAAATGGTGAAAGTTGGCGGGCATAGCATATGTATGCCAAACCATCCTTTAATTTAAACAACAATAAAGACAGTTTGAAAAAAAAGTACCAACTGATGCCGAATATATATATATATCTCATTTTCACAACACAATATGATAGACTTACTTCAATTGCTTCAACAGCTCGAAAAGGTATTTTATTATAAAAAATAATCTTTTTAGGATATTTCGCTCCAGCAGAGTCTAAAGCTTTCAATGCATCATGATACAGGCGTAGAACATGCATAAGACGTGAGGATGGATGGACATCTTCAGATTGTTTAATTAAATAGGCATCTTTTTCAGCACATTTAGCTAGCATATAATGACATAACCATTCTTCTTCTTTACTTTGAGCCGCTTTATTATCAGATTTATTTTCATTTTTATTATTATTATCGATTAGATCATTTTCGCCTAAACGATTCGATTTAATGTTATCCTGCTGTTGTTCTGCTGCCGATGATGATGTCGTTGACGTTGACGTTGACGTTCCTACTTTCACTGTGTCAACACCTCTTTCTAATCGCTGATGATGCTTAGCTGAACTGCATAGATTTAAAGCACTTTCATATGAAGAACGCGCCAGCTGTAGCATACGATGACGCCATTTACGGCATAAATTTAAATGAACATCTGGAAAATTTCTGTATTCAGACTAGAATTAATAATAATAATAATAAAGAAAAAGAGAGTAGGAGAAAAGAAGAATTATCATGAGAAGTAAACTTTATATTGTTGCATTACAATCTTTAATTAAATACTGTGTACTGATGAAGTGTTGCGAAAACCAAGACGTAGGAAACAACTGTCCAGTTAGTACTCCAGTGTTGGTTTCCAATGGTTCACTGACTGATGTCAGCTCATGATAACAAAATATCCCTACAAAACTCTAGGTAATTTAAGTGCAGGTTCGAACTCAGCTTCATCTACTCAGACTGCAAAAAAAGGGAGTGGTACCCATCAGCTGACTGTGTATGTCACGTTACATCATGGACTGACATCAGTTAGAGAATCATTGACAAACAGAGAGGAGAACTGGACAGTTGTTTCGTTCTAGTGTAGGATTCATCAGCAGTACACTAAGGTTACGAAGCGATGATTCGGTTGAACACTCAGCCAATAACCTATGAATTTTAACTGACGCTGCAAGGCAATGTCATCAGGAAGTACCTATTCCCGGACACCTGACTTGATGGACACCCACGCACAAATACACACACTAGTCATGAGTATTCATCGGAACTCTAGGAAATTCATCCCATAATCAGTTACTAGTAAGCAGTAGGTGTGTTAATCGATCTGGTAATTAACTATTTACCGAGGTTTCAAGAAGCTCAGTAGGTAGAGATAAGTGCTGACCCGTCACCACTTAGTTATAAGTCAAAAGTCTTATCCTCAACAAATTGCCACACACGCCGTTCCTAATCAGCACGTGTTCTCCGAAAACTCGTCAGTGTTCAGACTCTAAGTCCTCCAGATGGCGCTATGCCTGTTTCCCGACCAAAGAGACTTATGCTATGTGCTTGATAATTACAAGTGGACACCAAACTCTTCCGTCTTAAAATTGTCATCAAGCGTGCCACAGCTTTCCAACGGTCTGATAGGGAGGAGGCCACGAATGCTCTAAACGTTCCAGTAAACACCAGGCCACTCCCTCGACGTCGCTCAACCAGGTCCTGAAAATAAACAGTGAGGTTCAAAGTTGACCCCAGGTAATGTCTCCCCTAAAGGGGGAGGTGATATATATTTATATGCTTAGCTCTCGATTAAGTAATGGGCTGAGAGACAGGTTACCTCTTGTGTAGGTTGTTGGCGTGGACGAACGCTTTTCGTGACCAGCACATCTGTATCAAGCTAGGCATCCCCATTTCAACTTAATATTTTGCAAAATATAATGAGATCTCATTGAGAACACCATTAGTCACTGGAGAACAAGTACATACAGTTGACAAGTCCCAAATAGAGAGAGATGCACGTCGTGGATTCTACCACCCACCCCCAAGTCTTGGTTATATCAAGACATCCATTCAATAAGTCCATATACACCATAATGAGGCTGATCACAATCTCCGTCAAGTGTATATTATATCATCATCATTATCAGTGGAGCAGGAGAAGGAGGGAAGGGCAGGAGGAATCACAATCATCATCAATAATAATAATAAATGGCATCAAATCAACTAACCTTTTTAACAATTCTAGCCCCGTAGGAATGTAACTGATACGCTAGACATCCACGTTCAATTAACAATGTAACTGTATCCGGTTGTAGATGTAGTGCAATATTAAAACATCGTAGACAACGATAAACAGCTTCAGCTGAAATTCGTTCCGTTTTCAAATTCGTCTTAAATGTTAAAATAAATTTCAAAAAAAGAAAAAAACATTTTAAAATCAGTTTTAGCAAAAACAGTTACACTGTAGTTGAAAATATTTACCACCAAATATTATAATGTGTGTCTATGTAGAACTTGGGCGCCATGGTAGGTAGTATGGAACAACACATCAGTTTGTTTATTGCATAAATCCTGGGCAACACTACCAACAGCAACAACAACAACTGACAACAATCAGCATAAATGGAAGGAACCTGAAAGAAACAACCTCTTTTACCTAACTGGGAAGCATCGTTTCAACTACAGGCGAACAGAACTGACGAGGATATCAAAATAGCGAGGATCGGAAAAGCAAGACAAGCTTTCACTACTCTCAAGTCTGTGTGGAGGTCAACAGCACTCAGCAGGAAAAATAAGATCCGGATTTTCAACTTCAATGTGAAGTCAGTCAGTGCTACTATACGGATCAGAGACTTGGCATATCATAAAGAGCATCTCAAACAAAATACATCAACAGCTGCCTTCGCTCAATACTTCGCTCCAGATCAGATGGCCAGAAAAGATCAGCAACAGGGATCTCCGGCAATGAGCGAAACCAACCCAGCAGGAACCGATTGTGCAACAAATATACAGGAAGAAATGGAGTTAGGTGGATTGGCCATACTCTGAGGAAACCACCAAGTGACATCACACGCCAGGCCATCGCTCGAGTGGAGCCCGAAAGGGAAGTGGCGAGTTGGTCGTCAGTACAAGGGTGACTTGGAGGAGGTCATGTGAAGAGGAGATGAAAAAATGTGAGCAGACTTGGAGCCAGGTGAAGACTCTAGCAGAGAACCGAACGCAATGGAGACGCACGGCTGAAGCCCTATGTTCCTCTAGGAATTAAAGGAAACAATAATAATAATAATATAATAATTATAATAATAATAATAAATCACACAGTGAAAACAGTATTATTGTTATTTACTGGATGACGTTTCGAACACAACTCAGAAAAGTCATAATATCAATTGTAACTACACACACACAACTTCAAAACTTGATTTTTATAGTATTTGTTCTTCTTTTTTTCATATGTTATAGGTGTAGTAGAATTTTCCAAATGTCAAGGACAAGTGCTGCTCAATCATTTTTTATTGCACGCCTCCTCAGTTAATTTGATGAATAAAGCTCCCGTGATCAATCCTTCTCCCTCCACCCTCTTATGATTAGATTTTAAGACTGTCATCTTATCCCATCCTTCCGCATGTAGCTATTCTGAGCTATTCTCCAGACTTCTTATCTTATCATATCAGGGATATCCAGTCTAGATTTTGCTAGATTTTTGTAATATACTCTGATCTAATTGACCACATCCTACTACTACGTTGGTCAAAATATTTTGTCAAACAAGCATTGCAGAATATTAGATAAACTAAATTTTTATTTAACTGAAGCCGCAGGATCCTTTAACAGACATAATTTGTTCCTTAGTGGGTTTTTGGCTGATTCAATGCCACTTTTATCCCTGTTTTGTTAAGAATTCTCTGTTACGTTTTAGAGGTCCACACTTTGTAAGGAAGGAAGGATGGATGGAAGAGAACTATGACAATCAAGTTTCAAAGTTGAGTATTTACAATCGGTGATATCATTATGAAGGGTAAACTGTGTTCGAAACTTTGTGATCCAATAAACAATACTGTTTATCCGTGTGTGTGTGCGTGTGTGATATCCAAATCAAGAAATTATTATGGAATAATTACCAAGTCATTAGAATCCAGTGGAGATGGGGCTCAACTTTCAACCGATGGATCCCAAGTTCGAATCTACTTCTATCCACTACAGTCTGAGAAAATACAGGATAGCATTATTAGCTCTAACACACACACACACACACACACACACACAATAAATGTGTGGCCCACAACTCGGTACAAGTAACTGAGTTTTGAGATAACCAACTAAATAAACCGGTTTTGCAATGTTTTTTATATTATTATTATTATTATCACTCTTGAAACATAAACTTGATATATTATAGGCACCAAGAGACGTGCAACACAAAACCTCAAAGGGTATGCAAGTGCTGGCATGGTCACCAGAAACTATTCAGACAGAAGTGAAGTCCACGGTTGCCTTGAGAAGTCACCGCCCAAGTCTTTGACTTGAAATCTGCTCCACAGGGCAGTGGAGCAGCGTTCCCATGGTTTAAACACCATTCGATCAGTTCGGATGTTGGAACCTATGTACACCTATGTACATCTGTATGTATCTACCAGTCTAGTTATAAGTGCCAAGAGTTTGTATTTGCCCTTTTTCACTTTTGTGAGGAACACCACTACCGCGTGAAAGCAGTGAATAGGATTTACCTGGGAAAGACTATAAACGCGTGGCCATATGACAGAATTTCGAGAGGAAAACAGAAGCCTATCCACCCTTAGTGATCACTTGAGTCAGTGATCACTAGTGGAAGTAAGAGAATTGGCGTTACAGAAATTAGTATTCATTAAACAAAAAAATTTAACCTTTATATACAATTTATAAATTCTAATGATTATCATACGCCATTGTTTGGTAGTGAACAGAATCAATCGACGAGGTTGTGAAATTACATCGACTGAGATGGTTAGGACATGTGTTACGCCTGCATACCTAGCCATCGACTTCCTTAGTCAGGCTGGAAAAGAGCTAGCACTTGGTGGTCAAACCAAAGCATGGAACCAGTCAATGAAATCCACAACAGTTAATCTAGGCCACGTAGGAAGGTGTAGACTTCCTGACTGGTTGGGTTCCTCTGGACGGTAAAAACCATTGCCTGGAAACAATTGGTGACATGGCTCGAAATCCTCGTTCTCAATGGCGCAGATGCATCCACTCGTTGTGACTTCTAATTTCCAATGAAACTATATTGTTCTTCGATATTACTATTCTTTTTGCCTCATACCTATGTCTACTGTCTCTATTATGCATTTCTTCTACTTTTTTCTCTTGCTTTGTGTGCTACAAGGAGTGGAGTGTGGTGACTTGAACTGACGCACATCAGTGCAAAGTTCTATGTCGAAAACAGAGAGACAGACAGACAGACAATGAACTGAATCTGAAACCTACGCCATAAAGGCTTCTTGTTCGTTAGTCACGAGCTCCAATTAGAAATTGACATCTTAGCCATCTTAGCTACAGCCCTAGTTCTAATCTTGCCATGAATCAGACTTTTGTTTTACATTAGATTTAAAAACTGTCATCTTATCCCATCATTACATTGTATGGTTGTGTGTAACTGCATGTGGTGAGTGCTACAGCTGAACCACTCTTCAGATTTCTTACTCTCTTATTCGGGTCAACTAATCTAGATTTTGCCAGGTTTTTATGCTCGGCTAGTCTGACTGACTGACCCCGTCCTACTACTTTGACCTATGTATTTGACCTGACAATCATTGCAGACAGGGTATTAGATAAACGAAATTGTTTTGTTTTAATGGCTCCACAGGATTGATCCTTCAACCGACAAAGCTTGTTCCAAATTGAGTTTGAGGGTTTGAATGTCAGCCACTTTTATTCCTGCCTGCATTGTTAAGAATTCTTCACCGTTAGTTTTCCGAGGTTCCTTCCCTGTATGGAATTACTACTGATGATTCAGATTCCTTATTCTTGGTGTTGTCATTATCTGGCGCATGTTTGACATGCATGTCGTCATTAATATTATTATTATTTTTGTTATTATTATGATCACTATCACTACTATCATTATTTATCTTAGTTTTGCATTTCCCGACATACTTTCTGACTAATCTATCAGGGTAATTAATAAATTATTTTTAAAGCTTCTCTCATATGCCTCACTTCCTGTCTTAGATTTTCCTTGATATTGCTACTCATTTTTGTGCTACATTACTTAAACATTTCACCAATCCTATTTTTACTGACATAGGATGGGATGATCGGAAGTCCAAATATCTGTTTGAATGTGTGGGTTTCCTGTAAACACTAGTGTGCTTAACTTCCCATCTTCTTTCCTTTTTACGCTACATTGGAAACTCCCCTTCCTGACTTTCCAATTCATAAGTGAATTGAATTGCCTCAACCTTTGAGTTGATGTGTTCGAAAAATCTATCTATATATCCTGTGTTCTAAGTACAGTGAATGTGTCATCTACACATCACGTGATCTGGATATACTCCTCTTTGGAATACAGAAAAGTGATTTTCGAATAATTATTAGAGAAAAAAAGCATGTGAAAACATACACAGGTGAAAAACCACAGAAAGACAATATAATAAATAGATTACCAAATTTAGAACTTGTTCCAAATCACTGGAATAGATCAATCCCAACGCGGCCCAAGTGTCTATACGTTGTGGAGACACGCATAAATCTTTTAGATAATACTCTACAGCACGACTAGACACAAATACAACACAAGAACAAAAAAGTGATTAGAAAGCTCTTTATCTGGTCAAGTTAAAGAATAACAAACAAGGAATTCGAACACACCAATAACCTTGGATAACGGGACCTACACCATAATCATAGTGCCACTGTGGTGAGACCTGTCTGCGAGCCAACACTTGTAGACAACAATTTACGTTAGTGTTTACGTCCCGAATCGGGGTCATGAGAAAAAAACGACAACAAGGCTTAGCCTTAAGGAACTCACCAACCAATCACAGCAGACTTAACTAGTGCAAATATGATTCGCAGATAAATGGCTTAACTTTCTAAGAAACGGTCACAAGCAGTACAGAATAACCTTGAGCAAGAAAACAACCAATCAGAAAACGTTGCTTCTCTGCTAACAATAACGCTAATAATAATGTACATAAAAACCAATAAATATCTCTTGATTCTCTCAATAAACGACCTGTTGCCTGGCAATTGTCTTCTGTGGTTACACCACTAATAACGCTGTACACGAATTGATGTGGTGCTAAATTTCATCCTATTTTTGCACTTAGAAACTTACTATGCCTGTACAACTAGAGCTGACCAACGGCACTGTTGAGGTAATTTTGACTTTTTGATGTGATTATTATTACTACTGTTGAATAGAAATATACAGAGATTTCAACCACGAACAATCGTCTTTTTCCTGTCTTTGGAGCGTTTTGTGACTATTGTGTAATTATATTACAGGATGCAGAGACCAGTTTCCTGTGTTCAGTACACAACGAGTCCGTTTTGATCGTAACAACGGTTTGAGTTAGGGTGTTTTATTTTTGTTATCTGTGTTTTTTTACTGAATAAACGGCATTTCTATGTAGAAAGAAAACACCTGTTATTCTGATTGGTCACCTCAGGATCAGTCATGCGTCCTCATTGCTTGCTTGGCCTATCCTTGAACTTTGCCATTCACCTAAGCAATAAATAATACACAAGTTTTCGGAGATAGAAGCAAAGACTAAGACTGAGGTTAAAAACCAAACAAAACTAGTTCCAACAGTCTCCGGATCTAGTTATGTGCTTGCTTGTATTAATCAATCATTATCAGTACAATACTTGGAGTAGTCGACAGATTTTTTCCCCATTTTAACTTGTCACTCTTCAGCAATACGCACTCACACCATAGAATTCGAACCTAGGACTTTCCAGGTACAAGGCTAGCTTGTAGACCATTCAGCCACTCGGATCCGATCGAATCTTCTGGAAATCTTCTACACCCAGCCTCAGTATAAAGAACAAGATTCGGATTTTCAACACAAATGTGAAGTCAGTCAGTCATTTCTTCTATACAGGTGGGAGTCTTGCACTACATGTCACGAAAAGGATTCCCAACAGCCTTTTACAAACTTTTATCATCAGCTGTCCCTTCTCTGGCTCCATACTGAAGATCAACTAGCCGGCTGGCCAAAAAGAATTAGCAACAAGAAACTCTGCAGTGGAACAAACCAACCAAGAATCGATTGCTCAACAAATATGTAAGAGAAAATGGAGATGGATCGGGCATACGCCACTGAGGAGACCATCGAATGACATCGCGTGCCAGGCCCTTGAGTGTAATCCAAATGGGAAAAGACGAGTGGGTCGTCGGTGCAAGGGTAACATGGAGAAGATCGTTTGGTGAGGAGGAAATGAGACATTACGGGCAATCGTGGATCTAGCTGAAGAGGACGGCAGAAAATATAACAAAGTGCAGATGTGTTGCTGAAGCCATATGTTCCCCTCGGAACCCAAAGGAATAATAAATAATAAAATAAATAAATATCAGTACAATATATGCACTTGGTAATGAGCCATGCTAAGAATGAAGGCTGGCGATAACTCTAACTAGTGCCTCAAATGATAGTAGGTGGGTGAAGAGAGTTGCGGTTCTAAACTACAAAACAGTGTCCAAAACCAACAATATTAACATTACAATACACTTTAAAACACAGTTCTTTCTAAATAAAAGTAAAGCACAGCTAACTTCGCAACGCGAGTAGGCGAGAGACTTGGAAACGGATTATCCTGTTGAGGAAAACCACACCATATTTATACATTCTCAGCCACATTTATGGTTAGTTAGGTAAGCGGATAATAAACTGTTCTGACTGGCTACTGATTTTTTGAAGGTTGAACCTTGAAATTACATTCTGACTACAACCCAAGCTAGATCCAGATTTGAGAAATAATCGCTTCTCCTTCAGCAACTACCTATCAATCTATGTCTGTATACTGGTGATAATTCTTGCCAGCAGCACACGCCACAACCTTACATTCTACAGTTACACGCATATAAGTTTAAATTGTACCAAAAGTTCTGTTCTTCAATACTATGAAAAAGTAATGTGGCCTGGCAGACAGTGCTAATTTAATACAGTAAAGAAGCCTGGTTTAGTGGCTGATCACAATTTCAACGACTACGAAAGCAATAAAAAAACCGGCCTGTGAAGACAAGAAGAAGAAGAAGAGAAGATGGTCGGCTCTCATAGAGCTATTATTGTCTCAAACCGCAGTAGAAAGCGTTGAACACAATGCTGTCGAGGAGTCCGCAAATAATAAATAAAATTCACATTGTTTAAAGGGTAATTAAACTCATGAAAATTCAGACGCCTAATCCCAAGCTGTTTTCTTATTTAGACATAAACATCTTACATCTCTGACTAACTGACTGGTGAGAGAATGAGTGAGAGTGAGTGCATCTACGTCAGTCATTGACAACCATCTCCAACCATTTCACCAACTGTCCTCAACCAAAGAGTGATTTTTAACACTTCGACGACCCTAACCACCAGATTGCAGTCTACACCTCCGTAAGTGGCTTGAACTAAACTGGACTGAAATCCTTCTTTCAGCTTGATCACCACTAGCTCTTTTCCAACTTGATCCCATATCATCAGCTAACACTGCTCGTCGAGGAGCATCACAACTTCATCGATTGATTTTCCCTCCTTATCGAAACACTCGACAACACCTAACCTCAGTATCACTCACGTATTACATCTCACTACTTAAGATCCATCTTCGCGTATGATGAAAGTAGCGGACGTGTCTCAGGCAACAGTGAAAATACTCCTAAATATGTTTTACGATACAAACGCAGGTATTTATTAGCCCTTTACAGAGAGAAAAACCAAAAAATATGTCTAGTGACTGAGGGCTCAGAGAACAATTCTCATTGTCAATCTGAAAATACAACAATTTTGTTAGCAAACGAAGACAACACCGGTAACAACGGCAACGGCAACGGTAACAAAAGGATGACAGACATAACACATGTGAAAATATCCAATCAAATCAAGAGAAAACGCGTCACTTACTGGAACTGATTATTCTTCATATAATGATCAGCAATTAAATAATACATTGATTTCGTCAAGAAACTAAAGAATATAACAGAATTATATTTACTTTTTTTTTTTAAAAATTTCGTCAAATTAATAGTAATATTAACACTTTCAAGTTAGCATATTCAATAATAATAAATAAATGAAACTATCTGAGATAAACAGTCTTGTGTGGTGGAAGAGTGTTAATCATATACTGAAGGATGTCGCATCTCTGGTGTAGATGTTTTTTTTCCCTTCACGTTACCCAGTGGAACATAGGGCTTCAAGCTAGTGGCTTGAAGTTTCTGTAGTAGTGGCGTTTATTTTTACGGGAAGGGGTTGCTAGCCTCATGCCCAACCTTTCCTGTTCACCAACATTATTTCTAGCTAAGCGAGGTAAAGGAGTGCTTCGGTGGCCGGGGATAGAACCCCGAGCCATGTGCATAGTCGATGAGCGTCCTAACCGCCATGTCACCGACGCACACGGTGTAGATGTGACATCTAGCTGTAGATCAAAGGAGATGTGTTACTGTGTAGCACTTTGCTTTGTCCATCTTTATGGCTGCCGGACAAAATGGTCATTGAAAGAAAAAGCTGTCTGCGTTTGCCGATATATATTTGCACTCTATCTCCCGTATTAAGCCGTATCGTATAGGGGACGATGGCGTCGGTGGCACAGCGGTAGAATGTTCACCAACCACGCTTGTGGTCCAGACTTCGATCTCTGGCCGACGCACTCCTTCCTTTACCTCACTAAGCTAGTAATAAGACTGGTGAAGAGGGAAGGGTTAGCCATGAAGATAGCAATCCCATCCCGTAAAAATAAAACACTGCTACCGAAACTTCAAAGCTCTAGCTTGAAGCCCCATGTTCCACTAAGAACGTACAGGAATTATATATATAGGGAGCAATAATGTGAGTCAATCGATAAACCTGTGAAAGTGAATCGACTGAGATGGCCAGGAAATGTGTTGTACTTTTGTGTCCATGTTGAAATTGAGTCAGTCAGATGCAGTTGATAATGAACCACACTTATTTTGTAAGGATTGGATTGATGTATGAAAAGCAAGATTTGAAAACATGGCGCGCTGACTGAAAAAACCAGGTAGTTGATCACTTGCATAATATATTCCGATATAGTTATATATAACTTGAAATAATGGAGAAGATTTGTAGCTCAGGTGGATGATTTGCAATGAATAGTGTTCTCTGAGCTGGTTGATTTAGTTGCGGAGCTTTCGTCGTCCTTCTGGACAACATCCCCCTTCAGCGCAATTTTTAGCATAAAGTGAAATGATTTAAATTTCTTCATGCGTGATGTAATTGCGTCTCCCTGTAACCATCTTTACATATGTATTCACCATTTTCTAATGACTTGGATTTTAAACTTTCTAGTCACATGATTTACTTTTTATTAGTTTGTATATTTGGTCTATATTAACGTATTTGTTAATTGCATTTTCACTTGAGTACCAAACAGAAAATGTGGGTACGCTACGTTGATGATACATTTGTAATAATTGAGAGAAATGGTTTAGAATTTACCCATAAATTAATAAACAACATATTTGAAGACATCAAATTCACAAGAGAAGATTTAGATTATAAAATCCCATTTTTAGATCTCTTAATCAAGAGAACCAACACATATATTACTGGCACTAAGAGACGTACGCTTCCAATACTCTGTAAAGTGTGTCGACGATTATAGCAACTATAGGATCTGTTTGAAAATGCAACCAATCTAAACACCATACTAGTTAGAAGTCATTTATTGTTTAAGCGTTTATGATCTTGCCCAGTCTCCCACCCAAATTGAAGTAAATGAGGCAGGATTTGAACTCATGACCCTTGTCTTCTGTCGTTACACAGGGAATAAATCCAGCATTAATAGGCTTAATGTTATTTGCTGGATGGTAACTAGCAATCCAATCGAAGATGAGCAATTCACCCTATCTCCGATTCTCCAAATAGTGGATGTACGTACAATGCCACAAGTGAGTGATGATATTCCCCCCTCCCCCGCTTTGAGACTCAAACTCAGCACCCAACGTTTCAAACACCAAAGCGTTATCCACTAGGCCATTTGGACCACAAGAACCACCCTCTTATACATCGCGTACCAGTTGGTATTTGTTTTTTAAGCTTCTGAACTCGGAGCTGACATGTCAAAAACCACTGAACATTTCACACTCCAATACAATCGATCAATCAATTAATCAATAAATACGAAATGCAAAATAAACTTAGGCCAAATCACCAACCTTAATCCTTTAGGAACTGAAGGCAAGTGTATTTCTTTAGCTTTCGATTGTATAACTGAGTCTATGCTAGATTTTGGTAACATTTTGTCAAGTTCACAAGTTGGCATAATTTTTGCAGCATCACAAAGAAACTTTAACATCTGCAAAAAAAAGAAAAAGAAAAAAATCAACAGAAACAAGAAAACATTGAACATCCAATAAATAAATACATATATAGATTTCTTCGCAAATTAATATCAGTTAGAGAATCACTGAGAACTGTGGAGTAATGAACAGATATATTTCGCCCTAGTTTGGGCCTCTTCATCAGTAAACACACACTGATAACCCGTCAACTGTGATTGAATCGAGGACCATCTCAGGTTGACAGGTGAGTCAGTAGCTATTTAAGTCACTGGGATAGAATCCTTGTGCGACACAAGGAGATATCGCTGACCAGTGTCTTCGATGGATATATATTCCCATACTCAACTTGGTAGACGTCACTGACCATGACCACCGCATCCAGTAGTCACCAATGAATGAACTGGAGATTAACACTTAGATTATGGGTTTCATAGGGATTCAATGTTTGGAACTGTTCAAGCTGGCATGAAACAACTGTCCAGTGCTCCTCAGCTTTCAATGTTCCTCTCTAAACGACGTTGGTTAGTGACGAGAACTACATTGAAATTATCTATAGAAAAAACAAAAATATATTGAGCAAAGAATATCCTTTTCGATAATTTTCTCTTCGGGCTCTGCAATTATATAGATATTTAATTGGTGGATGGTGACTAGCAGTGGAATCCAGGACAACGCGCATTTCGTCCTATTTGAGACTCGTCATCTGGATGTACCTGCATTTCCCAGTGAGTGATGCTGTTCCCACCGACGCTCGGACCCAGTGCCCATAGTTTCAAACGCCAAAGCGTTATCCACTAGACCACTTGGGCCAACTAGGGAATGCAGGTATATCCAGCTGGCGAGTCCAAAAGGGAAAAAATGCGTGTTGTCCTGGATTCCACTGCTAGTGACCATCCACCAATTAAATTCTAACTACATGCCCAGACATCGTCGAAGCATCTGCGCAAGAAGCCAACACGTCAACCTGAAATTGAGCATTTCGGTTCAATCAATCGACTGGAAATACTACCGAATTATCCAGATTAGTGGTTGCAGAAGGATAGGAACCAAGAATCAATCGGTTGGAAGTTGATGTGTTATACCACAAGTTGTAGAAGTCTAACAAATACTCCATAATTATTATTATTATTTCCTTTAATTCCTAGAGGAACATAGGGCTTCAGCTATGAGTCTCCATTGCGTTCGGTTCTCTGCTAAAGTTTTCAACTGGCTCCAAGTCTGCCGACATGCTTTCATCTCCTCTTCACATGACCTCCTCCAAGTCACACTTGCACTGACGACCAACTCGCAGCTTCCCTTTCGGGTTCCACTCGAGGGCCTGTCTTCGGTTGTAACTTGATGGTTTGTTTTCTCAGAGTATGGCTAATCCACCTCCATTTCTTCCTGCCTGTTTGTTGCACAATCGGTTCCTGCTGGGTTGGTTCGCTCCCAAAGATCCCTGTTGCTGATCTTTTCTGGTCATCTAAACTTGAGCGAAGTATTGACCTAAGACAGCTGATGATGAAGGTCTGTAGTCTTTTTGAGATGCTCTTTATGACGCGCCAAGTCTCTGATCCATCCGTATTACGGCACTGACTTCACATTGAAGTTGAAAATTCGGATCTTATTTTTCATACTGAGTGCTGTTGACCTCCACACAGACTTGAGAGTAATGAAAGCTTGTCTTGCTTTCCCGATCCTCTCTGCTTTGATACTCCATAAAGACATATTCAATAAATATACGCACATATAATGACAATATTTGAAAAAAGTAAATAAATAAATAAATAGACTACCTCATTTGATATTGACAAAGTTTTAACACTATCGTATTCTGGGAAAGGACTAGGACAGGCGAATAGAAATATTATCTTGACACATTCCCAATCTAGACACTAGAATGCAAATAAATGAGACAAAATCAAAGGTAGAAAGCAATAGATTAACAAAAAAGATTTGAGTAGAAGTCAAAATGAAATTTTCAATATGTACACATTAGTTGTCATCTAAAGTGAAGACACAACCAGTGGTATCCGTCACTAATGTCAATATTTTTTTCAAAAGAATGATTACTGAACAAAGAATATTCCTTTCGATAACCCCTCATCATCAGGTTCTACACTTATATATACATAACAGTGAATGAATTAGTGTTATTAACAATATTATTATTGTTTAAATAACATCGAATCAATAATAATAATAATAATATCAATAGATTACAGTCCGACTGCATCAACATTACGATACACTGATTACCAGACAGGTGAATCAGGAAAATTAATAATACAAGTTTGTGAATTTATAGTCTCCACTGAAGGCAGTAGTAGAGACTCGTTGGACTTGCTTCTTCTGCACACAGAGCACTGGTTGTTTCAGGCGAATCGCAATAGCCTCATCTGTTTGAAGCATGCGGTACCTCAATGTTTCTGGCAATTTATTTGGCATACGGTAAATGATGGAGAAGGACTCTTCAATGCTGGCTTTGTGTCCAGTTTTTACCAGGTGGTCTAATATCGACCTACTGATGCTTTTCACTTCAACTTTATTTAACCGCACAGATAGATGTTTTCGAGTGAGCTCAAAAAATCAAGTACCTAGAGAGACGGTGAATATAGCTTGCTCCATATGCGCAGTTAAATTGGTAGTGGTTAGTCTAGGTACTTCATCTTTCAATTGGGGAATCATCATCAGTCGTGTAGAAAATATGACTTGCAGTTTACCACCATTTAAAATTCTTTGAACTGAATTTCTTAACTTCTTCGTAATTATCTCGACAGGTATATCGCCCTTGAATTGCTGTCGTATGTATGAAGGCTTCTTGTTTACGGATAGTGAGTAGTCCTTTTTAACTCTCTAAGTCATATTTCGCCTGATGAATTTGTCTGGATAGCCATTTTCAGTCAAGGTGTAATATGCAATCCCTAGTTCATCTTCAGTTACCTCTTCTGAGCATAAAGCTGTAACCCTGTGACTGAGGATCCTTACTAAATTTCCTATGTACTCGAGAGGAACAAAGCTATGAAAATGTGTATATTTTCCTGTCTATATGCTTTTCCTATGCACATATCTCTTTATACTACCATCTAGTTTTCTTTGTAAGAAGGATATCTAGGAAGGCAATTCTATTTTGGGATTCCTCTTTGTACGTGAATTTCATAGCAGAATGTATTTAGTCGAATTGAGTTATTGTTGTGTTCCTATCCGAATCATTATCATAAAGAATGAAGGCGTCATCCATATATCGGCAATAAAATGAGGCTTTTCTGATAAGGTTATTTAGAAGTGCATTTTCTCGTTTACTTAAAAGGAAATCTGCCAAAGTGAGGGCCAAAAGCGAGCGCATCGCCAACGCGTTCACTTGTCTGTAAAGTGTGCCATCAAATTTGAAATTTACATTCATGGTACACCTTCATAACAATTCTTTCAGGATTTTCGCTGGGATGGCAGTATTTATCGACTGGTTGGTTATACACATGTTCACATATGTAGTGACATGTTTCTACTAGAGGTACATTTGTGGATAAAGATGTTATGTCCAAAGATTTCATGGTTTTGTCCTAGATATTATTATCTTTGATTTTGTCTACGAATTCAAATACATCATTGGCGTTATGTTTCACTATCTTCTCATGCAAAGATTTGAGAATATTTACTAACCATCTAGCTAAGTGTGGTAGGGCGAACTTCGCATATCAAGTATTGATCTTAACGCTAACCCCGGTCTATGTAATATAGGTAGGCCATACAATCTTGGCGTGTACGTGCCCGTTGGCCTGAGTTATTCATATAAACTTTCAGGAAATATCTGTTCCTCCCTAGAGAGAGAAGGATTCTTCAATGCTGGCTTTGTGGCCGGTTTGGACCAGATGGTCTAATATCGAAATGTTGATGGATTTTGCTACACCTTCACTCAACCATACTGATATACGTTGCCGAGCACGAAAAATCTGTAGTGTACTGTTATGTTGATGCTATCGAATTGTAATCCACTGATATCATTATTATTGATTCGGTGTTATTTAAACAACATTAATATTGTTAATAACACTTATTCATTCAGTATTGTGTATATATGTGGTGAGTGCTACTTATAATCCGATATAAGTAGTATATCAGGAACGAAGTAACAACATGTTTGGCACACTGGAAAGAGCTATCAAGGAAGAGAACCATGAGAAGAATGTTGCCATATGATGCAGAATCCAAGAAGCTATCGAATGAGACGATATTCGACCAATTCGTCAAGGATGTGGTAAAGATGTGCAAATAGCCGGTTGAGAATATGGTATTCCAAATTTAGCTATGTACCATACGTTTCACCAAATAGACATTCCTTTCAGTCTCCTCAGTCTTGTCTTCTTCACATATGTAACTATAGAACCTGATGATGAGGTTATTGAAAAATATATTGTTTGTTCAGTAAACATTCTTTTGAAACATTTTAATGCGCATTTCTAATCAGTTCAACATTTTTTCCTAAATTTCATCGGTGTCCGGACAGACGGCTTTAACGACTACGGAATCGACTTGTTACCACGATGCAGTTTCATCGATTTAGAGTATGCAGATGATACAGTCTTTTTTTGAGTGAAGACACTGACTTAGTACAGCCTTTCGAACACCTTGAACAGAAATCTTAGTAGGTGTGGTATACGATTTCCGCTTGTTAAATGAAAGGATGCTGTGAAATTGGTCTGCAGTGATGCCTGATTTAAGGGGAAAGAATAAGAAAATAGTTGAGGGTGTCGGCCATTTCACTTATTTGCGAATTCGCATCAGCCTTAACGTATACAAAAAACTCGTTTAGCATTTGCCATCTTGCATCATCTTTTGGGTGTGGATAGTTTATAGCTACGTGTTTCATATGTGCCCACCGCTGATACGATGTTGGAGTTCGTTGTTCTTCAATCGACATGGGACTCCATAGATGCTGGCTGGCTGGATTCAACATAGAACTTAACATCAAAGTGCAGGCATTCGAGTTGCCACGTTCCAAATAGCACACAAAGGTAGACAGGAAGATGAGTGAAGAGAATCAATAGAGTTTTGACAGGTATAAGAGTGAAACAGAATGAGTAATGGTACAAAGGAATATGAAAGATTACACAAGAGACTGAATACATCTGCGTAAGCCATTGACAACGATTTTGAGCCATGTCACCTAGTGTCTACAGCCACCATTGATTCCTAGAGTCCCGAGGGCGGGCCCCAACCTGGAAGTCTGCATCTCCCTCCCTACCTGACTCAGTTTAACTGTCAAGGATTTCATGGATTGATTGATGCGATGTTTTTGTTTGGCCACCACTTACTCTTTTCCAGCCTGCACCTACCTATATCAGCTAGTGATGCCCGTCCGTCGGGGGAGGCGATGGTTAGTCATGCGCAGCACGTGACCTAGCCATCTCAATCTATGTAACTTCATAGCCTCTTCGACTGATTTTCCCTCTTTGCCCAACACTCTACGCCTAGCCTAACGTCAACATTACTTACCTTATAATACCACCTAACGCGAGAAAGAGATCGTAGACATCTATGATCGAAAATAGTCAACCTTTTCATGTCTTCAACTCGTATTGGCCATGTTTCAGAGAGCCATAGAGAAGGACGGAGCGAACTGATGAGCAGTACACACGTCCCTTGGTTGATAGCCGGATGTCACGCCTACGCCAGAGATGGTGTAAGTTAGCGAAAGCAGCCCGAGCTTTTTGGATCCATGCTGAGATTTCGTCACCAATCAATCCGTTGGTGCTGTTACAACTTCCCAAATAGGTGAGGTGGTCAACATGTTCTATAGATAGATAGTAAAGTATGATCAACTACAGAGAACCAATGTGTAACGTTGTTTATTTTGGTGACTACAGTGTAAATTCAAGCGCGATAAAAGACAACATATACCAAACCCAAAACTCACCATGAAACCGTAGTTCATAGCAAGCAGTAAAATCTTCAAATCATGTGTGACCTGCTGCCTGAAGCAATAGTTATCCTTTGGGCTCTATGGTAATACAACACGCAGAAGTCATCACCTACATCTATATTCACAAACGAGGGAAAATCAAGCAGGCTTTAGGCCAGGTAGAGGGTGCATAGATCATATCTTCACTCTCCGACAGGTCCTAGGTTGACTGTTTTTCATCATAGATGTCTACGATCTCTTTCTCACGTTAGGTGGTATTATAAGGTATTAGGCATAGAGTGTTGGGCAAAGAGGGAAAATCAATCGAAGAGGCTATAAAGTTACATAGACTGAGATGGCTAGGTCACGTGCTGCGAATGACTAACCATCGTCTCCCCCACCTCGACGAGCATTACTAGCTGATATAGGTGCAGGTTGGAAAAGAGTAAGTGGTGGTGGCCAAGCAAAAACATGGCCTCATCAATCCATGAAATCCTTAACAGTTAAACTGAGTCAGGTTGGGAGGGAGATGCAGACTTCCGGGTTGGGGCCCGCTCTCGGGACTCTAAGAATCAATCACTGGCTGGAGACAATAGGTGACATGGCTCAAAATCGTTGTCAATGGCTTACGCAGATGTATTCAGTCTCTTGTGTAATCTTTCATATTCCTTTCTACCATTACTCATTCTGTTTCACTCTTATACCTGTCAAAATTCTATTGCTTCTCTTCACTTTCATCTTCTTGTCTACCTTTGTGTGGTATTTGGAACGTGGCAACTGGAACTGCTGCACTTCGGTGCCAAGTTCTATGTTGAATCCAGACAGACAAACAGAAATATTCACAAAAACAAAAAAGGAAAAATGGGACTGATCAACTCTGGCAACTTACTTCTCCTTCTTGATGAGTATCACAATCAGCTGACGATAACGATGGTGAATTCCACCAATTCGATTTATTATTCAGCGTATTCATCGATTGCTGGAGTTGTTGTTGTTGCAGTAGTTGATATTGTTGTTGATGCGCATGATGATGATCGAATACATCCCATGAATCGAATAAATTCTTCACTGTATTTATCCATTCCGGGATAAAATTAATAAAACCATCACCATATTTTGTTTTAATACAATTATAGATTTGCATAAATTCATACGATTCAACAAAATCAAGTGAGAGATACTTCTCGGTCGGTTGATAAAACGTGGTTATCTCACGGGTTAAACAATTACCCAATAGACATTTAATTGTACAACTTAACACTTGAGCTAAACACACCGAGTCCGTAGGCCAAGATTTATTACACAGACTACTGCTGTGCAGATCATCAGTACACGCGACAGTATTATCATCCGGTGATATTGGCGCCATGTATTCATCTGTAGGTGTTTGACCTTTATTCGCTGAACATTCATTATTATTATTATTAATATTAGTGGTAGCAATATTACCAGCATTGGATACAATACCATCATCAGTGGTGGTAGGCGTGGTAGTACTAGCAGTACTAGCAGTAGATGTCGTAGCACCAGTCTCTATCCGACTACCACCAGTTTCAAGATTCCATCGGAGATCAGGTGAATAAAATCTAGCACTGATCGACTGCAGTTCATTACAACTTCGTATAGCCAGTTGGATTAAAAGCTTGACGATACCTGTAGAATCCCGACATAATGTTATTATTGTATTATTATTATTACTACTTGTAGCTGACGAAGTGAACAGTAGTATTGAAAATTCATGAAATAAATGCAAGCAAACAATACTCGGCGGTGCACTAACTGATCCACAATAGGCGTTTAGCTTTAATTCCAGTGGAATCTCTTCAGATAACTCTACACCAGATTGATAAATACGTAGTTCAATTGGTAGAGCTGAACACGGAATACTTTCTTCAATGCTGTAAAATAAGGAGAAAGGAGAAATTAGCAAGGAATCAATAGAAAATTGAATAAGCTAATTCATTTTATGATAAAATATCTTTATTGTAGGAAAGAGTAGGCAGATTATGCGACTAGAAATGTATCCAATTCAAAGGCTAAACAACCGCTTCCAATTCTAAGTATAATTGAAGTCAAACAGCCATGTAACAGGTGGTCATGCAGAGATATCTTCTGAAGTGTAGACAACCACAGTGCTGTCCGTGAGGGATGCCCATTATCCTCTTCTCTGTGTAATTTCATCATACGTGCCCTGGTGGAATTGACCCCAATCGACTTTAGCGGCTAAGGGATTGACTTAATATACGTGTAAAACTTGGGCTGTGTGGTAATATGCAATTCCATATTAAGTTGCTTATTAGATATAACACACAGTGAAGCAGTATTATTTATTGAATGAAAACATTTCAAACAATCTATTGTTGTTCATAATCATATCAGCAATTATAATCACACGACTTCGAAACGTGAGTTTTATGGTTTTCTACACTCTTTCCTATGTTTTTACGAGTTTGACCACGGATTGATGTCAGTTAGAGAAACATCGAAAACCAGGGAGTACTGCAGGACACCTTTTTCATCCTAGTTTGGGAATCATCGGCAGTACGCACCCACCACCAGGGTTCGAACCCAGGACCTTCCGGTTACAAGACAAGCTGGTTTTCAATGATTCTCTAACTGATATCAACCCGTGGTCAAACTCGTAAAATCAAATCTAATCCTTAAAAACCAACTCCTTCCTATTTGTCGTAGAGGAAGTAGAATTTTCCAGATGTGTTGAATCATTCCTATTACACGTATTCTCTTCAGTTGATTCGATAAATAAAGCTTCCGTCATCAATCTCTCCCTTCACTCTGTTAGATTACATTTTAAAACTGTCATCTTATCTCATCCTATTGTATATTTGTGTGTAATTGCATGTGGTGAGTGCTATAGCTGAACTATTCTCCAGATTACTTATCTTATCAGGGTCAACTAATTCAGAGGTTGCCAGGTTTATATGCTACGCTAGTCTGACTGACTGACCCCGTTCTACTACTCTGACCTATATATATTTGACCTGACAATCATTCCAGCAGGGTATTACATAAACTAAATTGTTTTGTTTTAAGGGCTCCACAAGACTGATCCTTCAACCGACAAAGCTTGTTTCTAATTAAGTTTGTGGGTTTGAATGCCAGCCACTTATACTTCTTCATCGTTAAGAATTCCCTGTAAGGTGTCCGAGATTCCTCCTTAGTACGGAATTACTACTGATGATTTATATTCCCTATTGTTGGTGTTGTCATTAACCTGCGCATGTTTGACATGCATGTCATCGTCAATATTATTATTATTATCACTATCACCACCATATAAGAGAAGTTTTGAAACAATAATTACCCTAATAAATTAATCAAGAAGTATGTAGGAAAATGTAAAAATAAAATTATTAATAATAATAATAATGGAAGATGTGAAAAGGCTAGCTGTCGTCACATAGGCTTAGACACTCATATTACACGTGTTTACTGACCACCAACCTGTAAGTGCTGTGTTAACCAAAATAAGACCGAAACATGATAGGTATGGACGACCAAAGACAAAGCATCATGAATGTTACTGTGAGTAGTGTATGGAACTGTATATATTATCCAACTGTGTTTCAAGTTACATGTTGATAGAGCTAAGGATAGACCACAGTGGCACGAGTACAGTTACAACTGATAAGGAAAGCGTTTTGTATGCTTATGAAAGTTCGTGGGTGGTTATTAACTCCCTTCTGTCACCACCTTAGAGATTGATTTCTCCCTGAAATGCCTGAAAGAAGAGAAGTACTACTGTTGTGTAATCACATAAGCCAGACAACAAGTGGTTCAGGTGAGTCAGACACGGTCTGTTTGAATTGACGTTTTGCAATTGCGTCCGTATTAAGATGTTACCGCTGGCTACCAACCACCGTAGAGGTGTAACAATAGAAGACAAGGGCCAGGCAACAGATCATTTATTAAGGAAAATCAACACATATTTATAGATTTTAATGTACATTATTGTAGATTATTGTTAGTAGAAAATACAGTCTGTGGATTGGTTGTTTCTCACAGAAAGTTAACCTTGCATCTCTTTGTAGCTGTGTCAGATCATCCATATACTAACTGTATCCGCCTACACAAAGTCTTTGTTCTCATTTTCTCACCATCAATATTGGGGACATAAACATTGACGTAAATTACTGTCTACCAACTTTGGCTAGCAGCAAGCTCTCATCACAAAGGTAGCATAGCTGACTTGGTGGGAAACATGTTAATGCCGTTACATCTGTATTCACCAGAAGTAAGAATTCGCTCACAGAACCATTTACACTATGTGATGACAATTGTTTTTGTCTAACTGTGGTGAGAGCTAGCTGCTAGCCGAAATTGGTAGACAGTGTAATTTACGTCAATGTTTACGTCGTCAATATTGGTAATGAGAAAAAAATAAGAACAAAGACCGATTCAACAACCAATCACAGCAGACTTTGTTTGCGTAGGCGGATACAATTTGCAGATAGATAATCTGAACTTCAAGAAACGGCCACAAAGAGATGAAAGATTAACACGTTCAGCGAGAAACCATCAATCAGAAGACTCTGTTTGTTTGCTTACAATAATCTATAATAGTTATGTACATGAAAATCTATAAATCTGTGTTGATTCCCTAAATAAATGATCTGTCGCCTATCCCTTGTCTTCTGTCGTTGTTACATAACGACTACCCAAACGATTTTCCTGGGATGGTAGGACTCCAAGAACATTAGTCGTCCAGACAAGTATAGCTCTTAGCGTCATAGCAGTATGAAAAACAGATCATCACATCAAGGTAGCAGCTATCGGTCGGGATGTTGACTGGAATCGTATCCATCTGTCTGATGTAACATTAGATGGTACACCATAATTTGACACCCACAGAGGTCTACGAAAACTAAGCAGCTCCGCAGATATGTCATTTAGAGGGCAGACGATGGCCCATCATCATCTAGTGAATCTACCTCTAATACCGTAAGGATATGTATGAAACTACGAAAGAAAAAAAGGTTATTCACAATTTCATTAATTGACTTACCATCTTAAATGTTCATATAATAATGAAACTAATTTCAGATAAAAATTCATTGTCCAATTGGATAACACTTTACTAGATGTACGTATACTGTATACTAAGAAGTCAATGATGACAGTGACAGTACGACAAGCTTCAGAGATAGATAATTCTATTGAATCATTCCTAGTGAATACGCCAACCATTGGTGTGTTATCATTTGATATTTCTTTGTTGTCGTTGTTGTTGTTCTTTGTAGCATCCTCATCACGACAATCAACAGCAGCAGCGCAGCAGGAACGGCGATTACACCACCCTCACCAGAATCATCGAGATAGGTTAATAATTTTAGTGGTAAATTAGCAATTGATGAAATATCACTCGATGAATTCGATTTTATTGGAAACTGTCTTGAATTAAAGTCATCTTCATTGACGCAATTATCTCCCAATAAATTCCAACATCTACACAGAAAGACAGAAAGAAAGAGAGAGTACAATACTACTTAGACTAAAAAAGAAGACAGGTGACAATGATTATTCGATCATTATTATTATTACTATCAGTATTATTATTCCCTTGGGCTTCTGTCTCTGTCTCTGTCTGGATTCAACATAGAACTTCACACCGAAGTGCAACAGTTCGAGTTGCCACGTTCCAAATACCACACAAAGATAGACAAGATGAGAGGAGAGAATCAATAGAATTTAGACAAGTATAAGAGTGAAACAGAATGAGTAATGGTAGGAAGGAATATGAGAGTGAATATTACAGAGACTGAATACATCTGCGTAAGCCATTGACAACGATTTTGAGCCATGTCACCACCTATTGTCTCCAGCCACCATTGATTCTTAGAGTCCTGAGGGCGGGCCCCAACCCGGAAGTCTGCATCTCCCTCCCTACCTGACTCAGTTTAACTGTCAGGGATTTCATGGATTGATTGATGCGATGTTTTTGTTTGGCCACCACTTACACTTTTCCAACCTGCACCTATATCAGCTAGTAATGCCCGTCGGGGTTGGGGGGAGGCGATGGTTAGGCATGCGCAACACCTGACCTAGCCATCTCAATCTATGTAACTTTATAGCCTCGTCAATTGATTTTCCCTCTTTGCCCAACACTCTACGCCTAACTTCAACATTACTTACCTTATTATACCACCACCTAACGTGAGAAAGAGATCGTAGACATCTATGATCGAAAACAGTCAACCTTTTCATGTCTTCAACTCGTATTGGCCATGTTTCAGAGCCATAAAGGAGAAGGACGGAGCGAACTGCTGAGCAGCAGTACACACGTCCCTAACTGATATCAATCCGTGATCAACTCATAAAAAATAATAATAATAATAATAATTTACTTACTTAATCAGAAATTTAATTGTCTTCATAGCAATTGAAGCAATCGAGTTCACTGATGCCTCAGACATTGTCATCATTTGCTCTTGATTCGATTCCGTGAGTCGAATTAAACACTCTTCAATTAAAAGGATGCAATAGTTGTAATATGTAGATAATGACGATGATGTTGATGTTGATGATGACTGTGCGAGGGGCGTTACATCCATATCGACATCTTCAGCAGCAGCAGCAGTATTGTTACCTTCTCTAGGAGCAGCGTAATCACCAGTTTTTGTAATCATATCAGTGATTAAATGTTTCAATGAATTGTAGAATAGATTCAATTGTTTCAATGAATGAGATTGATCAGATGACGATAATGATGATGATGCTGATGATGAAGATGATGACGAGGACGATGTTGAGGAGCAGGAGTAGGAAGAGGACTTCTACAAGAACCAAAGAGATAAATAAGTAAATCGATACGTGGGTGAATAAAACAATAGGGATAATAAACAACGGTCTGGGATAAACGGAGTGTCCGCATAAGTAGAAACGTTTATAATACATTCTGTATTATAGAATATCCTGAAATTGAACTGAATTATTCAACGTAGAACTAGGCAGAAAAAAAAAAAGTCTACAGAAACTATCAATAAACAGAAATTTATAAGGAGGAGAAGTAAATTAATATAAACCTCAGGCTAAATTAAACACAACAGAAATGTGTGCATCGTATGTGTGTATGTGTGTGCGTATGTGTGAGGAATACACGGGAGCACCACTTCGCATTCAAATAGTTCTCTAACTATTTTGATTGGACACTAGTTAGTAACTAGTGGGGCTCAATAATATTGCGTAGACTAAGTGGTGCTCGGGAGGCAGAAACACGAGAGAACCAGGCAGGCTTTAGACCAGGAAAAGGTTTATTGATCATACCCTCATACATCTTCGCTCCTGCCAAATGTAAGATGATGTTGCAGGACTGGACTACACTGACTCCTAGTTTAGAAATAGGAAATGAAGTGGTAGAGCACGTTGACCGCTTCACTTATTTGAGAAGTATCATCAGCCAGTGCCAACGGGTTCATCTCTGACGAAATCTCAGTACGGATACAGATGGCTAGTTTCGAATATGCCAGTTCACACCGTGTCTGGAGTAGACGTGATATCCAGCCGGCTATTGACCAAAGGGCGGGTGTACTGCTCTGATATCAACAGAGATATATTATTTTCAAGTTCGATCACACAGCAACATCATTTAGAGAACCACAGAGTATCTCACAGCTGTTTCGTACCAGTTTAGGACTCTTCATCAGTACGCATCAAAGACCCAGCTGGAAACTGATGAAACAGCTACTACCCACTACTCCTTCGTTTTTAATGCTTCTCCAACTGATTTCAGGCCCACTATCTTAAACTGAAAATAATTTACCACTTATAAGCGCATATTTGAAACTGACAACAAAAAAATGTCTCAGCAGGACCTAATTGGTTATTTGTCTCATCCAAGACAGTATTTCGGATCAGGATTGTGATATGCTGAATTCTATGTGTGTATTACTGAAGCTGGTGTCCCCCAAGGTGCTGTACTCTCCCCACTTCTCTTTTCTTTCTTTCTTTCTACATGACTTACCATCTTCAAATGACATTAATTTTGTCAAATATGCTGACGATCTGACTGTATCTTTGCCTGTCAAATGTCAAAGTGACTGCTCTAAACTAAATGGCTTTCTGTCAGAAATCAGCCAGTGGTCCAAGGAAAACGGTCTTACCCTAAATCCCTCCAAATGCCAAACAGTCAATTTCACCTTTAGGCATAAATCCAACCTAAACAAACTGGTTAGCTCTCACGAGGTGTGCAACATAGATGGCACTGAAATAGAAACCAAGTCGGAAATTAAATATCTAGGCGTCATTCTATCTGCTGATCTTTCCTGGTCGTCTCATATCTTGATGATTTCTAAGAAAATATTCCGTCTTACCTTCTACATCAAGAAGTTGAGACATTCTAGAATGACCCAACCTTTACTCTTACGATTCGTTAACTCTTGCATCCTGCCTGTTATTCTCTATTGTTCCCCCTTAGTTTTTCCCGGGCTACTGAAGAAAGACTATAACATATTACGCAGGATGTTAAAGGTTGTCAGCAGGGTAAGCAACGTGCCACTTAACCAGATTGTTAATATTCTGGTTGACAGGCACATGGACTCATGTGAAAAATGGGCCAAATCCATTTTATCTAACTCACACCACCCTCTTCATTCACAACTCTCCCCTTGTATCTCATCAGGCAGAACCAGAAGCCTATATAGAAAACTATATGCTCGCACTAGCAAGTACAAAAACTCAACCATACCCTACTTAGCTCGTGTTCTGTGCGATAAAGAAAGCATTAGGTGTGATACCTATAACTTATTAAATAGTCAGTAGAACAATTGGATCTCGTCTTTCCAACTCATATCATTTATAGGTACAACATTTTTCTTTCTTTCTTTTTTTGTGCTGTTTTGTTTCTCTCTTCCTTACAAACTCTATTTAAAACATTCTTCTTCGTTCTTTCACACTCTGTATATCTCGACCTTTTTGTTACCGCTTACGCCAGTAAATATGCTAGTATCTACTTTTCTAACACCTTTCAAACACTCTGTTCAATTTTGGCTTTGCTACCAACATGCCAATATGTTGTTGTCAAAACTAACTGAGATTCCCTTAATCTATGTAGAATTTTATTTATTTATTGATAATGTACTAACTGGATGCAATACTGTAGTGAAATGCTGAGAATTCCATTCTGTATCACAAGTACTGTTTTGGAATAAAGCAAATTATTATTATTATCTAAGTAGAATTCTACTTCCTCAATTGTTTTCATCTTTGTTTCCCCCTCGACCTGATTTCAGTTTGTCGTCTAATTATTTGAAATCAATCGAAAGCTCCCATTAGCAAACATACCGAAGATAAATTATTTTTGTGTATGTATGTCAGGCTATTGAGCCTTTACATATTATTCAAATATAAAAGAAGTTCACATAACCACCTACCGAATTTGTACCACGTTGAAGTTGAAAGATACGTGTCAATTCTAGGAGAACATCAGCATGTTGACCATCGTGAGATAGTTGGATTAAACGATCAAACGATGAAACATCTTTCAGCTTTGACAGTAAATGATTCATATAATCTGAAATGGTCAATTTTAGAGAGAAAAAAGTAGTAGTAATAATAATAATAATAACAGAAGGGAAACACTCTTATTCTGATTTTTCCAAGTAAAGCAATATGTTGAAATTTTCTGGAAAATTAAAATATTTTGTAGCATTGTGCTACTGACAGGATTTATCAGTAGTATATAAAGATACATTCATCGCCACAGAAATATCAAGCAGCGGAGAGATAGATTTGACGTCAAAAACGGAGCAAATGAACCCGTGTTGCGGGAAAACATGGGAGACACGAAAGAAAGAAGACAAAGAAACACAATACGAAGGAAGGGCAGAAGTAGCACAACACCATAGAAGATCTGTGCATATGGCGATTTTCAGATAAGGCCATATTTATTAAACATTCCCGTTACAAAGAGAACAAATCCAATAGGCAGAACTAACTTCGCATATTGGATAATTTTATTTGATAGAACACACATAGTGAGTGAAACAGTGTACTGATAAAAGGGATGACATTTTGAGCACAACTTATTATTCACACGATTTCATAATTTGTTCCATGTATTTTTTTCTCTCTCTCTTTCCCCCTTGTTTTGTTTGTTGCAATTTTTCATATCTCCACGTATAGGCGTTGCGTCATTCCGATTGCATATGTTTGGTATTGATTCTCTTTCTGTCCACTTAAACATAATATTACGGTTAAGTACTTTTGTAACGATAGAAGATAAGGGCCAGGCAACAGATCGTTTGTTGAGAAAATCAAGATTTTTATGTACATTATTATTAGCGTTATTGTTAGCAGAGAAGCGAACTCTTCTTCTGATTGGTTGTTTTATTGCTGAAGGTTATTCTGTTATCTTTTTGTGGCCGTTTCTCAGAAAATCAAGTCTTTATATCTGTGAATCATATTTCTACACCTTAACTCGGCTGTGATTGGCTGATTTTCTCAAGGTTAAGCTTTCTTATTGTTTTTCTCATGACCCTAATTCAGGACGTGAACATTGACGTAAATTGTTATCTACAATTTTTGGCTTGCCACCAGCTCTCACCAATTTGTGGTGAGAGCTGGCTGCTAGCCAAAGTTGGTAGACAGTAATTGACGTCAATGTTTATGTCCCCAATATTGGTGGTGAGAAAATGAGAACAAAGGCTTTGCGTAGGCGGATACAGTTAGCATATGGATGATCTGACACAGCCACAAAGAGATGCAAGGTTAACTTTCTGTGAGAAACAACCAATCAAAAGACTGTATTTTCTACTAACAATAATCTACAATGATGTACATTAAAATCTATAAATATGTGTTGATTTTCCTTAATAAACGATCTGTTGCCTGGCCCTTGTCTTCTGTTGTTACAATTTCACTCTAGTCCACCCTGTTATGTGATTACGTGCAAGTGAATGGATTCCAACGATCGAGTTTTTTTTTCTAGATTATTTAACTTAGCAGAGTCCATCATTCTACTAGAGAATAGGTATCCACAGAGATTCATCGATAAAAACATGAAGGAAAAACCTCCGTCGCCAAAAATCACAACTGTTTCCAAGAAAAAACTCTCTTTATGAACCTGGAATTTAAAGGTGACATCGAAGCAGAAATTCTTAGAAACTGCCTTCCTAAATGTCTGAAGAAGAAATTTCAAGCAACCACCACCTTACGCATCACATTCTTCAGTAGACAATTAATACAGTCTAATGTTAAGGATAAGATACCAACCACTTTTGGCCATCCCAATGTGTATTTATTAGTTTACTTGTATGTGTGGAGCAAAGTATATAACAGGAGTACGCAACACTGTGTTCACAAACGTATTCTGGAACACTGTCAAGCTTGACTAGCCACAGTGAGAAGAGAAAAGAGGAACAGTAGTAACAGCTCCATCCTCGAACACCTTGTCTACTCCGGACATCAAGCATACCCACATGAATGCTTCACAGTACTACTACACACAGAGTCCCTAAATATCGCATGGGAAGACTTCGAATGCGCCATCTATACATACTGAATCAATGGCTATTCGGGGTCTGAAATTGGACCTTGTATGGAGCCAAGAAAAGCGGCGGCGGCAGAGAGATTGACTGACTTGTTTCAATGTAGGACTTTGCACAGATGTGCAGCAGTTCGAGTTACCACACTGCCTCCTCCATGTAGCACACAAAGCAAGAGAAGAGAGTAATGAGAGATTCAAAAGACAGATAACCAACAGAAGTTTGAATGAGGGAAACAGAATAGTAACATAAAAGAAGAATAAGAGTTTCATTGCACATGATAAATCACAAAGAGTAAGTGCATCTACGCCAGCCATCAATGAGAACAACTTTAAGTCATACCACAAGTTGTCTCCAGCCCTTATTGGTTCTTATCATCCCGTGGACCCCACCCAGACATCAGTCTACACCTCCCTACGTGGCTGACTGGCTGGCTAGCTTAAACTAACTGTTGTAGATTTCATTGACCGATGAAGCCATGTTTTGATTTGACCACCATTGGCTCTCTCTTTTCAACTTGATCCATCCTATATCAGCTAACATTGCCCGTCGAGGAAGGCGATGGGAGGCTAGGCATGCATAACACACGTCCTAACCATCTCGGTCGATGCAGCTGTTTCACAACGTCGTCGATTGATTTCCCTCCTTACCTAGCACTCGACCGACGCCCAAGCTCAATAATGCTTCCACGGTATGGGCTGCCGAGAAGTAACAAACCCCTAAAACACACACACACACTTCTAAAAGCACACGAAGCCCTCCTAACCATCATCATCCTGTAGTTAGACGTCTGTAGACTGCTGGAACTGCTTACTAAACAAACTACACAAAGATGATTGTAAACACTTTCAAACAAAGAATACTTCTTACCTAGTGTTAAATCACCGTGACGAACACTGTATGCACGGGAGACAACAATTTTATGCGCCAAAAGATGTTTTTGAAGCTAAAAACATTACAAAAGAAAACAACATGAAATTGTTCTTATTAATTAGAGAACAGTGTGTAGCATTGAACTGTCTTCTTTTTATCCAAAACTGCCTAGTTAGGCAACAAGACAAGGGCCAGGCAAAAGATCGTTTATTGAGAAAATCAAGAGATATTTATAGATTTTTATGTACATTATTGTCAGCAAAGAAGCAACGTCTTCTGACTGGTTGTTTTCTTGCTGAAGGTTAATCTGTACTGCTTGTGACCATTTCTTAGAAAGTTAAGTCATATATCTGCGAATCATACTTGCACACGTTAAGTCTGTTGTGATTGGTTGGTGAGTTCCTCAAGGTTAAGCTTTGTTATTGTTTCCCTAATGACCCTGATTCGGAAAGTGAATATTGACACGTAAATTGTTGTCTAGAATTTTCAGCTTGCAACCAGCTCTCATCATAATGTGATTTTGTATATCCTGTTGATTGAATGTTTGTAACGGATAGAAATGCGTGCTGTCTATTGACAGGTTGGCCATCTCTAGTACAGATGATTTGACAATGGACGCCTTTCAGATTAACATCATATTATGGCTACTAGATGGTTGGAGGCAATCGGCCACAGGAAGCCTTGGACCTAGGTTTCGTGCTAGTTGGCACTCATCAGCAAGGCGTATCTGCAACCTTGAAGGAACTGGTGTCCCTTCTGAGATTCGAACCCGCATCACCCAGTGCTGCAGTCAGAGACGTTCCCACTGAGCTATTCAGGGTCGTGATTGGCCTCCTTTAGGACTGTATTGGATATTTTTGATTGAACACTAGTCAGTAACTAGTGTAATGTGTCTAGTCCTAACTTCGGTGCAGACTGAATTCTATCAGTCATGTTTGAAATGTGGCCACCATGCTAGGTGGCTCGCCATTACGGTGCACTGTGAATTGTTGCTACTAGATGGTTGGAGGCAATCGGCAGGAAACCTTGGACCTAGGTTTCGTGCAAACATGACTGATAGAATTCAGTCTGCACCGAAGATAGGACTAGACACATTACACTAGTTACTGACTAGTGTTCAATCAAAAATAACATCATATTATTAAATGGTTGGAGGCAATCGGCGGGATGCTCTCCACCTAGTTTTCGTGTTTGCTGGCATTCAACAGTCAACAAGGCGTATCTGTAATCTTAAAGGAACTCAGTCTTCACCGAACACACGACTAGACGCATGTTACTAGCTGTTACCTAGTATCCAATCAAAGTAATATAATGTTACTTGGCTGACAGTGGCTACCAGTGGCCTAATGAACAACCCTATGGTATAATTGGAACAACTAACGCCGACTTTGAGTCTCGGTGGACATACTATAACTCATTGGGGATCATGCAGGTAGATCCAGAGCCAACAATTCCGAAGTAGAGAGATATTCGCATCCTAGATTTCAGTACTAGTGGCCACTAGCACTACTAGTTGATGTGATGGGGGTATACAACTACCCAACTCAATCAATAAGTAGTTTATGGTTTTATGTATTTATGCCTGATTTCATGATTAGCATTTATGGTATCGAGCAGATCACTTTTGGTTTCCATAGGAAACTGTGGTTAGATTTCATCTTTCGAGAATGGTTATCCTCAAAAGTTTATTCATAAGAATGTGAATCTGAAACCAAAGCAGCCCAAGTTACCGACAGTTCCAAAAAAGGACTTATTCTTACAGATGCAGTTTCTAGGAGACAACACCGATGAGATACTATCACAGCGCCTTAGAAATGCGGTAAAAAGAGCATTCCCTGCTAATGAATTACGCTGTATCTTTAAAACCACTCCTCTTCTGCGTTCGGGAATAAAAGACAAACTGCCTAATTTCGCCTCTTCTATATGTATCTACCAATTTAACTGCTCCTGTGGAGCCAGTTACACTGGCCGTACAATTAGGCGTGTTTCTCGTCGAATTTCCGAACATCACCCTGCATAGTGGTTGGTTAAGTAAAGGACAAACAAAATCTATTCACAGCGCTATTCTGTCTCATCTTGTAGATACAGAACACAAGATTGACGCTAAAGCGGCTTTCAGATTCTCATTTACCACATACGAACAAACCTCAGTTTTGCCTTAAGAGTTCGACTACTAAATATTGCTGAGGCTGTGGGGATTCATATTAACAAGCCTAATTTATGCATCCAAAAGAAGTTAGTTCAGACATTATGCTCATCTTGGTCATCTAGGTTGGAATGATCCTCAAATTTTGTGGAAACTTCCCTAATTTTAGTTGATATTCTATTCGCTGTTATATCTTTATTATTATTATTATTATTATTATTATTATTATTATTATAATTTAAGCATCTTTAATGAACTGTAATTCCATTGTGATCTTACTTTACAAATCGATATTATTTAAAGTAACACTAATATTGTTATTGACTACTAATCTAGATACTTATATACATATAATTGTAGAGCCGGAAGAGGAATTTATCGAAAAGAATATTCTTTGCTCAATTATTTGTTGTTTTCGAACAGTGTAAATTGCAAATTGTGAATTTTACTAGTGTAGTGTGTGCTACTGATAAGATAGATTTGATGTCAGAGAAAGCAAATGATACAGAGTTGCTTGCTGAGATACATGGGAGACATGAAAGGAACACAAAGAAACACACAATATGAAGAAAGGCCAGAAGGCGGCTAGTACAACACGGAAGATTCGTGCAAATGGTGCGTTGAAGATAAGGTGTATGTGTGTATATAATTTCGTTATACAGCGATACCAGTCTTTGTCTTCTATCGTTACACCAGAGATTTGAACTGATGTAGCTCTGTGAGTTGAGTCAAACTGAGTCTGCACACCACTGATGAGTACGACCCCTAGCCAGCGAAACGGTAGTCCGGCGTTTAGCTCACTTCGATCTGGCTAGGGCTAACAAGCACTACTACTCACCTTAATCAATCAGTAGTGCCTAGTATTACCACAAATCAAGTTATATTTACTTGTATCACACAATTTCAACCGCTTAGTATGATTTAATAAGAGTGGAATATTGAATTTTAGATTTTCCCGTCGATTGATTGGACCGAAGTGCTCGGTCTCAGGTTGACATGTCGGCTTCTTGCGCAGATGCTTCCACGATATCTGGGCATTTAATAAGAATTTAATTGGTGGTGGTGGAATTCAGGATGCGCATTTCGTCCTATTTGGGACTCGTCATCTGGATGTACCAGTTAAATGCCCAGACATCGTCGAAGCATCTGCTCAAGAAACCGACATGTCAACCTGAGACCAAGCACTTCGGTCCAATCAATCGATGGGAAAATCTAAAATTCAATTAAATCAATATGACCTGTTGCACAAGAGGTGGCTCTCGTGGCCCAAGTGGTCTAGTGGATAACGCTTTGGCGTTTGAAACTATGGGCACTGGGTTCGAGCCTCGATGGGAACATCATCACTCACTGGGAAATGCAGGTACATCCAGTGACGAGTCCCAAATAGGACGAAATGCGCATTGTCCTGGATTCCACTGCTAGTCACCATCCACCAATTAATGAGTGGAATATTGTTCAGATAAGGAATTTCTATAATAAAAAAATGCCCAAAGAATTTTTTTACATATTTATAAGCAGATATCAGCATTTAAATGAGTTTTGTCATTTGGAATTTACTGGAAAGCAAGCTATGCGCTAGACATATTGTGTATGTGTGTGTGTATGATGACTGATGATGGTACTACCCTGCTGTTGGCCAGACTGAATTAGCCCCCATAAACGACGTCGTTACGGCCGAGGATGGCTGCATATCATCGGTCTCCCTCTCGAAATGCTCTCTTATGCCGACGTGCTCATATCCAATGCCAGGTAAGTCTTATTCACCACCTCCTCACAAAAGTGAAAGAGCGAGCGAGAATTTCCTATGCTTATACAACCAAACTTGGTCGACATTCAGGTTTACATATTCGGGCGAGCTGGACAACCCTGACTCCAAAACTATAGTGTACACGAACCCTAGAATTCTAACGGATCGAATGGTGTAAGAACCTATTTTGATCACCAGAAACGATGAAAACGTGGCTCCTAGGACTGCTCTACTGCTTTGTGGATCAGACCTCAAAAGTCAAACGTTCAGGAGTGGCTGCTTAAGGAAACTATGTGCTTCAGTCTGAGTTGTCCGGGGGATATTTCGACCCCCTAAAGATAAGATCTTGTGTGGCGCACCTCTTGGTACCCATAAGTTTGTGTTTCAATAAAATTAAGTTAAAATAGGTTCGGATTCCGTTTCGGATTGTGAGGGTGATTGTTACTTCCCGGCTGCCCACACCGTGGAAGTTGGTTGCGTAACCGCAGAGCCCAGGGGACAACTGCTTGAGGCCGGTCACACGCGGCCTGTTTTTCTTTGTTCTTTTTTATTTGGTGTGTCTCAGTAGCATATTTATCACTTCTGCCCTGTGACACGGCAGCAGGAAGCGCAGTCGTTGTTAATCCGGGCCCCGACCGATCCGGCATGATATTTTGTGATTTACTTTGAGTCATAGCATTGGATTGGGTAGCTGCTTTTTGTGTAACCGCTATCCAAACAACCTTTCTGGTATGGTAGGACCTCAAGCGACATAAGTCTCGGCCAGTATAGCTTGTTGGGTCATTGCGATGTTCAAGCCCAACCACCACGTCAAGATAGCAGCTTTCGGTCGGGCTTAAACATTATCAGGGCGAGGCGCATGCATATAGCACACAGCCTTCTTCAAACCTTGCACACAACCATTAGGTCGCGTACTATCCCATTGCCCTTGGCAGATCTGGCAACAAAAGTCACGAGAACACCATCAGAGCATATGACAGGTTAGGTACCCCAAAATAGGTTGAATAGGTAGGTGGAGTGAAAAGGTTTCTAACACCGTACCCATAAGCCAATGAACTACCACAACTGATAGATATTAAGTTGCTCAACAGTACTGTTATATACGAAGAGGTAATCTGTGACAAAAAGAAAAGGAAAACTTACAGCAAGTACACACTCTTTCATTTCAGTATAATCACGACGGCGAGAACACATCAGATAATCTATCCACAGTACTAAAATAAGATGAAGATAAAGGCAACACAAATCAAAATGAATGAGCGTTATTCACTAATACGACGCTTATAATGAGAAAGAATTTCAAAAAAAAATGTACAGAATCTGTTTAGTATCCAAAAATTTCTCAAATAATTTTCAAATTAACCACTATAAAACAGTGTGCGTCGGTGGCACAGTGGTTAGGACTCTCGCCGACCATGCACATGGTCCGGGGTTCGATCCCCTACCGGCGCACACCCGATATCTATGGTCGGCCTGTAAATTTGGGCTACCGATATCCACGCTGAAAATTCCATACTTGTACTGAAAATACGGTGTGGAATCAAGCTGTAATCAAAAATAAAAAATAAAATCCTAATATTTTTGATTGCACACTAGTCAGTAACTAGTGTAATGTATCTAGTCCTATCTTCGGTGCAAACTGAATTCTATCAGTCATGTTTGCAATGTGACCACCATGCTAGGTGACTCGCCATTATGGTGCACTGTGAATTGTTGGTACTAGATGGTTGGAGGCAATCAGCAGGAAGCCTTGGATCTTGTTTTCGTGCTAGTTGGCACGATAAAGTCCTACAGGAGGTCAGTCGCGAGCCTGAATAGCTCAGTGGTAACGTCTCTAACTGCAGGCGGCACTGGGTGACGCGGGTTCGAATCTCAAAAGGGACATCAGTTCCTTTAAGGTTGCAGATACGCCTTGCTGACGAGTGCCAACTAGCACGAAACCTAGGTCCAAGGCTTCCTGCCGATTGCCTCCAACCACCTAATACCAACAATCCTAATATACTAGAAACCAAAACAGAGTTTGAAACAAGATTATTAGTAGTAGTAACAGAACAAATTTTAGTACAACCGAGATTATTAGCGAGTTAACTTATCAAACCAGTGATAGGTAACTTGATTTCTGGTGACGGTTACCAGTGGAATACAAGAGGAGTGCTCAAAAAGCAACTAGTCCATCACCTACATTCATCAGGGTACTAGTTCAGTTTGACTACTTAGTTTTTCCTGTGTTGGTTTGCGGGAATTAGATTGGTTACATTTTGTTCGTGTGTTACAGACAATGTATTCCAACGGAATATTATTCTCACATATTCGCACAGTTCAATACTGTATCAGCAACAGAATACAATATACATCTATTTGAACATTCTATTTCATGTCGTTTAATGGAAACCAAAATCACATGCTCAGTGATTGGTTAAAGAATATTAAACTGTATATATATAAATAGCGGTTTGATAAATGGAAAATATACCTTGACTTCAGTGTCTTGCCTTCTGCTGTTACAACATGAGTTCACCACGAGCTGACATAGGTTAGAGAACCATTGGAAAATCACCAGGTAGTACTTGACAGCTGTTTCGCCCTAGTTTTGGACTCTTCATCGGTACAAACTCACCGTCAGGGCTTGAACACAGGACCTTCGGGTTACAAGGCGAGCTCACAGACAACCAAGCCGCTGGGATCCAATTTAATGTCCCGTGAATTCCAACTTTTGCTAATTCACGATAAAGCGCAACCACTAGCCAGTTGATCAACCAATCTGAATATTGTATTCAAACTTGAAATGTAATAGTTGCACTGATGAGAACTGTACGAACTTGCCTTATAACAGGAAGGCTATGGCTCCAAACCCCGCTGATCCCACCAAGATAAGTAATTTAGAAAAAAAGCTCAGCGATTGCACAGCATGCACTAACACACAACCACACAATAGGGTGGGAGAGGGTTAAAATTCTAAGAAGTAATATAGATAGTTGGAGAGCGAGAGAGGTTGATTACTGAATCCTGGTTCATCGAATCTACACCCAACACGTGCAGTAGGAATGACTCATCACTCATACCGGAAATATAGAAAATACAACTATACATCAAATCAAGTGATGCAAAATGATGGAATTATATAAACAAAGTTAGAAAGTTGTGTGAGTGAGTACCTTGATATGATTATGAGCAGTAATAAGTTGTGCTCGAAACGTGGACATCATCAGTAAATATTACTGTACAATAACACTGTGAGACTTTATCAAAATAAAATCTTATCCATAATGGAGTTATTCTCTACCACAGTGGCCAAGTTTTATTCTTATACCCTCAGTCTGGACAACCGAAATAGGAACAAAACAATACTCAAAATACGCTTAGAGTTCCGCCAAGTTGGAAATGAATCACACGCAATGTGTGTATGAACTGGTTGCCTGAACCTGGGTGGGTGGAGTGGGGTTTGAACTCATGACACACATGGTTGGAAGTCGACCCCACCTAGACTAATACAACACAGCCGACACAACTGAGAAGAATCAGGAATTCTCATAAAATAAGTGCGGTTCATGTACTTTAAGACAGGAAAATCTCTTCCACCTAGCCGAGTTCTAACTGAGATATTTCAGAAGAACAGGAATGAACTCCTGTTTTCCTTTCAATTCGAACACCATAAGCACATAAAATGGAACTAAGCAAACGAAAAACCAACAATCAAACATAATCATCCACTACTTACAATGACTCATAATGATTGGATAATCTGGCGAGGTTTCTTCAACTTTTGAAAGAATCTCATTTAAAACGGAGAATAACGATGTTGATATTTCAGTTGTGAGTGAGTTTCTAAAAAAAATAATAATAAAAACAAAAAAATATTGTTGAAAAGGGAAAGAAAAATTGTCCACAGCATAAGAAAACGAAAGATTTTCATTCTCATACAGGGTAATTTGGCGAAACGAAAGTTGAAACAGACAGTCAGTCAGGCTGTGCCTTGCAAAAGTGCATGCAGAACCTGGACAAGAAGAATGCCCCAAAGGATTCAGGTCTATCCAGCTGACATTGAGCCACGAGTATTGTTTGAAGGCTAGTGATAATACCTGACTGTCTAAAAGTATCAGTAGGCGGAGCTATCAATCGCATCAACTCAGTAGTCGAAAGTCAAGTGAGAGACTACACCACAGTAAGCCACAGCCAACAGAACCCTATCGAGCAACAGTGATGCCAAACCATCTTAAGCTTAGGGTTATATCAATATGAATAGGAAAAATACACTCTTCCAAAACACGAGAACACGAATAACCCGTTTTTATCTTATTATCTTAACTTACAACTCCATATAATAAAATATATGAAAGGGATTGGCAGACAAGTCTTGAAATGCTGAAATGAATATATGAGTCCAGGGTTCGAATCCTATCCTGCCCTACATACTTTAGCCGAAGAAACTAGATGGAATCATCGTCGCCCCTAAAACACAATATGTGCAGCTAAATATCCAGACAAACATAAGGAATAGTGACCACAGAATGTGAACGCACCAATGACCTTGAACGCATATCATTCATTGGATTACAGAACCTGCCGTGTATCCTACATCAAAAAACCGTTTACTCATGAGGAAAATTGACATAATAATGATGGAACACATTAAATACAATACTTTACCCTGACGTAGCTGGAAAAATACTTCCCAATTACAAGAAAAGAGCATCAGTTTTCAAGTTTCCTAGATATCAAAACGGCTTCATCTATATGAACCACGAGACGTTCTCCTTCCATTTATTTATTTATTAATTTACAAGCAAAATACAGATAACAGTAATAAAGCACCCTAACTCTAATACTAATCCTAACTCTAACTTCTCTACTAACCCATTGTCCAAACAGAGTACTTAAAAACGCGACCAGGATGAAATTTACACATCAATTCGTGCACAACGTTCATACTGCAGCTGTATTAACGAAAGGCTCCTTAATCCAATGAATACTATACGTTCAATGTGTATTGGTGGCGTTTCCACCCCCCCCCCCATAGTCACTATCCTTCAGGTTGGCTCTGGTTAAGTGAATTCAAACTTTTTCAGCACTACTGTTGCATTTAACTGTCTAACACTGATGTATATGGATAGGAATCAGTGAAAGCATGAAGTCGATAAAATATATGAGCGGGTCATGCGTGTGAACTGTTCGACAGTCCAATGTTAAGATGAAACAGTTATCCACTGCTCCTGGGTATTCTCTAAGATTCTCTAACTAGTGTCAGTGAGTCATGGATGTACCAAAAAATTGTTTTGACAATCCCTCCTGAATAATTTAATCACAATATCACACATTTATTCCCCTTAATGAATTTGAATAAAGCAAGAACAACAGTTGGCTTCTCATCAGCTGTTTACAAACCAAAGTCATATATTAAGTACATCTACAGAAACAATTTTAACATACTTGCACACCGAGTCCATTTTTAAACAAAAATCAATCGATCAGTATATGCATACAGTAGTAATATATATAATAATATTAAAAACTATTCCGAACAGTAATAATCATACACAATGGGAACTTTCGACATTACGTAATCAGATGAAAGAGAGGATGAAAATATCCAGTTACCAGGTGTGCAAGGAAAGACTGTCAACTGCTTCTTTCTCAATGCATAAATCAGGTTTCGGGCGCTTGATGGAGACTGCCTAGGCAAACTTGAGGAGAATTGAACTCTTTTGCCTATTGATAATTTTGAACGATCTCTTGCGACGTCCACTTCATGAGCCGTGTCAAGGAGATGCCTGGCGATGGATGGCACTTTTAAAGCATTTGTTCCCTTCAGACATAGACTTTTAGGTATATGTTCAGAAAATCGTAGACATGCCCTTCATTCTGTTCTTCCAATGTAACTACTCCCACAGATACATATAAAATTCGTACTTATTTAGACGTTGCAACTAACTTTTTTTTATAATTATTATCCGTTGCTCTCCTAGACTTTATATCATTATTTCGACGTTTGAATACCACATGTTGATTTGATCCTTGTTATTATTACTATTTGTCTTTGTGCTTGTTTCATCTGTAATTTTAATACTTATCTTTGTGGTTATGTAATGATATTGATATTAGATGTTTGGAGGCGATCGGCAGGAAGTCATGGACCTAGATTTCGTGCTAGTTGACACTCATCAGTCTGCAAGGCGTATCTGCAACTGTCTTGAAGGAACTGATGTCCCTTCTGAGATTCGAACCCGCGTCACCCAGTGCTGCAGTCAGAGACGTTACCACTGAGCTATTCAGGCTCGCGACTGACCTCCTGTAGGACTGTATTGGATATTTTTGATTGCACACTAGTCAGTAACTAGTGTAATGTGTCTAGTCCTATCTTCGGTGCTGACTGAATTCTAACACTAGTTACTGACTAGTGTGCAATCAAAAAATGATACTGATAATGTGTTGTTTTGTGATGTGATTCTCTGTTTTAGTGATCTTGGACTGTCTGTTGATCATGTGGACAGAGTTTCTCATCCCACCACCTTGTTGAGGTAATTTTACTTGATTCTAAGTACTCGTTTTGCACATCAACTGATCTGTATAATAACTGCCTAACGTCAACTGTTGAGGTAATTCTGAGATTTTGATGTTATTAATGTTTAATAGAAGGACGGATAGATTTATGAAAAAAATAATCGCCCTTTTCCTTTCTTAAAAGCTTTTTCTGACCACGCGTGTCTCAAGCACGTTTTGTCAGCTATATAGTAGTAGTGCAACAAGAGAAGACAAGGGCCAGGCAACAGATCCTTTATTGACGAAATCAACAGATATTTATAGATTTTCATGTACATTATTATAGATTGTTGTAAGCAAACAAATACAGTCTTCTGATTGGTGGTTTCTCGCTGAACGTTAATCTTTCATCTCTTTGTGGGCGTTTCTTGAAGCTCAGATTATTTATCTGCAAATTGTATCCGCCTACGCAAACAAAGTCTGCTGTGATTGGTTGTTGAATCAGTCTTCGTTCTTGTTTTTTTTCTCATGACCAATATTGGGGAAGTACACATTGACGTAAATTGCCATCTATTAATTTTGGCTAGCAGCCAGCCCTCGCCACAGTAGGACGCAGAGATCAGTTAACTGCACTCAGATCACAACGAGTCGTTTTTGATCGTAACAATAGAATCTACACTGAAATTCATGCAAATCCCTAGAAAAAAGCCTAAAGTCTAAGTCTGAATATTAATCTTCAGCTCATTTTAATAGCTGATGAATATAAACAAACTGAAGCTTTCGTGGGAAATCGTAACCGATAGGGTCCACTGCGTCAGGGTAAACTAGATGCTCACCGATGACACTGATTGACAGAAGTCAGGATTCACGGATTACTAAATTCAGCCAAATGCCTGAGTGGTCAACAGGTTGGCCTTGTAAACTGAAGATCCTAGGTTTCCGACGCTGATGCATTGGTCATCGGAGCACACTGCTACAATTATAAACAGATTTCGCGGATGATTTATGTTTGATGTCACACAAAATCGAAGACTTACAAGCGAAAACCGAAAAACTGGTCAAAGAAGCAGCAAAGACAGTACTCCAGGAAAACATAGACAAGACGGAGGTTATGAAAATAACCAACCATCCAACAACAACAACAGCAACATCCAGTGCCAATCACCATCAACGGGAGGGATTTGAAAGAGGTTACTTCATTCATTCAGTTATCTAAGGAGCATTATCTCAACTATAGGAGGAACGGACGAGGATGTCAAATCGAGAATCGGGGAGGCGAGAAACACAGCATCAACCTGAAACCAATCTGGAAATCTTCGTCACTCAGCCTGCATAAGCAACAAAATTCGGATTTTCAATACAAACGTCAAGTCAGTCACTTCTTCTATACGGATCAGAAACTTCGCGGCGGGTCACGAAGAATATTTCCAACAGCCTGTTGCAGACCTTTATCAACAACTGTCTTCGTCGCTCTATACTCAAGATCAGATGGCCGGAAAGAATCACCAACAAGAAACTATGGGAACAAACAAAACAAGAACCAATCGCTCAACAAATATGCAGGAGAAAGTGGAGATGGATTGGACACTCACTGCCTGAGGAGGCCGCTGGGTGACGTCGCGCGTCAGGCCAGTGCTCGAGTGGAACCCGAAAGGGAAGCGGCGAGTGGGACGTGAGTGCAAGGGTGACATGGAGGCGATCGTGTGAAGAGGAGTTGAAACAGTATGGATTGACATGGACGCAGGTGAAAAGTACAGTAGAAGACAGAAGCAAGTGGAGACGTGCAGTTGAAGCCCTATGTTCCACAAAACCCAAGGGAACCATAATGATAATAATAATAATAATCCAATGTGCTTCATGGTTTCCAATAATTTTGCTAACTGATATTATTGATTGTGCTGCTTTGTAATGAGATGGCACAATACGACATTAAAGAAACAAAAAGAGCAAAAGAAAAAAAGGGATGAACTTACCTTCCTTTTGGTCCTGTTGTACTACTACTACTGCTAGGATTCGCTTCTAATTCTTCTAAGTGTAATTCAATATATATTAGGTAAAAATAGGCTAAATGTTTGATTCCAGGCGGTTTTCTAAGCGCCAATACACATTCTGGTAGAAGGCAAGTGTTAGCATCTTCTGTCATTTGACTAATAGCATCCATCAATAATGTATTGGATGGTGGAATTGTTAGAAAATACGGAAAAGATGGCTGTAAACGCTGAAATAAATTCCTATAGGCAGTTGCAAGCTCTGAAGACCTGTATACAAGGAAATAATAGTGCAAAATAAAAGATATTAAAGAGTATGTGCATAATAACACGAAAACGGAGAAAGTTTTGAACGATAGTAAGTTGAGTTAATTTTGATTTTCTCGTTAATTGACTGATTGGTCTGAAATGTCCAGCTTCTGTTAACATGCCGGATGTTTCGACGATGCCTAGTAATGGAGTCCAGGATGCGCATTTCGTCCTGTTTGCCATTGGCCAGTTGGATATGCCTGCATCCCCCCCAGTGATAATAATTGATACACATCACACAAGAGGTGGCCAAAGTGGTCTAGCAGATAATAAGACTATGCACCCGACTGACGAGTCTCAGATAGGACGAAATGGGCATGCAGAGTTTCACTGCTATTTATCATCTACTAAAAATTACTCCAAACACGAGTTGAGGGGTTAGCAGTCAGACAAGACGCCGCCTACTATGTACTAACAGATAACCAACCCCACCTGAACTGTATATCCCGAAACTACGTGAATACAGCAATCAAGCAATTGGCAATCAGTGAGATCTACGGAAGCTGCTGTTTTAACGGACCAAGCCTAACAACTACTAGTTGAGAGTTATCTAACTAGACCAATGAGCCATACATATTGTTATGATCGACAAATCTGTTCGTAGTACATCACATAAAAACACTTCCCAATGTTATCAACAAATTCCAAATATGAGCTGACATTGGTTAGGGAACCATTGGGAAACCTGGGAGTACTGGACAGCTGTTTTGTCCTATTTTGGGACTCTTCATCAGTACGCACCCACCCCAACTGGGTTCGAACCCAGGACTTAATGGTCTACGAGCTCGCTAGCCTTGTAACCAGAAGGTCCTGGGTTCGAACCCTGGTGGTGGGTGTGTACTGATGAGGAGTCCCAAAGTAGGATGAAACGGCTGTCCAGTACTCCCAGTTGGTTTTCCAATGGGTCTCTAACCAATATCAGCTCATAATGAAATCCTGTAACCAATCAATCAAATCCCTACAAACCAATACTTGAAAATTCCAATTAGTAACCAGTTTTTTTGACTAATTCGGCATTCAGAGTTCTACTAGAAATCCCTGACGAAATGACTGAAGACTTGAAGCGAAACAGTTAGAGTAAGTACTGTCCATAAAGGACGAGGTTGCTGGAAGTTTATTAATTTACACACCTGTACATAAAATGCATAACTGAACTCTCATTTTTATTTCTCCGAAAATTAGTCCATTCCATTTGAAAATGACTCCAGATTGTAATGGATAAGATTGTGTAACAGACCGTCGATAGCAAGAAAAAGATGGGCATATATTGAACCGATAAGAAGACAATGAAAGATCGGGGCTTCGAGGACGGTTTATGTTCAACGGTAACACAAACTCGCAGGTCTACAGACGGGAACCAACAAGCTGACAGAAGAGGCAGACAGCGAATAGAGGAATTCAAGAGAACACAGAGAAGGTAGAGGTGATGAAGATACCTACCTAACCTACAGTAACAACAAGCCCCAATCAATATCAACGAGGGCAATTTGAAGAAGGTCGCTTCTTTCACTTTTCTAAACATCATCACTTCAAATACAGGCACAGATGAAGAATTCAAATCCAGTCAGCATCCCAAAAGCAACGCAGACCTTCATCACCCCAAAAGCAATGTGAAAACCCTACTGCTTTCAGCAAAAGGTACAAAATTCGGATTTCTAACACTTCCCAATGTCAAGTCAGTGCTTCTGTATGGTGCATCAAGAAAAGCATTTACAACATGCCGATGTAGTCTTATGAACGCTAGTTGTGGTATTAGGTCAATACGAAAGATCAGATGGTTGAGCAATAAACTGCGCGCTCGAAACATCAAGGAAGTTACCATCTCTGTGCTACCCGTACACACATCAAGTAAACGTATTTAATACAATGTTTTACAAATGGTACAAAAATCGCCATTTTATCGAATATTTTTACACGCTTATTTACAAAATCACTGTTGCTACCCTTATTTATCGCTGTGCATTATGACGAAGTGTTATTACTCTTCAATGCCACATGCACTGAAGGTCTGGGTACGAATGTCAACTGACGTACTCATAAAATCATCGACAAAATCACTAGTCTATAGTTAAGTCCAACAAAAGAGGCAAGACATTAGTTAGAGAACCACTAGAAAAGCCGGGAGTAAGTGACTGCTGTTTCGTCCTAGGACTCTTCATCCACCACCAGATTTCAAACCCAGGGCCTTCCAGTCGCAAGGTCAATTTGTAGGGATCCAATTCAATGACCCACGAATTCCAACAGGTCGAATCTCTGCAAACCAACACTTGAAAATGAAGGAAGGTTAAGCATGCAGCTAGCAACGCCACTCCGTAAAGAACACACTAACTAGCGGAACACTTCAACAGCCTTGGTCCACAATGAAAGACAGAATGTCTTTCTCACATTATAACTGAATCAGAACTCATTTAGTGCATTTAAAGTAGAATAAAAATAATGAAAAAAGGCTGCATGTATATATCACTTATTAATATATACATACTACTTACAAACAAGCACTTACCAACGACAACCAGACAATTGACAGGTTTGCAATAATAATGATATACCAAGTGTAACAATATTCGGCTTCATACCATTTAACATGATTAGGAAATTATGAACAGATTTTGGACTCCATAAATTCGATTGGTTCAACGTAACTGAAATATGCATATAAGATGAAAAGGAAAAAGAAAAACAATGGATAAATAGTTTTCATCACAAGTTGATTAAATTTCAGAGCAACTGAACGTCTCACACACACACACAGACTACTTTTAAAATAATTAAAGACGCATCGTGAATTAACTAAAGACTTTGAAATAATAGAGAAGATTTGTAGCTCAGGTGGGTGATTTGCAATTAATAGTGTTCTCTGAGCTGGTTGGTTTAGTTGCGAAGCTTTCGTCGTCCTTCTGGACAACATCCCCATTCAGCGCAATATTTAGCATAAAGTGAAATGATTTAAATTCCTTCATGACTGATAATATAATTGCGTCTCCCGGTAACCATTTAGATGTCCCATTTTTAGATGTCTTAATCAGGAAAACCAACACAGGAGATTTAGAAACACAAGGACTCTCGCCGACCATGCACATGGTCCGGGGTTCGATCCCCTGCCGGCGCACACCCGATATCTATGGTCGGCCTGAATTTGGGCTACCGATATCCATGCTGAAAATTCCATACTTGTACTGAAAATACGGTGTGGAATCAAGCTGTAAATCAAAAATATATATATATATAAAAAAGCAATGCACACAAACAGATCAGATGCTCAACCATACCAGCAATAATCCAATTACTCACTCACAAAAGAAACTGTGTGCAGACATTGTTTAAAAGAGTTCAAACACATTGTAGCATTCCAGAGTTGAAAACAATGGAAGAAAATTACCTACAAACGGTCTCCGAAAAGAATGGTTATCCACAAAATTTCATCAAAAAGTGTTTAAAGTCGAATCAAAACACCAACAAAGAACCATCATCAAAGACCACAAAAAAATTCATTCTACCATACATGAGAAAAATCTCTGAAATAACAGCCAGAATACTGAAACCGTTTGATATAGATATAGCACACAAGCCAGTCAAATTGCTTAATTCGATATTATGCAAACCGAGAGATCCAACAGAAAAAGGAGATAGAATTAATACCATTTACAAAATAAACCGCATTTATGAACTGTAACAAGCATTAAATCGGCCAAAGTGGGCGTCCCCTTCGAATCAGAATCCAGGAAAACAAATCAACTGTGAAAAGACATGAAACATATTCTTTCATATCAATGCATGTAGATAATTATGGATAACAGTTTGATTGGGGTAATGTCGAAATCTTAGACAGAGGAAACACCAAAAGTGCAGTTAGGGAATTCCTAGAAGCCTGGTACTCAAACGAATTTTTGACTAACAACTAACCGTGTTAATATAGACGAAATATACCAACTAATAAAAAGTAAATCGAGTGACCAGAAATTTCAAAATCCAAGTCAATAGAAAATGGTCAATACATATGTAAAGATGGTTACCGGGAGACGCAATTATATCAGTCATGAAGAAATTTAAATAATTTCACTTTATGCTAAATATTGCGCTGAATGGGGATGTTGTCCAGAAGGACGACGAAAGCTTCGCAACTAAACCAACCAGCTAAGAGAACACTATTAATTGCTAACTAAAGACTATTGCTACTCAACCCCACTAAGTACATGTTCATGCGCTTGACAATAGCGCAAACCTATTCACTGTGATAGAATGGAGATAGAACTCACCAGTCACATCCAACTTCACATACTTCCACATGGGAAAATAGGCAGTATCATTAGTCCTCCTACACATTATGTGTGGCTCATAGATTGACAGTGCTTGAAAAGTCTATTCTATACATTAATATAATTATAATTCCCTTAAGTTCCCAGAGGAACATAGGGCTTCAACTACACGTCTCCATTGCGTTCGGTTCTCTGATAAAGTTTTCCCTTGGCTCCAGGTCTCCTCACATGCTTTCATCTCCTCTTCACATCACCTCCTACAAGTCACCCTTGCACTGACGACCAACTCGCCTCTTCCCTTTCGGGTTCCACTCGAGCAATGGCTTGTCTAGTGATGTCACTTGATGGCCAATCCACCTTTATTGCTTCCTGCATATTTGTTGCACAATCAGTTCCTGATGGGTTGGTTCGCTCACTGCCAGAGATCCCTCACTATTGCTGATCTTTTCTGGCCGGCAATCTGGTTTGGAGTATTGAGCGAAGACAACTGTAAATCATGGTCTGTAGTTTGTTTGAGATGCTCTTTATGACGCGCAGTGCAAGTCTCTGATCCGTATAGTAGCACTGACTGACTTCACATTGGAGTTGAAAATCCGGATCTTATTTTTCAGGCTGATTGCTATCTGTTGACCGCCACACAGACTTGGGAGTAATGAAAGCTTGTCTTGCTTTCCCGATTCTTGCTTTGATATCCTCGTCAATTCCATTCGCCTGTAGTTGAAACGATGCTTCCCAGGTAGGTAAAAGAGATTGTTTCTTTCAGGTTCCTCCCATTTATGCTGATTGTTGTCTGTTGTTGTTGCTGTTGGTGGTGTTGCCCAGGAATCTTCACCACCACATCTGTTTTCTCTATGTTCACCTGAAGTCCCTCCTATCTTCTCTGGATGTTTCTTCTACCAAGTTGTTGCTTTTCACTTGCATATCTTCCAGTTTGTGGGAAATCAAACATATATCATCGGCAAAGTCCAGATCCTCCAAGTTCTTTTTTCATGAGGGTCCATTTTATGCCTGTTTCCTGATTGCCCGCTGTTTGTCGCATTATCCAGTCTACTGCAATCAAGAAAATCATTGGCGATAGTAGGCAGCCAGCTTGTCTTACTCCCGTCTTCACTTCGAAGGATTCCTTAAGTTTTACGTTGTGGATTACTTGGCATGCAGCGTTGTCGTACAACTGAACATAGGGCTTCAACAATACATCTCCATTTAATTCCTATTCCTTTACAGTCGTCTTTAGACGGCTGCCATCTCCTCATCGCACAACCTCCTCTCTCCATAACCTTGACGAATCCTCGTTTCCCATTCAGGTTGCATTCGACCAATGGCCTGGTATGTGATGCCACCTACAGGTCTTCTTCAAAATACTTGTTGAGTAATAAGTTGTTGATTGATGTGTTTCCTGATTTCCCTGATGCTAATCCTTTCCAACTGGTCATCTGATCTTCAGTATACCGCCAGCGGGGGCGGTTCTTGATAACAGTTTGAAGCCTGTTGGAAATGCTCTCTGTGACGTGGACGTCAAGTCTATGAACCACATAGAAACACTAACTGATTGGACATTAGTGTTGAAAATCTGAACCTTGTGTTTTTAACACTCGGTATAGTACGTTTTCAAACTGATTTCAGATCAATAAGGGTCTGTCTTGCCTTTCTGGCCCTGGTTGGCTGATGATAACAACATAAGGATAACCTTGATGCTAGCTGACAGAAGATTAGGTTTGAAATAGAGCTACGAATGGTGAAACCAAAGCATTGTATCACAATCCTCAAAGTCTTTAACTGCTGAATTTACCCTATCAGGAATTAGCAAATGGTATTTGTCTAACGGCCTTAAACTAAATCCTTCCAAATGTCAGACTGTTAATTTCAGTTTCCGATGTAAACTAAAGTTAAATGAAGCCGTTGGTTCCTATGACCCTTGCAAAATTCATGATACTGATATAGAAACCAAGTCTGAAGTTAAGTATCTTGGATTAATTCTCTCTTCTGACCTATCCTACCTAGTCTTCCCATGTCTTAGCGATTTCTAAAAGAATATTTCGTCTGACTTTTTAGATTAAGAAATTAAGGCACTCAGACAAAACCCAACTACTCCTCTTACAGTTTGTCAACTCGTGTATTTTACCTATTCTTCTTTACTGTTCACCCTTATTCTTTCCTGGATTGCTTAAAAAAGACTATGTCATACTCCGTAGAACTCTGAAGACTGACTGTCAGTAGGACGAGTGGTATCCCATTGGGCCATATCGTTGACATTGTCACCGATAAGCATTTGATGTCATGCAACAAATTTGCTGAAGGAATTTTGTCAGACAGTGAGCACCCACTCTACCAGCAGCTCCAACTTTGTGTCTACTCAGGTAAAACAAGAAGTCTTTTCATAAGAATTTATGCACGTACGTCTAAGTATAAAAATTCCACTATACCATATTTGACGGCACGTAGTTTATGTGATGAAAATAGTGTTAGGCATTAAATAACTAACCTTTTTTGCACCATTAAGTGAACCATTTCCTCCACCCTTACAACATCAACCTTTATTGTTATTGTACTTCTTATATTTATAATCCTCTCAAATTTTTTGTTTTTATTTGTTTATTTTTTCATAAGTGTGAACATCATTTAAGCTGTGTTATAACTGTTAATTTTGTATTTCCCTTCACCATGCTGCTATATCAACAGAACATTAGATTCAATAATTTATAACATGCTAAAATTTTCAAAAAGAATCGCCGATACTGTTTGAAACAAACTCACTGTTATTATTATTATTATATTTACTACTCTCAATTCGTGCTTCGAATATTTTTGACTTTATACCGTAAACGTGGACAAATTCATCTGGTTACTTTTGTTTTAATTTAAAATTTTATTTATATTTTAAGCAAATTAGATGCAATATTGTGACAAATGTTGAGAATTCCATTCAGTATTATAAGTACTGTTTTTGGAATAAAGTACATTATTATTATTATTGTGATTTATCAGTGCTTTTATAAAAAGTAACAAACTGAACTACAAAGTTCTCAGTCAAATATTCAGTCCAGTTCACAATCACTCTCACTTATATTGATCAAGACCTCAGTCTTAAAAAACAGGCAAAAACTGAGTTGCATACGAAACAGTGGGTCATTTCTGTGGTATGATGGCTACGACACAGTTGACTTAACCGGCTTGAAAATTTGGAGAACAAGGTTCGAACTTATGAGTCACAAACTAGTGCAGCCAGCCCCATGCAGACGATGCAGCATTGGGTTGGGTGTAAAGGCAAATATTCGCAGATGACACTGGCTGGCAGTTGCGCTATATATCACTAATTGGTAGAAATTAGAATTGATGGTGGGGGGTTGGATACTGTCCCAATGATTCAATCACATACGAGCTCGCCGTGTCACTTGAAGGTCCTGAGTTCGATTCCTAGTGGGGTAATTGGTGTCTATGGCTGAAGAGTCCACAACAAGGACGAAACAGCTACCCAGTACTCACCGCTGATTTTCGATGGTTCTCTAACTGAAATCAGTTTGTGATCAAATGTGAAATCAATCAGATCAAATTACTGCACAAACCAACACATGAAAATAGCTCATTACATATAATAAATTAAGCATTTTAAGAAAAACTCTTGTTATAAGTGATAAACAGAAGTGATTAATCTAACCTTGTTCAGAGTTAACTGACACAACTTCATTAGTAGTTAAATTACTGTTGTCATTCATTGAATTTTCCGTAGATAATTGAACTTCTTGTGAAATCTTCTGTTTTCTGTTGTAAGCAGCCAGATCTCTACAACACAACAAATGACGACAAATTGATTACAATAAAAAAAAGATGAATGAGCGAAAAGAATTTGTAATTTAATTAAATTCGTTAATATACAGAGTGTCGGGGTCAAGTTTCAATAGGAATGCCATCAATTCCATTGGGGATGCAGGTAAATCGACAGATGACGAGTCCAGAATAGGACGAAACGAGCATCCTAGATTCGACTGCTGGCCACCAGCGATCAAGTTACAATATGACAATATCGAGACATAGTAGTCGATATATATCAAGCATTTCAATCCAGTAAAAATTACACAACGAAGAACATAAAATGAATTGAACAAACACCAATGAAAAAGTCAGATAAGGTCTAAATCACCTCCAAAAAGATGGTGATGACTGATTTTAAATTTAAAAGTGACACTGAAGCAGAAATTCTCCACGAACACCTTTCGAAATCTCAAAATAAAACATAATTCGCCGCCAACCTACGCAAAACCCAACCTGTCGCCTACACTCGGCCACTTCTTCGACATAAATATACCAGTTCACTTGCTCCTTCCTAGGAAGCTCAGTACATTGTCTGTACCATACGTCCGCTTGTAAAACGCCTTCGGGAACACTATCCACCTTATCTGGCTAGCAAAGGGAGGAAGCAAGCCTGTATATAGTTCGGTAACAGAACATCCTTCAAAGTCATACACAAAATTCAATCCAACCTCTCGAAGTGACTGAAATCTAGGCACTTGGGAATAGCTGAGGCCCTAACAACCCAAAAGTTCAATCTCACATGATGCATTCAAAAGAAACACGTCAAACCATTGTTCCTATAATAACCACCATAAAAAGTCAGTCCTATCAATACTGTTTATCTTACTACCTTTCTTATCCGATCTGCCTGCATATTTCTGTTATTTTAATGTTTTTTAAGTCTTACCTGTACCACTGTTTTTTATTTGAACTTCCTGTCTATTTTGTCGTTACTACGTTTTATTACACTTTTTAATTTTATTAATTTGACCTTTGACTGGAAATAATTCGGGAACTTTCTCACCCATTTACCACATAAATACACAAATGTACAGCTGTCTAGTTGATGACTTCATCGAAAAGAAAATTGTCTTTGCTGCAACCATCTTTCCTGCAGCTAAACTGGTACTCAACTTCTCAACTAAACCAGTACTCACACAGCAAGTAAAGGATAAATTACCAAAGATGGCCTCATCAATGTGCATCTATGAATTCAACTGCTCATGTGGAGCTAGTTATGTTGGCCTTACTCAGAGGGCTTTATCCATGCGCGCTCGTGAACATGTACGTAAATGGTTGAGTAAAGGAGTAATCATATGTGTAAATAGTGCAGTCTTAGCCCACTTGATAGATACTGGACACCAGATAAAACTTGACCAGGCGTTCTCAGTTATTCACCGCGTTCCTAGTAATTTATCTAGAGGAGCTCAACTGCGTCTTCTATCAGTAGCTGAAGCGGTGGCAATTAATACCAGAAGACCATCTCTTTGCATACAGAAGAAGTATGTTCAACCATTATGTTTACCTTGGCCTACAATAAAGCCAACAAATCCTCCATTAACACTATAAATTCCTTTCACAATTTTCTTTTCTTTTCTTCTTCTTCTATTCCTTTGTTTCATTGACAATCATTCATTTTCGACTTTTATGATTTCATGACCTTTCTTATGATTTTATTACCTTAGGTTAAAGTAATGCTTTTCTAACTTGCTATCGTATTTACAAAATCCTGTTCATTCCACTTCATTATATTCATTATTGTTATTTGACAATCATTCATCAAGAGTGCTTGTAATTTACACCATATCATCGTTATTATTTTACAATCATTCTTATTGTCGTTATTTTCAACCCAGACCGCCCCATTCGTTGGTTTATTTTCATATTGTCTCACACACTCTGATTACACACACTCTCGAAACCTGTATTTTCTGTTGACTATATTTATGTATATACACACACATCATTATATTAAATTACTTCATCTGATTTTGTCCCATATTCTCATCGACCATGCATATTAAAAAACTATCTGATTATTGTTCCATCCCATCTTATACTTGTTCCACAATACACTTTCTGAGATAATTCTAATTTGCCTTTACTGGCTATTGTATGCTTGCTTAAATTAATGGATTTATAATTGTAGAGCCTCAAGAAGAATTTATTGAAAACAATTGTTCGCTCTAAACATTTTATTTTTTCATAATTCCTATGATCTAATAATGTGTATATTCCGCGAAATAATAATAAGATACCGGTTGTACAAGATATTGCCTTTTTTGACTCAGTAACCTTATGAACAAAGCTTTGATATTTGAAACGAAGGGGATTAGCTTTCAGTTTTAGCGACAACACCATTCATCCGTTCCTGAGGCGCAGGTCACTAAGACAACACACTGAGAGACCTGCATACCAGTTACGCATTGTGTCTTAATCAGTAATATTGTAGTGTGTGTTACTACTGACAAGATTCATCAGTAGTATATGAAGACACATTCATCAGCCCAAAAATATCAAATAGCAGAGAAAGATATTTGATATCAAAAAGAGAGCAAATGTGAACCAGTGTAGTGCGGAAAAACAAGGGAGATATGAAAAGAAGACAAAGAAAGACAATTCGCAGTGCAGAAGGAGCACAACAACACGGAAGATCTGTGCAAAAGATGACTTGAAGATAGGGTGTACATAATTTCCTTATATAGAGATACCAAATTCCAAATAAACACTCCACCACCAAGTCTCTTATCTACTGTGATAGTCACATGGGGATTAGCTTGACTTATATAGTATCTAAAGTCCTAAGCTCAATAATACTGCGTAGACTAAGTGGTGCTCGGGAGTCACAAACACGAGAAAACCAGGCAGGCTTATGGCCAGGAAGAGGGTTCATTGATCATATCTACACCCTTCGACAGATTCTAGAACATAGGCATTCTTACCGCCCTCCAACAATCATCATATTTCTTGACCTAAAGGCGGAATTCGATTCTTTCGACCGAGAGGTACTCTGGCGATGCTTGCACTGATTAAGACACTCTACTTGAACTCATGCAGCCAGGTGACGGCTTATGGCGAGTTGTCATCTGAAGTGGTGACGACTAGTGGCTTCCGTCAAGGATGCCCATTATCCCCATTCCTTTTCAATTTCATCATAGATGTACTAATGGACTTAACCCTAACTCACTTCAGAGACTCAGGGATTGACTTGCTACCAGGGAACAATCTCGTTGACTTAGAATATACCAGACGATATAGTCCTTCTGGGCCAGGACGCTGACAAAATGCAGAGTCTTCTGAACACCTTGAGCAACAATCTACGAATGTTTGGCATGGGATTCGCCCCTATAAAATGTAAGATGATGCTGCAGGATTGGACTACACCGACCCCTAGATTAGAAATAGGAAGTGAAGTGGTAGAGCACGTTGACCGCTTCACTTATTTGGGAAGTATCATCAGCCCCAACGGGTTGTTCTCCGACGAAATCTCAGCACGAATACACAGGGCTAGTTTCGCATATGCCAGTTTACGCCGTCTCTAGCGTAGACGTGATATCCGACTATCGACCATAGGAGGTGTGTACTGCTCATCAGTCCGCTCCGTCCTCCTTTATGGCTGTGAGACCTGGCCATTGAGAGCGGAAGACGTGAAAAGATTAGCTGTCTTTGATCATAGGTGTCTGCGTTCTATCTCCCGTGTGAAGTGGCATAATAAGGTGAGAAATATTGAGGTTAGGCATCGGTCGAGTGCTAGGTAAGGAGGGGGAATCAATCGACGAGGCTGTGAAATTACATCGACTGAGATGGTTAGGACATGTGTTACATATGCCTAGTCATCATCTTCCTCGACGGGCAATGTTAGCTGACACAGGGTCAGGCTGGAAAAGAGCCAGCGGCAGTCAAACCAAAACATGGCTTTATCAGTCAGTGAAATCCACAACAGTTAGTTTAAGCCAACCAGTTAGGTAGGAAGGTGTAGACTTCCTGACTGGTTGGGGTCCTCGGGACGGTAAAAACCAAGGAAGGCTGGAGAAAATTGGTGATATGGCTCAAAATCGTTCTCAATGGCTAGCGCAGATGCATCCACTCCTTGTGACTTTTAATTTACAATTTAACTGTTTTGTTCTTCCTTATCACTATACCTTTGTTTCACACCTCTGTTTACTGTCTCTAATATGCATTTCTTCTACTTTCTTCTATTGTTTTGTGTACTACAAGGAGAGGAGTGTGGTGACTTGAACTGCCGCACATATGTGCAAAGTTCTATGTCGAAAACAGACAGACAGACTGTTACAATATTATCACATTATTTCAAATCATGCCACAACTCAGATATATTTTTTTCTCTCTGAAAGTACACACTGATGAAGTTACCAAAAATGCAATCAAAGTATCAATTCATCCTTGAATTTATTACCTGAATATTTGAGGCAAAAGAGTTTGAAATCTGTCGGCTAACTTGAAACGATCATTTGGATTGTTGCCTTCTTTCTGTGAACTGGTCAACTTCTCACTAGAAGATGCTTTACACTTATCATATACAACTTTATCTAATTCCGTGGTTACAGATCGTCTTGAACAATAACGATTTAAGCCATCACTTAAATCAAAACATGTTCTAACCTAGAAAAATCGAATGAATGGAAAGATGTTAACAACAAGAAATTATGAACATTCTGAAGAAGAAAAAACCACATAGGATGCATAACGTGTAAGCAAAAGCAAAGCTTCATGACACTGCCGCTTCATGAACCGATGTCGTGACGATAAGGAAAAGTGTAATGTATGCGATTGCTATTTTATGTAGTAAAAGTGACCGAATGAATTAATTATGATTATTACAATTCTGTTGGTTTCCGAGTGGAATACAGGGCTTCCAACCGGACACCACTATTTCACTCTGTTCTCCACCGTGTCTTTCAGCTCGTTTCGTGACTGCTTTTCACACGATCTCCTCCTTGTCACACCTCGGACCAACGCCTAAATTGTTGTCTCGCATTCGAGTTCTACTAGATGACCGGGTAGAGTTCCTTGTCTCTCATCCTTTCTGACTGGTAATCTGATCTTCGGTATAGATCCAGAGAAGGTAGCTGCCGATGAATGTTTATACCGGCTTGTTTGGGAATGCTTTCGGTAGCGTGAGCGTCAAATGTCTGAAGTATATAGAAGCACAGACTGACTTGACATTTGTGTTTGAAACCCGGAGAATCTTATGTTGACTGCAGCAGGTTTCCACACTGAATGAATAAGTGGGTATAATGATGATGACGATGAACGGTAAAAATATGCACCTCAGGTGAACACCGAATACGACTGTTCTCCATTAGTACAGCCTTCTGCTTCACTGAGACACAAAAATATCAGAAGACAAAGACACTGACCTGTGATGGTAAGGCAAATCGCCTACCTCTACAACCAATGGCTTGAAATGTTCACCTTTTAGAAACTTAATACGAATCAAAGCAATGTCGTACGTACTTCTTGGGTTATTTTCACTTAATTAGTCAAACTGATATCATGTAAAACTAATAATAATAATATTTAAAATGTTACGAGATACTGTTTCAAAGACGGTCACATTCCATACTAGAATGCTGATATACCACAATCATCAGAAGACATATTGTGTTTTGCTCATTGACTTTAAGCATTATGCTTTCAAACAATGAATTTCTGCTTCGAGTCCCACCTCATCCGCTCCAACCTGGGCAACTGGGCAGTATCATTAGAACACAAACAACACATATGGCTCCTATTCTGGTATATGAAAATATCTACTCTGAGTAAATGACTTCAAAAACTAACATTAGTTTACAGGTTTAACCACGACCTGACATCATTTACTTGTCAATGATATTGGCTGGCGGTCGCGTTACATATATGGCGAATTGGTAGAAGTTGGAATTCATGGGACATTGGATAGAGTCCTAAAGGCTGAATAATCTATGGAGCTTGCCGCCTTGTTCTAGGTTCAGACCCCGATGGAAGCATATTGCTGAGGAGTTTTCCAAACCTGGGCAAAACAGCAGCTGTTCAGTACTCCTTGGTAGCTAGCTAGATAGTTAGCTTCCAAAGGTTCTTTAACTGATGGCAACTCGTGATCACAACCCTGCAAAACAGCACTTGATAAAGATTATTTCGCCAATGCGTTGTTCTTCGAATACTTCTCCTATTATAAAAATACTATTTCAACTTCATATAACATATAAGTGACAGTAAACTTCTGCAAATATCTGTTTAAGATTGATAAATGTGTAAAACTTTGGTACTGTGGTAGTAAGTGATTCCATATTAGTTTGTTTATTAGATGTATCACACAGTGTTGAAGCAGTATTATTTACTGGATGACCGGGTTTCGAACAAAATTTATTGCCGTTCATAATCATATCGCCAATTATAATTACACGACTTCGAAACTTGAGTTTTATAGTTTTCTTTGTCCTCTCCTATTAGTCGATCATCGCATCCTATGTCAGTGAGAATAGGATTGGTGAAATGTTTAGGTAATAAAGCACAAAGACTAAGTAGTACCAAAGAAAATCTAAGACGGGAAGTCACGCATATAAGAGAAGCTTTGAAACTTGATAATCATTCTGATAAGTCAATCAGGAAGTATGTAGGAAAATGTAAAAGTAGAAATAAAATAAATAGTGATAGTAGTGATAATGATAATAATAATAATATTAATGGCGACATGCAAGCCAAATGTGCGCAAGACAACACCAAGAATAGGGAATCTAAATCATCAGTAATAATTCCATACAAGGAAGGAACCTAGAAAACCTTACGGTGGCAAATTCTTAACAATGCAGGAAGGAATACAAGTGGCTGACATTCAAACCAACAAACTCAATTACAAACAAGCTTTGTCGGTTGGAGGATCAATCCTGTGGAGCCTTTAAAACAAAACAATTTAGTTTATCTAATACCCCGCCTGCAATGACTGTCAGGTCAAATAAATAGGTTAAAGTAGTAGAACAGAGGCAGTCAGACTAGCCGAGTATAAAACCCTAGCAAAATCTAGATTAGTTGACCTGAATAGGATAAGAAATCTAGAGAATATTTCACCTATAGCACTACATGCAGTTACACACAACCATACAATAGGATGGCATAGGATGACAGTTTTAAAATCTAATGTCACAGGGTGAATGGAGGGAGAGATTGATAACAGAAGCTTTGTTTATCGAATCAACTGCAAATACGTGTAATAAGAATGATTCAACAAGTGCCCACCCAGATATCTGGAAAATTCTACTAACCCAACGACGACAAATAGGAGAGAACAAAGAAAACTATAAAACTCAGGTTTCGAAGTCGTGTGATTATAATTGATGATATGATTATGAACAGCAATAAATTTTGTTCGAAACATTATCATCCAGTAAATAATACTGTTTCAACACTGTGTGTGATGCATCTAAAAAACACACTAATATGGAATTTTCAAGTATTGGTTTGATTGCATGGAGGATTTCATCATGAGCTGACATCAGTTAGAGAACCACTGGAAAACCTGGGAGTACTGGACAGCTGTTTCGTCCTGGTTTGGGGCTCTTCACCAGTACGAAACCACCATCCTCCATGCAATCAAAGAAAGTCCCTAAAAAACCAATACTTGAAAATTAATTTGATGCTCACTAGTGACTGGCCCTATTCAGGCAGTTAACCTGGGGTTCTAGTGGGAAGCCGTGACCAGTAGGGTACAGCAGGTTGAAGATGAGGCAGTAACTCATCGAAGAAGACATTGCGAAATGGTTGCGCTATGTTGTGAACTGGCAGCAGTTAGAATTCAAGGACCATTGGATGGGGTCCCAGTGGCTCAATGGTCTACGAGCTCGCCTTGTAACCCGAAAGGTCCTGGGTTCGAATCCCGGTGGGTTCGTGCTGATGAAGAATCCCAAACTAGGACGAAACAGCTGTCCAGTACTCCCAGGTTTTCCAGTGGTTCTCTAACTGATGTCAGCTCACGACGAAATCCTCCATGTAATATAGAATTGCTTAAGATTGATCAAAAGGTCAATTTTAAGAATTTCTACTATAAGACAGATATTTTTATTAACGCTATACTCTGGAGACAATTCGATGGTCATAAAAAAAATCTTGTGAAGCCGAAGAAGGCTCTACTAACTTTGTGCAAATTTTTAAGCGGTCAATTCAGACAGATAAGTAAACAAACAAAAAGAAAACAAATCAACTCCTATCTGTTTTAAATTTGAAAAATAAACCATTCCATAGATTAGTTGGAAGATTTCATCATGAGCTAACACATCACTTAGAGAACCATTGGAAAACCAACTGGGAGGAGTACTGGACAGCTGTTTCATCAGCCTAGTTTTGGACTCTTCAGCAGTACGAACACACGACCTTCTGGTAACCAGCTCATGATGAAATCCTCAAACCAATCTATGAAATGGTTTATATATATATATATATAACGTGTAGAGATTGTATAGACACTTATTTACCCGTGCAGAACGACGTTTCTCAAATCCAGTAGCCAAGTCATCGGTGCCCGATTCCATGTTGAATTCATTTACATCATCTTTAACTAATTCAGACGTTGTATCTGTACTTGATGGAGCCTTCGTGATATGAGGATCTTCTATTTGACCAGTAGAAGTAGCATTATTATTATTATTATTACTTTCCGACTGTTCAATTGGTTTCAAATTGGAATGTACATTTACATTACTTGTTGACGATTCTTTTATCTCTCTAAGCAGTAGATCTTCAGACCATAAAGACGATAGGTCAAGGACTAAATGAATCGTCTAGAGAAAAGAGACAAAAACAGTATTAGAAGAACAAGAAGAGATTATAATCATGAAAGTGACTATAAAAAGGAGATGATTTTTAAATTCAATGTTAGTGGCAGTAGCGGTTAGGACTCTCGCCGACCATGCACATGTTCCGGGGTTCGATCCCCTGCCGACGCACACCCGATATCAATGGTCGGCCTGCAAAATTTGGGCTACCGATATCACATGCTGAAAATTTCATACATGTACCAAAATACTGTGTGATTTCAAGCAATAATCAAAATAAATAAATAATTGTAAATATTATGATATCTAACGGATTACATCCTTTGTATTGTCATTTATACTCTTGAAGACGTTATAGCACCTGTACACATTGAAGAATGATTCATAAGGTGAACTTTGGACTAGTCCACTATGAACAAATTTCCCATGAATACTAAGACGACGATTGTACCGAAGAAAATTGTCTCTTTTTGACGAAGTCATCAACTAGGCTGTACATTCGTGTATTTATGTTTAGCGGGTGAGCAAGTGACATTTTCTTGCAGGAAACTAATTAACTAGCACGTCAAACACAACATGTCACCTACATCCGGCCACTTCTTCAACATACATATACCATTTCACTTGCTTCTTCCTGCGGAGCTCAGTACATTGGCCGTCACATGAGTCCGCTTGTAAAACGAGCTCGGGAACATTATCCAGCCTACCTAGCTAACAAAAGGAGGACGAAAGTCTGCACATAGTTCGGTAACAAAACATCTGACGAACTCATCAGGACATTCAGCTCCATTTCAAAAGTCCTTCAGTCATATACAGGATTCAATCAAAAACATCTCGAAGGGAGTGAAATCAATGCATCTGGGAACAGTCTAAGCACTAGCGACCCAAAAGTTCAAGCCCACACTGTGTATTCAAAAGAAACACACGTCCAACCATTGTGCCTACCATGGCTATCGTAAAAAAGTCAATTGTCTCATTACTGATGATCCTACTACCTTTCGTATCCAATCTTCCTGTTTATGTTTACATTTTTTGTATGGTTCCTGTCCGGATTATTATTTTTGACCAGAACATCCTGCCTATTTTGTCAATACTATACCTCTGTAATCCCTAATTACACAAACAGTCAAGCTTTCCAGTAATTATGATCCTACCTATGTCTTTTCTACCCTATCTTCCTGTTTATTACACTTTGTAATTTTATTAATTTGACCTTTGACTGGAAACAGTTCTGGAACTTCCCCACTCATCTACCATAAATACAGAATGTACAGACTAGCTAACGACATCATCGAAAAGAACAATTCCTTCGCTGGAACGGTCTTTTTAATAATTCCTATGATCTAATAATGCGTATATTCCCTGCCTTAAATATATTGTGGTGAGACGATCGGATTGACCAAACCTCGGTAGGTAGGTAGGTAGGTAGATAGGGCAGGGTTCGTCGAACCGGTGACCCAGTGTTTCGTAGTCGAGCAACCAGGCATCTAGTAAAAGCTACAGCATTTCAGTGCATTTTTAAAACCTCTATTGAACTTCAAGAATTCATTCGAACACTAATTCCGAAATACCTTACAATGTTCGGATTTTCTATGATTTCTTCAAAATCAACATCAGTAGTCGTCAACGGTTGATTTCATTCAATAGTCTAGTCTGGAATAAAAATATTCTACTACGAACTAATGGGTGTTGGCGGTTCAGTGGTAGAATGCTCGTGGCAACCAAGCCAAACGTGGTCTGAGTCCCATTCTCGGCCGACGCACTCCCGAAACCTAGCTTAGCCGGTGGGGGGAAGGGTTGGTAATAAGCCACATAAAGGGGGAAAGTTTACCGTGAGGCAAGCAACCCTATCCCGTCCCTTAAAACACAAAGTCAACGCTACTAAAACTTCCAACAGCTCTAGTTTGAAGCCTGACATTCATTCCACTAGGAAAAAAGCAAAAGAATGAATAACTACGGACTGATAAGTCGTCCCCTCATCATTTAACGACAAAAAAGAGAGTTAAAAATATAAGCTCTAACGTAGAAAAAGCGCTTCAAGCTTACAGATTCTGCTTGTAAATGATCATACATTGTCACTGTCTCTTTAATCAGATGTAACCAGCTAAAAGGGATAAAATTAAAACAAAAAAAAGGCAACTAAGCTATATAATAACAAAATAAAATAACTTTGAAACGAAACAAACGATGGAATCAAAATTATCTCACAGCAACGAGCATTTCCCTACTCACAACTGCATATAGATTGTGTGAGGACTGCGATACTTGCCCAGACCGGAGCAGGCAGTTGTGTTAAAGGGCCACCCTGCGAGCCTTTGACTTGGTTGCTTATCTACGGGACAATGAAGTAGTGTTGGGTGCTACATTCCCAAGGTTTTCGACGACTTAAACAGGTTCATACGCCATTGGATCCTTTCAAATTCTAGAGTCCATGTATACCATATAGGTCTGGAATCAGGGTTTTCCAACTCCCATAGCTACCTAGACCTGTATGTCCTCCAGTATTCATTGCAATTATTCTAATTAGTGTATTCAGACTGATATCCGGGACCGAACCCCGTTGGGTGTGTACTGCTGAAGAGTCCCAGACTAGAACACAAAACAGCTACCCAGTAGTTCCTGGTGATTCTCCAATGGTTTTTTAACTGGTATCAGCTCATGAAGAAACGCTGTAGCCAGTGAACTCCCTACAAACCAACACTTGAACATCAATCTGATGCTCACTAGTGACTGACCAGGTAGGTAAGTAGTTACCTGGGTGCTAGTGGGAAGTCGTAACCAGTGGCGTACAAAAGGTTGGATGTGAGGACAAATACTCGCCAATGACTTTGGCTAGTGGTAGTGCTATATCGTGAATTAGCAGAAGTTGGAATTCATTGGCCATTGGGTCAGGTCCCAGTGGCTTAATCGTCTACGAGCTAACCTTGCAACCGCAAGGTCCTTGGTTCGAACCCCGCCCAGTAGATGCATACTGCTGAGAAGTTTAGAAGTGGGGCGAATCGGCTGTCTAATACTCCCAGGTTGTCCAGTGGTTCTCTAACCAATGTCAGCTCGTGATGAAATCCTGTATTCAGATTATTTAACTGTAATGAATAAGCCAAGAGGTGATGGCCTCGACAGTCCGCCCGCTCCCTTGGCGGACTTCAATTTGAAGTATGCGCTGAAGATGTCACCTAGTAAGGTGATGAAAGCTTCGCGAATTAACTATCCAGCTCAGAGAACACAACCACATCAAAATATGTAGTTGTAAACTATAGTCCATTTCGGTTATATCGAGAAAAACTCACAAAAGGGATCAAGTTAATGGAAATAAAAAATTTTTTCTTGTAGACTGACCTTAAGTGTTTCAATGGTGATGGAAACTTAATCACTGGGATTATTTGTGATTCCATTTCAGCATCCTTTTGTTTACGATAAATAGTTCGAATCTTTTGTATTTCTTGATCGACCTATATTCACACATGCACACACACACACACACAAAATAAACATGAAAAAAAACTGAATAGAACAAAAATAACAAAATAAAAGTGAACAAAGATCGGTAAATAATAATAGTTCAAAGTCTAGATCTCCACCACACACGAGGCTGATACGACTATGATGCCTGCTCCGACCGATAGCTGCTACCTTGACATGGTGGTGGTCGGGCTTGCATATCGTAATGACCCAACAAGCTACACTGGCTGGGACTATATTTCCCGCAGGTCCTACCAAGGCCAGCAAGGTTGCTAGGATAGAGATTTGACTAAAAGCAGTTGCCGGTATAGTGTAGGGATTTTTAAGGTTGGACATGAATATATCTGTTAAAATAGGGGTAAGTGGACTGCCCATAGCTACACCATCTATTTGGCGGTAAAGAGTGTTGTCAAATTGGAATTGTACATCCGCGGTACACATAAGCAGTAGGCGTTTGAATTCCGACTCTGAAAGTTCCAGACTTTCATCAACAGTTGCCCCCTTTGCCAGGCACATACTGAAGATCAAATAGCCGATCAGAAAGAATAAGCAAAAAGAAACTCTGGCTGGGAACAAACCAACCAAAGGTCGATTGCTCAACAAATATGTAGGCGAAAATGGAGATGGATCGGGTGTACTTTGAGGAGGCCATCGCTCGAGTAGCTACCAGTGGGTAGTTGGTGCGAGGGTGACATGGAGGAGATCGTGTGGCAAGGAGGAGATGAGAGATTATGGACAATCGTGGAGCTAGCTGAAGAGGACGGCAGAAAACAGAACAAAGTGGAGATGTGTTGTTGAAGCCAGCCCTATGTTCCACTCGGAACGCAAGGGAATAATAATAATAAGTCATGTATTTTTGAACTCTTAATCACTTAGTCTTTCGCCTGTTTTGGAAATACACATTTCCAAGCCTTCTCTATGTGAGTAGTTTTCTGGAATTTAGTGGTTTCAGGCCAGGGAATAATCCGACTAAGAAAATACCGAAGCATTCATTATCTGATTAAAAATGCCCATTAAAATTTTCAAAAGAATGGATACTGAACAAAGAATACTCTTTCCGATAACTTCATCATCAGGCTCTACAGCTATAGATACATAATAGTGAATGAATGAGTGTTATTAACGACATCAATGTTGTTTAAATAACATCGAATCAATAATATTGATAGATTACAGCTCGATAGCATCAACATAAAATGAGCTGAATGTCAGAACAATTAGGAAAGATAATATTACAAATTCACGAGTTTATAGTTTCTGCTGAAGGCCGGGGCAGTAGTAGGGGCTGGACTTGTTTCTTTTGAACACAGAGCACTAGTTGTTTGAGGCGAATTGCAATAGCCTCTGCTGTTTGGAGCATGCGGTGCTTCGATGATTTTGGTATTTGTTAGGCACCCGGTAGATTGTAGAGAAGGATTCTTCCACGCTGGCTGGCTTTGTGGCCGGTTTGGATCAGATGGTCTAATATCGAGCTGTTAATAGTTTTCACTACACCTTTACTTAGCCATAGTGAGAGATGTTCTCGAGCGAGCACGAAAAATCAAGTTCCTAGAGCAACGACCAATATAACTCGCTCCGCCATCAGCGCAGTTGAATTGATAGATACAATTTGAAGTGGAGTTCGTATCTGAACACTCAGTGACATCAAAACAGATAGTCTCACTTATCAAATATCTGAGGATTTATACCAAAAACTGAATAGCTTTATGTTTAGACAAGGATTTAGTTCAATTGTCACACAAAGAAGGAAAACAGAGGTAATAAAGATTCCTGGACAAGAACAACAACAACAGACAACAATCAGCATAAATGGAAGGAAGCTGAAAGAAACAACCTCTTTTACCACCTAACTGGGAAGCATCGTTTCAACTACAGGCGGAACTGATGAGGATATCAAAGCAAGAATCGAAAAAGCAAGACAAGCTTTCACTACTCTCAAGTCTGTGTGGAGGTCAACAGCACTCAGCATCAAAAATAAGATCCGGATTTTCAATTCCAATGTGAAGTCAGTGCTACTATACGGATGGATCAGAGACTTGGCGCCGCGTCATAAAGAGCATCTCAAAACAAACTACAGCCCTTCATTAACAGTTGTCTTCGCTCAATACTCAAGATCAGATGGCCAGCCAGAAAAGATCAGTAACAGGGATCTCTAGGAGCGAACCAACCAAGAACCGATTGTGCAACAAATAAGCAGGAAGAAATGGAGATGGATTGGCCATACTCTGAGGACACTAGACAAGCCAATGCTCGAATGGAAACCGCAAGGGAAGTGGCGAGTTGGTCGTCAGTGCAAGGGTGACTTGGAGGAGGTCATGTGAAGAAGAGATGAAAACGTGTTGGCAGACTTGTAGCCAGGTGAAGACTCTAGCAGAGAACCGAACGCAATGGAGACGTGTAACTGAAGCCCTATGTTCCTCTAGGAATTAAAGGAAACTACAATATAATAATAATAATGTATTATGAGAAAACAAAACAAAAAGGATCTTATCATATATGCAGATTTCAATGAAGATTTCATCACGAATCGACATCGATTAGGGAGCCACTGGGAACTTAGGCGAACTTCATCAACTACTTCTCACTGGAACTTCAGGACATCCATCGAGTAGTCCTGGTAATAGGCCTTACGGGTTCATATTCCGCACTGATTGATGTCTGAGTCGTCAACAGGCTGGACCAGTAACCCAAAAATCCCTCGGTGTCAACTCCTGGTAGGTCATAAGTACACACATGACAAGGCACAGCTAGCTGCGTAGTGATTCTCTCTCTAACTAATATTGCTTCCTGACGAAATTTATATTGAAATCCTGATTATACTTATGCAGCTTACCTGTTCAGCTTCTTTACTTGCCGGTAATTGATTTAATATATCTGGCCTGGAAAAGAGAGTAAAACAATTCATATTAGTAAAGACAAAAAGTAAGAAACATTTTACCACCTTTGTAAGAATAAATCTGTAACCATTTCATGTAAACTTGGTTGTATTGTAAGGATCCGATTGATGAAATAAACAGCATATTCACTAGACGGATCTATCTGGAGCATACGCGTTGACAATTCCAAACAAACTAAAAAGAAAAGCGGAGAGAGAGCAAAAACATGAGAATTAGGGAAAAGAACCGGTTGTTCTTCAAAGTTGACATAGTGATTGATCCATTAAAATAACAAGACTGACTTATTAAGTTTCAACATTAAACCTGACAAAGAAACTCACCAGTTCAAGTTGCCAGACTCCATGAAGCACACAAAAGTAGAGAAAATGTGCTGGGAGAAAGATTAATAATATGGCAGGACATGACAATCTAATGGAAATTGGAGATGTCAAAGAGTGAATGCATCTGCACTGTTCAGAACAGTTTTGAATCATATCACACTACTAGTCTCCAGCCACTGGTTTTTACCATGCTAAGGACCCCAACCAGACAGTAATCTACACCACCCCACGTGACTGACTGGCTGGCTTAAACTAACTGCTGAGCATTTCATTGACTCATGAAGCCATGTTTTCGTTTGACCACCACTGGCTCTCTCTTTTCCAACCTCATCGATCTTATGTCAGCTAACATAGACCGCCGATGAAGGCGATCGACGGCTAGGCACGCATAACACATGTCCTAACCATCGTAATTGATGCAACTAAACAAACTCGTCGATTGATTTCCCCTCCTTACCTAGCACTCGACCGATGCCTAACCTCAATATTGCTCACCTTATTATACCACCTAACAGACACGGGAGATAAAAAGCAGACACCTATGATCAAAGACAGCTAGCCAACCTTTTCGTATCTTCCACTGTCAATGACCATTTCTCACTCACAGCCATAAAGAAGGATGGACCAGACTGCTAAGCAGTATACACGTCCTTTTGTCTACGCCATAGATGGCGGAAACTGGCATACCCGAAACGAGCCTTCTGTATCTGTGCTGAAGATTTCGTCAGCAATCATCCTGTTGGGGCTGATGCAACTCTTCAAATAAGTAAAGTGGTCAACACGCCCTACCACGTCACTCCCCATCTTTTAGCTAGGAGTCAATCAATGTAGTCCAGTCCAATCCGGTCCTGTAGCATCATCTTACATTTGACTAACAGGAGTGAATCGCATGCCAAACATTCGAAGATAGCTAGCTGCTCCTGAAGATGTTCAGATGACTTTGCATTTTGTCAGCGTCTTCTAAGTCAACGAGATTATTCCCTGGTGGTAACAAGTCAATCCTTGAGTAGCTGAAGTCAAGGTTAAGTCTATTAGTACATTTATGATGAAGAGCATTAAAAAGAGCATTAAAAGTGAACTTGATTTGGACATATATAGCATTAAAAATAGTTCAATTTATCTAAGACATATCAATTCGTAAGTAAACATTATCTTCATCAATATACATCTCATAATACAATGGGAAAACGATAGAAGTATGTTAGTCGTATATTATTATTATGATTGTTATTGTTCCCTTGGGTTCCTAGTGGAACATAGGGCTTCAACTGCACGTCTCCACTTGTTTCTGTCTTCTGCTGTACTTTTCACCTGCATCCATGTTAGTCCATACTGTTTCAGCTCCTCTTCACACGATCTCCTCCATGTCACCCTTGGACTTCCCACTCGTCGCTTCCCTGCAACAGGCTGTTGGAAATATTCCTTGTGACCCGCCGCCAAGTTTCTGGTCCGTATAGAAGAACTGACTGACTTGACGTTTGTATTGAAAATCCGAATTTTGTTGTTGATGCTGAGTTGAGTGACGAAGATTTCCAGATTGGTTTTAGGTTGATGAATGTGTTTCTCGCCTTCCCGATTCTACATTTGACATCCTCGTCCGTTCCTCCTGTAGTTGAGACAATGCTTCCTAGATAAGTGAAAGAAGTAACCTCTTTCAAATCCATTCCGTTGGTGGTGATTGGTGGTGGATGTTGTTGCTGATGTTGTTGTTGTTGGTTGGTTATTTTCATAACCTCCGTCTTGCCTATGTTCACCTGGAGTCCTGTCTTCTCTGGCTGCTTCTTCCACCAGTTTGTCCGTTTTCGCTTGTAAGTTTTCGATTTTGTGTGACATCAAACATAAATCATCCACGCGCGAAATCCAGGTCTTCTAGGTTCTTCACGTCGGTCCAGGATATCCCTGTCTTCTCGTTTCCCACTGTCTGACGCATAATCCAGTCCACCACAATTAGGAATATCATTGGTGATAATAAGCACCCATGTCTGACTCCTGTGTTTTTTAAAGAAGAGACGTTTTCATCACTCATGATAAATTTGTTTGAAGTAAATACTAGTGAGTCCTTTTATGTCAGACAGAGTTTATTGTCGGTCAGCTCCAGAAAAAAAAAAATAATATTTGAAATACTGTCCTGATATTTTGTACCACTGTTGTTTGGTAAATAGATAAAATCAGTTTATTAAAAAAAAACTACTTTGAGAGACTTGCGTCCATCCTAAGGACAAAAAGTCAGACGAAATATTCTTTTAGAAATCGCTAAGACATGGTGTGCAAGACTAGGTAGGATAGGTCAGAAGAAAGAATATGACTGGACATATGATTAGACTTCAGACTTTATTGGGTGTCTGTGTACTTCTTTCACATGTTACATGACACTGAGATACTCCGCAAAGCGAGACAAGAAAGTGTGCACTGAATACGCTGGATATACCTGCTTTAATTCTTTTCACTGAAAATAACAATACAGATTGCTTTTATAAAGTTTTTAACCACATATACATATATATGCCACATACTTTCTAATTCAGATACTGCAAAGTATAATGGTAAAGCAAGATGTAATGCAACTGGATGAGATGGTCGTTTCATCAAGATATGTTCTATTGAATTGATAGCAACTTCAAAAAAGCCGGAGCGTATAGCAGCACGAGCTAAGCGTATCCAAAGGCTTAAATCATTCGAGTCAATTTGTAAAGCCTAAAAAGGAAGAAAAATGTAAAATTCACTATTAAGGTTAGAAATGCCGGATGGTTCACTGGTAGAATATACTCGCCAACTGCACCACATGGGGTCAACAAGTTCAATCCCCGATCGACGCACACTACTTAACCTCATTTATTTGGCAGTAGACCTGGAAATGAAGGAAGGCTAAACGTGAGGCTATCAACGCTGCACCACCCCGTAAAGAGGATTAACACAGTTTCTACTGAAAATTTAAGGCTCACTCCTAAAGCCCTATGTTCCACTCGGGAGGAGGCGAAGCAAAGGAATAAAATAACTAATACACCAAGACGACTTCAGTCCACCAAAGTGGAATTTAAGTAATAAGACAACAATAAAAATCAAGAGGGACTTGATGTAGAGGTATCGAATGGATGGTCGCGAACCTTAATTCATAAAATCTGTCTGTCTGGATTCAACATAGAACCTGGCACCGAAGTGCACCAGTTCCAGTTGCCACGTTCCAAATAGCACACAAAGGTAGACAAGAAGATGAGAGTGAGGAGAATCAATAGAGTTTTGACAAGTATAAGAGTGAAACAGAATGAGTAATGGTAGAAAGGAATATGAAAGATTACAGAGACTGAATACATCTGCGTAAGCCATTGACAACGATTTTGAGCCATGTCACCACCTATTGTCTCCAGCCACCATTGATTCTTAGAGTCCCGAGGGTGGGCCCCAACCCGGAAGTCTGCATCTCCCTCCCTACCTGACTCAGTTTAACTGTCAAGGATTTCATGGATTGATTGATGCCATGTTTTTGTTTGGCCCCCGCTTACTCTTTTCCAACATGCACCTATATCATCAGCTAGTAATGTCCGTCGGGGGAGGCGATGGTTAGGCATGCGCAGCATGTGACCTAACCATCTCAATCTATGTAACTTTATAGCTTCGTCGATTGATTTTCTCTCTTTGCCCAACACTCTACGCCTAAGAGGGAAAATCAATCGAACACACATACACATACGTTGCCCTGTCATTCACACAAGTTCTAAAGTCCGGCTTCAGAACACATAGCCAACAACGACAATAATAACAACAGGAGAGAAACAGAATTTAAGTCTAATGCAGACAGAAAACAAACAAAAAAATAATTTTAAACACATCCATGTGATGACAGATTACCTACCTTACTGAGTAGATCTATACCTTCAGCATTTTTATTCAACTTGAAATAAATGCCTCCAAGTAATTTACAGCTGGCGAACTTTACAGATGTCAGTTGTGGAGTTAATTTCTGTAAATGTGAATAGAAAGTTATTACGATTTAAAATTTTTATATAAAGAGGAGAAAAAAACAAATACTAGACTGAAATAAGTTTTGTACGGCAAAGTTAAATTTTAAGCACCATGAACTACCAATCAGCGAACGACCTCTAATGGACCAATCACATGAAAGAGGGATCGTTGATTAAAGAAAACGTATATTTATGGGGAAAAAAAGCATAAAAACTGCATAAAACTGTTACATAGGGTATCTTTCTCTAATATGCGAGAGAAACATCTCCCAGTTTAGCATATGAGTGTCAATAGAAAAGTCACACCACATTTTGTACATATATTCATCCAAATGACTATAAATGACATCCTTTTGAGATCCATTTATAGCCCTAATCCTATTTTTCAATCTTCCCCAAAATCCTTCTATAGAATTTGTGTGTGTCCCCGTAATGGGATCCACAAAATCACTGGAATGGTTCACTCTATGATAAATATATCCAAGAGGTGACAGAGAGTTATAACCTTTCCATTCATCCGTATGTACTACTATTGATCCCTGTTTCACAAGTCTATTAATAATGGATACTAAAGTAGTTGCCTTTCTATCTGGTATTCTCTCCACAAATCCTTTCCGTAGGGAGGTGTCATATAAACCAATCACCCAAATATTGTTGGCTCGCTCACGACCACCGTTGTATTTTTTCTTCAGTAACACAGTTTCGTCCACGTGCACGACGATACCTTCTCCACCCAACAACGAACTAATTCTCTCCACCTTCCGTGATGCGATGTCTCTGCAGTGCTGGTATCACTGAACCACTGTTGACACGAGGCTATTTTCGGTTTCGGCTGTTTCAAAACCCAGTAGATACAAATATACAAGATCTGGGTTAGGGAGAGATGCGACCTACCAAAAAAATGTTCCTACGAAATATTAAAATTATCAGCTTACCTTCCCTAATACTAACTCGTCTCAAACAAATTGCACAACGATGGATATATCCATCAATCGACTTGCTAAAGCTTTTTCAACTCATCACACCATCACATGAACAAATCCTCTCCTTCCTAAGCAACCTCACATCCAGGCAATACTGCAAAACCTTATCCCCCTCGAACTGCAAGCGTAAGTTCGTTAGAGCACTCATTTGACACGAATCAAGCGAAATAAAACCTTTAACTCACGTGGATGAACCTGATTGGACCATTCTAGGTCATTCGTTGAATAGTAGTTAATGGTGCTTAAAGTTTAACTTGGCCTTCTGTACCAGTGAAACTTTCTATGCGCGAGTAGCTCTCACTGGTTGAATACTTACGCTTACCATGCAAGAGGTCTGAGTTCGACTCCCGATCGACACTACAGAACCTCAGTTAGTTAACTAGTCAATAGTAAACTCAGAAAAGAGGGAAGTTTAGGTGTGAGACTGACTTACACAGTCCTGAATACTCTGTCTAGTTTTCTATAACTATCAGCAGTGTGAAATTTTCTGTTCAAGAAAAGAGTTACATGAAGTTTTGAAGTCACATCAACTGAGATACCTGACAACATATGCATGTTGCATACACGCACCTATTATTATAATTTACCTCAGTTTAATACAACCTATTAAAGTAGAAAGATAACACTTGCTTCATATCATAATGATCAGATGAAAATACAACATGAATCCATGAGGTCTTCGATAACTGACATTTAGTTTGTAGGCGACTGTAGGTCATGTATATTGGTTCTGAAGATTATTATTATTGTTTCCTTTAATTCCTAGAGGAACATAGGGCTTCAGCCGCGCACGTCTCCATTGCGTTCGGTTCTCTGCTAGAGTCTTCACCTGGCTCCAAGTCTGCCTCCACATGCTTTCATCTCCTCTTCACATGACCTCCTCCAAGTCACCCTTGCACTGACGACCAACTCGCCTCTTCCCTTTCGGGTTCCACCCGAGCAATGGCTTGTCTAGTGATGTCACTTGATGGTTTCCTCAGAGTATGGCCAGCCAATCTATCTCCATTTCTTCCTGCCTATTTGTTTCACAATCGGTTCCTGCTGGGTTGGTTCGCTCATTGCCAGAGATCTCTGTTGCTGATCTTTTCTGGCTGGCCATCTGATCTTGAGTATTGGGCGAAGACAACTGTTAACGAAGGTCTGTAGTTTGTTCGATGTGCTCTTTATGACGCGGCGCCAAGTCTCTGATCCGTATAGTAGCACTGACTGACTTCACATTGGAGTTGAAAATCCGGATCTTATTTTCATTTTCATGCTGAGTGCTGTTGACCTCCACATAGATTTAAGAGTAGTGAAAGCTTGTCTTGCTTTTCCGATTCTTGCTTTGATATCCTCGTCAGTTCCGTTCGACTGTAGTTCAAACGATGCTTCCCAGGTAGGTAGAAGAGGTAGTTTCTTTCAGGTTCCTTCCAATTATGCTGATTGTTGTCTGTTGTTGCTGCTGTTGGTGTTGGCCAGGAATCTTCATCACCTCTGTTTTCTCTATGTTCACCTGAAGTCCTATCTTCTCCGGATGCTTCTTCTGCCAACTTGTTGCTTTTTGCCTGCATATCTTCCAGTTTCTGGGAAATCAGACATATATCATCGGCGAAGTCCAGATGCTGAAGATACAATCCATCAATCTGGAGACTTAAATGTACATGGGTTTTAAACGGTTGTAGTGGCATACACCGGCATTTTGTGTTCCGCATGAATATTGGATACCTAATAACACCGCCTTAAGCAGATTTCGCTTTCGTTTCCACGTAGTCGGTAAGTTCATCACTAATTATCACCATCATATCCAACTCTGGTGTTTTTTTCTATTGTTGATGTTTCGAGTCAATAAAAAATAAACAGCCCTTTTCACTATCATGTATGGGAAGGTGTTCTACTGGAAGAATCAAATACACAAAATCTTCAAAAGTACAGGATCTGGAAGCCCTCATCGTCTGACACATTTATTCGATTTTGTCATGAACCATCATTAAAAACCAGGGGGTACTGGACTGCTTTTTTGTCCCATCCTGGAACTCTTGAACAGTGTACACCCACGACACCATCAGGGATCGAATTCGAAACCCTCAGGTTACGAGACAAAGGTCGTTCACTATTCAGCCACTTGGCCAGGAATTCAGTGACTCATGAATACTAGTTTCATCAACTCGTCACATAGCGCTATCCTAACCAATGTCTTTGAAGGATAACTACTTCACCTCGACATGGTGAACGCCACTGGTTACGACTTTTCCGTACAGCTTCAGGACATCTATCCAGTAGTCATCAATGAGATGGGTTCAGTTCCTGGCGAAGCCGTGGGTGCACACTGCCGGAGAGTCACCAAAATAGGGCTAAACAGCCGGCTAGTGCTCCCTGATTTTCAATGATCTGTCTAATCGATGTTAGTTCGTGACGAAATCCCATAATTTAGATACTATTTATTAGCTTTACCTGCCTCTGGATAATTTAATACTTTGAACGAAATGCTTCTCGTTTCCGATGAGCAAAAGTAATATGCTGAATTATTCCAAGTCTAACTAAGAAGGATTTCTTTATTTTTTTATTGTAAATATCTTCTTAGTAAGACGTGAATTAGAGCACCATTGACAAATACTTGGAAAGAAAAGTTTCACCAGGTAACTACAATATTCTGAGTTTTTTTTTTATCTCCCAGAGGGTGATGGGGCAACTTTGACTTCATTGAGGTGTGGTGGTAAAATATAAAAATAATCCCCGACATTTACATAATGGTGTATTTCTTTGAACTACTACATCAGTATATGGTTTGATCACCGACTTACTGAAGTATGAATACCTACAATCGACTAATAATGGTGAACAGAAATTTACTCATTTGAGAAGTGAAACAATTGTCTGATGCTGAGTAGTTTTGATGAATGCCTCCCATTTAATCTACGTCAATTCATCAAAACAAACACCTACAAATACTACTAGTTATTTGCGCAAGTGATAAAACCGATTATCTGAATAAAACATAAAAAATTCACTAATCCAACTGGAATACACACTTCTTGTAGATAAAGATTATATGCCAAGTGACTTTAGAATTTGTAAAAGTAACAGTAAGTTAAGCAAAGAATAAAAACGGTTGGATTTAGATGAGGACTTACATTGCCTTCAATAATAAAGCTGTTCAAGATACTTTCTAAAACTGGTCTGGCCTTAAAATCTTCACCATGACAATCAGATGAACAAAGACGCAAAGCAATGTGATACAGTTTGGTAATCCTCACCTATAGAGTCAAAAAGGATTGAAAAGTTTTGTTATTAGTTAAGTTTGATGAAAGTAAGGGTTGTTCAGCGTTAAAATTTTAAACAAATCATAGAACTGTTCATTTAAATAAAAGGTACAGACAGACATAGAAGCGAATGCATAAAGATATTTAGCAAAAGTATTTAAACAAATAATAAATTTTTAACTACCTCCTCAGATTCCCGTGTTTTCGTTGGTTTTAAAAGACTAGCAACATTTGGAGAAAGTTGACTCAAGTTGTCGGACTGATAAACACATGCACTATTTGCATTTTTAGAACCTTCTTTCTCAGTATTGTCAGAAAGTGATGCTTTAGTGATTATTCCTGTTGAGGATGAATTTGCGACTTCATGTACATTCGGATTTGAAATATTCGAAGAATCTAAGTCACATGACAGTTGTCCATCCGAACAGTTTAATGCTTTGAATGAAAACTGAAAAGAAAAAGAAAAAAGGTTTCCATGATTTTTTTCCTGTAAAATATCCAGATAAAAGCAAGGAGCACATAATAATAATAGTAATTTATATTTTCATATAAACAAATTTACATGAAAATGCATGCCATGTAAAAGGATAGGCGGCGTTAACATGGTAGGTTAAACTATTCAGTATCACTAGTAAACTTAACTCACAAAATGCACCACTAAACGCAATATCTCAAGTAATTTTAATACACCTGGTTAAAACGGTATGAAAAACTTGGGTCCCTAAATTCTTGGTAGGCACTCAACTCCTATACAAAGGGTTTCGAACACTAGTCGACACAGCTTGGAAAGCGGTCAAGGAATCGAATGACATCATGATCCTTCACTGTTAGCCATAGTCACTGTAAACGTAACTAAACTTGAGGTAACATGATATAACAAACCTGTTTGCAGCCTTAATGACACTTATAGTATAGTATAAACAGAGGGATTTTTACCTTCTTTTACTGCCGTAAGAGCAATTTAATGTCACTGATAGATATTCCTTTACCAAGACATAGAACGTGCGTCGGTGGCACAGCGGTTAGGACGCTCGTCGACCATGCATATGGTTCACGGTTCGAACCCCAGCCGACGCACTCCTTTACCTTGCTAAGCCAGTATTAGAACTGATAAAGAGGAAAGGTTGGGTATGAGTCTAGCAACCCCATCCTGTAAAAATAAACACTGATACAGAAACTTCAAGTCCCTATCTTGAAGCACTATGTTCCACTGGGAACGTGAAGGAATAAAAAAAGACAGAACACCAACAGCACTATTGAAGGGTGAATTCCTCTGACTTATTTATCCTGATTGTGAGATCATCTAATTACTTTCATATTTTGTATACCATCAGCATTAAACAAAACTCTGGAAAACCAGTATTTTTACAACGGAAGGTGAGACAAATACAGTAAACATGCATTAGACCTCCCGAACAAACTAACGCCACTTCATGATGCTAAAATGCAGTAAACTGGAGAACAATGTACATAAATGACGAATCTAACTCACTAAAATGCTACACTTATCAGCTCTGAATTTTATTCGGTGGCCTACAGCGAACTTTAATCTACTATTGTATGTTACCTGATGCAACTAAGATCAACATTTGAATATTACACTTCTTAGAGATGTTGTATTTTAGATAATATTTTCACTAGTTAATTCATGCGAAAGCCGATCTGAATGGAAAATTTTATAAGTTCATTGTCGTTAACAAAAAAGCGAGAGATGGTTATGAGAGGCACACTACGTAGTGTTTAATAGTTTAACTACCAAGTCATCACGTGTTCGTAGAGTTTTATCACATCAAAAAGTGCAGTGAGGTACAGGATTTAGGGTGTAAGAATAACTATGCCTACAATGACACATTAATGAACAATTCATACGGTATCACAGTATCTTAACCACCTAAAAAAGTCAATCAGTCAAAATAATGACCTTCCCAAGCTTACAATAATGCCGAATTAAATCTCAGTAATTCTGAAATAATTCTTGCATCTTATAGTGAGTAAATTCTGAATCTGTTCTGAAATGGTTTGTTTAATGGCACAGACTAGAACTCAGTGCTGGTTTTCAGCATGACCAGAACTAATTCAACACCGTGTTCTTTTTCTAGGCATTTTCAGGAGTAGATCAGAACATACTGGGTTTCCTTATCAGCGAAGAAAGATGAGAAGACATACTTATCACAAACCATTACGTTATAGTATCTCTTTAAAACATCTGCACGTAATTCCTTCTTAATTCGAAAGATCCTATCACTCAAACCTAAAATAATAAAAAACATGACATTTCATCTACGATTTCATACACAAAGACTAAAGTACTTGTAGAGTTTACTTAGGTTTGCCAATTGGCAAACTATATATAGCTAGAAATAAGATTGGTAGTTTATAAGCCTAATGGTATGAAACATTTTATTGTCCAATATTTCGAATAAACACACGTCGTTAACATGAAAACATGACCAACAGTCAGTAATGACAAGCATTCAAAAAAGCCAATTCCTAGATGAAATATACATCCTCTAATAAAACACATGAAAAAGAAAATCAAAGTATCCGTCAAGGTCACGTCGGATTATTTAGCATACTACCCGCCCTGCATTCTGTATTCAATATCATGTTTACTAGTTAAACAGAATTTTAAGCTCTTTAACTGGTAGCAAGAAGAAGTTTCTTGTCCTTTAGCTGGTTTCTGCATGGTTTGTCTTTTCATGCGGTAGCTTTCGTGAACTTCTAGCGTTGTGGGAGGCTCCATTAGCAAATACATTTTTGCTACCTAGTACGATAAAGATCGATTTCTTGAATCTCCAACCTCTCTGTTAAGGTGGAAGTCACTAATCTTCCGTGAACCCTGTATAACTCATCCCTGTACACAGGCCGTTTATCTCAAGGTAATGCTAAGGATGATAAAAATTATAATTTACATGTCATATAGACGGATAAGCTTACAAGAAATGCATGTCATTTTTACAGGCACGATCAGTTATTTTATAAATTGCAATAGTGCAGTATCATAAAATAATACTTTTTCGGAATTTTAATTGTCCAACTATCGTACAAACAATCAGAACAGGTTCGTCAGTCACTCTTATTGACAGTCCGATGGTCAATATTAAAATGAGTATAGTTATACCAGTATATCCACGTCTATCGCAAAAGGACTGTCTAAGAAATTTGCATCACTAGACACCATTGCTGTAGTGACAAGGCTAGATGAGTTGGGTATTTAGGACAGTCGTTGTCATTGTTAATGATTGGAGAACAAAGGTGGTGGTAGTTTGAGACAACATAAGAACAAAACACCCAACGAGTTAAGTAGCAAGCGGAATCCATATCTATGCAAAACATGCAAATATAAAGCGTTTCTGTGCGTCAGAGGCATTCAACCTGACACACACTGTAATTGTAATGCTTAATACATATATATATAATTATAAGCAGAAAATAATATACTATATTACTACCACTGCATGGGTAAAACTCCCCTTGAATTTCATGGAATTAATTATATTCACTTCATAATTGATTCAGTTTTCTTTTCTTTTGTTTCGTTGTCAAGTCTATATTCTTAACAAAAAAGCATTGAGGGTTGTAAAGATCTAGATTTTTACAAAATGCTTTCGCTCCTGATATCTACGAGTTCGGTCAGATTCTTGTCGAGATTGCAACCCCATGGTACCAACAGAAATTCGTGAGACATCTTATAGGTCAGCCTCTCCTACAGGTTCTAATCTTCCACATCTTTGAAGCTGCCTCTCACTGAAATATCACTTATCTACCTCACGACAATCTTTTTATCCACGTAACAACAAAGTCCATTTTATCTTAACTACTTAGGCCTTTAATTGATGGATGGTGACTAGCAGTGGAATCCAGGATGCGCATTTCGTCCTATTTGGGACTCGTCATTTGGATGTATCTGCATTTCTCAGTGAGTGATGATGTTCCCACCACTTAGGCCTTTATTAAAGCTAAAACTTACTCTTCGTTCGTATTCGATGCTTGCATGAAGAAGTCCGGTTGCATTGGTTTTGAAAGCACAACAACAACACGGATGTTTGAGGAGAGCTATATTTTCATTGAAAACGTCATAGTCTCCATTGTAAGACCGATATGGTTAACACTAATCATTGCAGATATGTACTATCATCTCAAGGGCTCTCCAACTCCTTGTGGTAAATATCTCGTAAATGTACAATCCTAGAAATCATCACAACCTAGCTGCTATAGAGCATTGTCAGACCCACATGCGGTATAATTTCTTCTTAACTAAGTTTTCAGTCATTTGGAATAGACTACCAGCTGATGTGCGCGATGCAAACACACTCGCAGTGTTCATCTCCTCAGTCACCAGACTGCTCAAAGATGACAGTGCACTTCTGCGTCTGAATGCTACACCCACTTTTTCGCCCAACATAGATATTTTAAGTTCATTAAACATGTAGTTACAACAAACTACAATTATAAATTTTTTAAATTGTAGCAAGTACATGATAGACATTTTTACACAGGACCATAATATTAGTTCACACAATATAAAAGTTAGCATCACGGGAATAGTTAGTTAGTGCACTAAAATAACCATAGTTACTAAACAGAATATAAATGTATATATACATATTAATCACTCCCTAAGTACTCCACTTGCTTTCTTTTGCGTTGTTGTTGTTTGTCTTCTTTTGTCTCTCACCATTTCAGCTTCCATTTAACTTTTTGAAAGAGAACAAGAATGTACATTTTCGACCATTTACAATGACAAATGATCTGCAAACATTATTGGTCCCATATCTTACAATTCCCTCGTGACTTGCGCATTGCCTTCACCAACGACGCAACCTGGATTTCAGTTGTGAAATATACCTTTATACCAATAAAAAAGTATTGATTTATAATACTTCACAATTGTAACTTACAACATGACTGATTGTGCATGCAAAAATAGCTTGCATTTCTTGAAAACACCCGTTTATAAGAAAATACAGACTGTCATTATTATTAGTCTATATTGAGTACTATTCACTTGTGATGTTACGAAGAAAATGCTGACAAAAGTATACAAGTGTATTACTTATTTTAAATTATTATCAAGTATGGATATAAATCAAGAATAAGACTCGATGCCGTACACACCAAAGTTATATGGAGGAATTACTTCAAGCTTTATTTTTTTCCCAAGTATTTGTAATCCATCCAAAACATGCTTCGGTTTTTTTGTTAATGAGAAGACAATATTTCTATATTTCTTGATGTGCTCCATTGAATGACTAGTTATCGTATTGTTCCCATAGACAAAATGACTGCAACCTTATAATCTTACCATGAACCAAATTTATGTAATTTAAATAATACTTATCCATGCCTGTACAATTGGTGTGTCCTACACAGGTAGGAAAAAATGTATTTTATTAAATTACTTTTATTAAATACGCTTACTAATCGTATATGTAATTTATCATATTGATGATGCCTGTAAACTGGCGTCCCTCATGTAAAAAATGAGAATATACTATTATTATTATTAGATGTATTATCCACAATTGTATTATATACCATTTCGCAGTTTCCCAGGTCGTTCTTCTCTTCCCGAAATAGCGTTAATTCACGTGGGAGCGTAGCGAATACCCGAATATACGTTGTTCATTCGTTGACCGAAATGAAGTTTGGGTTGTCGCTCAACTTTGATGGTGACCTAAGTGAAAGGCTTAAAATTTGTTATTTGTACGAACCTGTTCTGATTGCTTGTACAATAATTGGACAATCAGAACTCCGAAGAAGTATTATTTTATGATACTACTTTATTGTAATTTATAAAATAACTGATCGCGCCTGTAAAATGGCATTCATTTCTTGTAAACTCACCTGTTTACACGACATAAATAATTGTTATTATAACTACGAAGCATACTCTAAAAGGCACGGGGTTTGATATGCATATGTGAAGAACCGATTCACTCGGAGGTGAAGTGAGAATTGTCCCTTTCCACCATGTCTGTTCGTTAGGCTCAACGTTGGATTATTTGTTAGTCAGTGCGATTCCCATTCTATGATTACCGCCTAAAATGTGCCAGTGTTAAAAGGTGAACAACAAAAGATAATGAAAACTGTTCTCTTTTTTGAAATAAATATGCAGAAAACCATTACGCGCGTCTTTTTTGTTTTTAATAAATTTTTATTGGCGAGGGTTTCGGAAAAAAGAGATTAATCGGTGTGCTTTTATAAGGATCAGGTGAACTCAGGCATTTGATCCGCCTATTATTCGTGCCGTAGTTTTTCTAGAAATTTTTCACAAGTTAGGAATTCAGCTCATTTAACTCGTTCGTCAGTCTCAGTAGGTTTCACGTCGGTATTCGCATTGACTACGGCCACCTGTGGAATCCTTCCTATCACTATAGAGGAATGATCGATGTCGTCGAATAACGAAGTGTTTTTGGTGCCTTGTCGTGACCTTGAAGGGCCCTTCGTATGGTGAACTGAGCAGTGCTTGTGTTTTATCTCATCTCTCCCAAACATGGGGGCAAGAATCCAAGTCCTTTGGTATGTGTAGAGCTCTTGGTTTTTCCCGTGAGTCAGTCGACCTTAATTAGGCAATGTTTGCCCGAAGTCCGTCAGCATTTGTGGCCCGGTCAAGGTCGTTTTCATCACTGCAGGGACTGATTAACTCACCAGGTAGTCTCAGTGTGCCTCGGAATACCATTTTAGCTGCAGAGGTCAGGCATTAGTTTTTAATGCCGTTGGTACGCAAAGCATTACCATTGGGGGGAATTCTGTTCAGTGGGTGAGGTTATAGTGCGATATCAGCGCAACCAACAATTGTCTATGGAGGCGTCCTACAACGCCGTTAGCTTAAGGGTGGCACACTGTGCAGCGTATTATATGTGACCGATGAACTTCGAAAAGTTTTTGAGAAGCCCTGACTTGGATTGAGCTCCTTTGTCATTTGTTACTATTATAAGCAAACCGAAAATGACCACCCAGTATTGATGAGGGGCTTTCGCTACCGTTTCCGCCGTCATATCAGCAAGTGTGCAGCCACTGCGAATGTGGTGAACTTGTCGATGCATGTAAATAAATAAGTAAATCCGCTTTTACACGGTAGGGGACCTACTAAGTCCACTTGAACATGAGCGAAACGAGTATCTAACTGCAAGAATGTTCCAAAGGATGACATTGTGTATCTTCTTATTTTAGCCCCCCGTAATGACATGCACCCTCTCATCAACTTTTGCACGTCGCGTTGTAAGCTTGCCGAAATATATCTTGCCGAGATCACTTTAGCTGAGGCTTCTGCTCTGGGCTGAGATAACGATTGAAAATTACAAAATATGACTTTTCGTATAATTTTAGGGTCGAGGAGCCTGGGTGAATCTTTTGTTGTGCTGTAATTTGTAGAATTGCCATCAACAGGAGATGATAGCTGTTCAAGTTTAAGATTATGTTTATTTGTAGAAAGGGCATGCTTTTTTCGGATGGTACTCTAAAGTCTACAGTGGTTTGTTGCGCTGTATTCACATGCATTCTGGACAGCCTATCATCCACACAGTTGTCCGTCCCCTGCACATGTCTTATACCATTGGTAAACTGTGATATGAAGTCAAGATGACGAATTTCGCGTGGCGGGTATTTGTCTCTTTTTGCGCTGAGCGCCCAAGTCAGAGGCTTGTGGTCTGTGTATATCGTGAATGGCTTGACCTCTACCATGTGGCGAAAAGGTTCAAATGCTATATAGATTGCCAGCAACTCTCTTCCAACAACATCATGCACCGTTTCTGTGGGATTAAGCCGTTTGGAAAAGATTACTATATGCGCCTTAAATTGCACCGCGGCTTCTATCTTCCAGCTGCCATTCGGGCCTTATTCTCAACCTTCTATTCTTGTTCTTAAGTGCGTTTTCGAAAATAATGCTCTCCCTCATCTCGTTCATTAGTATTTATATGTACAGCTAGGTGCCTGTCTGAGATAGCGGGATCACGTCGAGTTCATGAATTGGAAGAGAGTAGTTTTTGTTTATTTTATGTTCTTTCCCAGATGTCTGCATTTGCTTACACAGAATCGATACAGACTCAGTAGCCATAGAAATGGATAACGCCTCCTCACAGATAATCGCTATTTTCAGAAGTCTCTACCAATATATCTGTAGACAGGCATTCATGGCCACCGACCAACTACACGTGACTCTCCCGTTGTTTAAGTGGGTCTTGGGAATGCTACGTTAGGTTTTCTAAATTATTTCTCCCATGATACTCCATGTTCTCGTTATCCTTAACTGTGATTTTCCCCCAGTGGACACTCCAGATGTTTGTTTTAGGGAGTTGGGGTGGCTTTATTGCATATTCCTGCTAATTTTAGTGGAATGTATTAATCTAGAAACTACACCTGTTGTTTCGCCTCTATTTGTAATTTCAGACAAAAAAGCAGCAGTCAAGACAAAAGCATTCAAAAAATAAGTCTTTCGTATAATGTCTACCTGATACAATGAATGAGCGAAAACAGGCAAACGAATGAAATATGAGAAAAAAGGTCGAAACTTCCCATGATATCACATGGAAATATATCACTATCTCGGATATTATTTATACACTATCTATACGAGGACAAATAATCCGGATTCTTGAAAAATAGTGAAAATATATCGACAGCTGCATTCCTAATCTCAGTGACTCATACGATGATAATATTCTGCTCCTCAATGCTTCATTCATCATTTTGAATGGATAAATTCTCAGTCATTCTGGTTCCTGACCGAAATGAATTAAAAAATTCCACCGATAGCTGATTCAGGTGATTCATTAAAACTTATTCGCATGTTTGACTGGATACTAACTGCTGTGGTGAGCCTCTTACAGACGATATTGCTGAAAACATTATTGGCGGTAAACAAACTAACGTTTTACAAGCCGCTTTATACTTTTAGGAATAGACAAACATATTGACCACATGTAATGCAGTCTCCAGTTGTTACGCGCGTTTTCGACAAATTCAAACCAACATAGTGCCTAGAATTATGTTATGTGAATAGTTTCAACTTATGTAAAGTGTGCTTACTGTCGCCATTCCATTAACTTTCCTAGTATATACATCTTGTATAAGTGGAAAATTGCAAAAATGCTTACATTATGTATGTATTTCTTATCATTTTGATGATGCCTGTAAACTGGCGTCCCTAATGTAAACTAACTGAGGATATGTTATCACTGTCATTAGATTTAACGATGTTGTTGGCAGTTCTAGTGAAAAATATTGCACTACTAGTATGAAGAATTTTAGTTGTTAAGAATGAAACATTTTTCGATTCGTAAACAGAATCAGCGATTTCGCTGATCGTGTTAGTAGCACTAATTTTTGTAGCACATGTGTTAAAAAGAAGCATCGGCTACCAAATCATATCCTTGTGAAAATTCACAAAGATACAGGATAACAGAAATGAACTTTCGATGGTTTCCTAGTTAATTTCCTGTATCTTAAAGAATCAGAGATAATATTCGCACACATATTTATTCCGGAAAAGGGAGAAAATACTAAACCATATAATAATGACGGTAATGATAACATGTAAAATAATCCTAGCTAAATCTAGTTGACATCTACAAAAGTGCTAAAAACGGGTGTTTGTCTGACCAACAGGCAACTATTACCTATGCACTTTGGATTCACAGTGACAAACCTTTACATCAGTTTGAAGTTGTACATGAAAATTCGTGAAGCATTGTCTCTTCATGCATATGATATCGGTTCTGATTAGTAAGATATTCTTTTTGCACAAAATACAATACGATAAGTCCACTGGCACAGTACCATATAGGTACTGTCGAAATTTTTACCGTTTGATTCAGTTGCATTACATACGCACCTGATAATAAGATTAAAATTGAGTGTTTGGTTATATCCAGAGGACTTTAAAGCTTATCATAAAGCCAGCTATTTACTTTATCGAAATGCAGCCAGCAGGCATGTAACTGAAGATCGAGAAAGGATTACAACAGTCGTTTAGGTTTTTCCATATCCTCACTGATGCATTCAGTCAGATGGCATATCGAAGAATGTATTTTGGGATCCACATAGACTGCAAGTTTTCTGCCCCTAGGCTTGCAGAAAATTCACAGGGACTATGTTGCCAGCCATCAACCAGTTATGAGGTTTTGGAGGTTGAAGGTATCGACGTTCACGAATTGTACGGAGTATACTAACGCAATATCTTATACCAACAACTTCTATAGTGTTCGCTCTTCGAGTACCAAAGACAAAGCAAAAGACCAGATTTAGTCGTCCAAAGTACGAAATATATTTCGGGACTAAATCGAGGGCTGAAGTGAATGCTTAGCTGGCTAGTGATCATGCACGCACGTGACACGACGGAGTACCAAATGGTATGGATGCTTGAGTGGAAGTCTCCAGCTAAACAAGTCGACTTAAACAGTGAGAGTCAGCATCCAATGTTCAGTGATGATTGCTGTGGTCAATAATTTTGGGGGATTATTTACCACTACAATGTGAATTTGGCGAATTCACCATTTTTTTTCAGGTGGGTTTATTTACACAGCATAAGGAAAGACATTTCTTTGGCTGAAGTTGTTACCTGAGAAAAGAATTTAGAGAGGGTGAAAAAATCTACTAGGGAATACCACCAGCATCGAGAGGGGAGAGAATTACTCTGTGCATTTAGAGAATCGACTGAGTAGTTTTTGCTTCTCTGCTATCAACTTCCCATGGTTGGTTCCGCATGGAAGCACCCTCCATAAGTACTCCGCTTGAGGCTTGTTTTATGTGGCCTGCGTCATGGTGAACTTAGTACAGTTCTGAATGAATAAAAATCCCTACCTTTTCCTGAAGTTCGCTGCAGGATGAGTCGTTATGTGTAGATTTTCCAACTTACATTTTCAGTAGCGTGTATACAAAACTGGGGCTACAGTCTATTTATACTGCTGATTACCAAGGGAAATACCTACCACCTAACAGCACAGTGGTTAGGATTCTCGCCGACCATGCACATGGTCCGGGGTTCGATCCCCTGCCGATATCAATGGTCGGCCTGCAAAATTTGGGCTACCGATATTCATGCTGAAAATTCCCTTCTTGTACTGAAAACATGGTGTGGCATCAAGGTGTAATAAAAAATCCATAATAGAGTGAGTGGCTGATGTGAATCACCATTCACTTCTACAAGTTGATCTTCTCCTATTTCCAATTTATTCCTCATCAAATTCTCTTCTTTATCGATTAATGTTTCCTCTTTTTCTCCCACTCTCGTCCAGTTATCCAACCGCTCATCTGTTCCAGAACAAACAAAACACCTCCGAAAATGAACCACCGCATTATTTCGCTTGGTAGTTGCTAATGCAAATATGAAAAAACGGAGAACTCCACCTCAACAGCAAGGACAGAGTATGAAGTGTACAACGGATTCATGTAAGCTGATTATAAATTTATTACACTTTAGGTATAGAGAGGCGGCATTATTAATGCTAATTTGCAATTAAATGACCGATAAGTGATGATATCTCACTAGTCGGTTTGTTTATGCAAGCCAACTTGCGGTACTCTTATTGTCAGTGACACTTTCGAATGCGACTGAGTTTTCGCACAAAACTAAGAAAATGCTCGAGATCCTATTATCCCCTAGCCTTATGTGCTGGGGGAGAGGACTGCTATGTATTTTATCCGCATTTATTGTCGGACTTAGTGGCGTAGTTCCTCTTCTGTTTCTTCCAGTTAATGGTTTATGTTCAAGAAAAGGTAATTTTCATAAACATTCATTCAGCAAATAGATATTATATCTCTCAACAGATGGCTTAGTTATGCAACAGGAAGCCTTTTAGGAGAAGTATTCATACATCTTTTACCAGAGTCTTGGATTCACAGTAAATCAGAATAAATTGTTGGTCTTCACAGTACACAGGTGATATTGCTTCTTTTCAGAATTCAGGACTTTGGATGCTCACTGGACTGCTCTTATTTTTTATCATTGAGAAATTATGTGTACATGAGTCTTCAGACAAAGAGGTAGCTTTTGTATTTCTGTGTATTTATGTCGCGTTAACTGAGTTGTCTATTATTTTTTGTTCACTCTACACATACATTCACAGGATGGTATTTAACCAAGTAGGTGGTTTTGTGTTATCCATTAGTGCACTGAAATCCAGTTTAACTGCCTATTTTAGAACACACAGCCTTTGCTAACTGGGAGTAAATGGCTTTTTGTCCCATGTACACCATACGTGTGACATTTATGATATAGGCTTTTGGAATATACCATATAATTATCCATAGTATACTTCGTAGTGCACTATATGCAACTCGAACTGCTGCACATCTGTGCAAAGTTCTACGTTTAAACCAACCAGCCAGCCAGCTGTCTGTACATATTGCTATTAACGAAGTCCTGATCATAGCCAGCGGTTACTGGCACGTGTTTCAGAACTACTTTATCAGCGCCCAAGTGTCATTATTTAACTGCCTCAATTTGCTTGTAAATCTCACAGTAAGACAAAGTGTTGGAAAACTTGTCACCTGTAATTGCACAACAGTACACTTGTGCCTAGAAATATGGGTTAGCAGGCTGTCCCGATGAACACTTTGTCATGATAACTTCAAACAAGAGATTACTAGGGGTATTACAAAGCTGAAATGTTTATCCAATGCATTCCGTGACAGAACATTATAACTGACAAATGTAACAGGCTTCAATAAACGTATCTGTAGTAGTAAATTGTTACTGATTAATGAAGAGACGGAATTTCTTCTGGGTTAATCGATGAAGCATTTCAGAAGGTGTATGCAATGTGAAAAAGTTCGTTAATTCTGTCAAACTGCTTTTATTGATGCCTAAATGGAAGTTTCAGAAGATATTATGAGTGACCCGACGCAGTAGATTTGTGGGAGACTAAAGTGATCATCCGAAGCCCATCAGCTTACATAATATTCCGGCTTCATAATATCTCAAACATCTGTCTTTCGTTTTGCTAATGAGTTAACTTTAAGTACTAAGGAAGTGGCTAGGATAACTTTTTACCAAGTCCCAATACTTATGTGACAAACTATTCCCATTCTCCTATCATGTTTTGATAGCTCTGTGAAATTTAAGCATTTAATCCGTTTCTGTGCAGAATTTTGTTAGTTACTGTCTGACAGTAATCAGTTATGTATTATTAATTCTTTATCATACTCTTGAAATTTAAGGACATTTTTAGGTGGTTTATTTTTTTGGCAACATAAACTTCTGGTCATATTAGGGCTGTAGCGGAATATGTCTTGTAACACTTATTAGCACAAAAAAGCCTCACAGTTTACTGAACAAAACTCACTCTTTTGAGTATTTTATCTTAATGTTTTAGTATGCCTTCCAAAATTGCAAATTTTCGTTTTACTCTAACGTCACCCATTGTTAGGATTTCATAGTTTTAATGTAAAGGTTTTTGTCACTCGTAGGAATAATACTTTTTGCTTATAAGTGAATTTCTAATGTATAAAGTATCTGTCTTACAGGTTGAAGGTTATTTGAATCTCGTTGCCAATGTGATTGATAATTTTACTCACGGTGTGGCTATTGCAGGAAGCTATCTAGTATCACTTCGAGTAAGTTAATTCACGAAAGCTTATTGATTTTATGTATTGCTTAAATGAAAGTGAAAAGTGGTTATTGCTGATTTTTCGACTTACTAGAATTTTCAGTTTAACAGTGTTATGACTGCTCTCCAAAGATGTTGTCTAAAAGGACAACGAAAGATCCGCGATTAGATCTCCCAGCTCAGAGAACACAAAAACGATCCACCTGAGCTATAAATCTTTTCTGTTATTTTAGTTTTTATACACGCTTATTTCAGGAATCTGTCATTAGACTTTGCAATATGATTACTAAGCTAGGTAATAAACACGCTGATTTTTTGTGTAGATCGTATGTTCTCTAGGACTGGTAATTCTCGTAAAGATTGTAAGCTAACTAGTTTTACGTGTCTACACATCATAGAAGTCTTTTCGAGTTTGACCACGGATTGATATCAGTTAGAGAACCAGTGAAAAGCAGGGAGTACTGCAGGACAGCAGTTTTGTCCTACTTTAGAACTTATCGGCAGTACGCACCCACTGGAACCCGATTCAATGGTCCATGAATTCTGACTTCTACCAACTCGTGATTTAAACGCGACAAATCGAATCCTTACAAAATCAACTCTTGAGAATTAATCTGATTCTCGCTAGTGATTTGCTACAGGACTGAGTTTCCTGGAGTTCTAGTGAAAAGTCGTGGCCAGTGAGGTCCATCCAGTCAAGTGTGAGAATGGAGTTCCCGCCGATGACAGTGGTTGGTGGTCGCGCTAAAATCACGAATTGGTAGAAGTTAGAATTCATGATTTGGCCATTGAATCGGGTCCCAGTGGCTGAATGGTATACGAGCTTGCATTGTAACTGGAAGGTCCTGGGTTCGAAACCTAGAAGTCTTTTATCTGGTGTTAGCCAAATGCTACTGCTTTAAATATGCTTTAATTTACTTTAAAAAAATATGTAAATGCATCCTTGGTGACGGATAAGTAGACTCTTACCCACATAACACGTTTCTAACTGGTTGGTTTAGATCTTTACTGTTGTTTTGTCTTGTTTCATGATCACACCTCCACCTTATGTGTAATTACTAGCTTCATTTCCTATGGAGTTCTTATATTAAGCATATTTTCAGGTATTACTTTCTATAGCATTTCAAAGCGATGCTGCACACTTCCCTAATTAACATTTGACGTGACTTTTGCACGAATATATGCTACATTTGCTTGATTTGAGGCTGAGCACAGTACCAAATTTTCCTGGTCATGAACGATTGCAGTTTTAAATGTTTCTTATTCTCGCCGCTAATTTGATTTGTTAGGAAAGCCTCTTAAAAACAAGCTTCCATTATTACAGTATCTGTCTCAGATGTTGTTTTTGCTGCAACCAACTTCGCGCTTCAAAATTTATAGCTAACAGAACTACTTTAAAAAACATTTCCAGCCAGTTAGTTTAACTTATAAATCTTACCAACTAGTCCACGTAATTAAACGCTTATCTTCATCTACCTTGCTATATTTCTTGACGTAAAAGCAGAATTCTAGTCCGTTGTTCGAAAACGTTTGCATTAGTGTCGTCAGAATACTGAAATACAGTATGCTCATCACAACAATCTCGAAAATCATACTGCTAAGCAAGGCCTTATGGAGAGCTGTCGTCTGATGCCCACTATCATCGTCTTTACACTTTAGGCGTACTGACAGATGTGATGTTGATTGATTTCGATGTTTTAGAAACTAAGTTCATACCTTGGAAATGTCTCATCAATATACAGTAATCAAATGATTTGGAGTCTCTTAAACACATGCCTTTCGCACCTGTTACATAAGAGATAGAAATGCATTTGCTGCTGATGAAATCTAAGCTTACATACACAAGATTCCCTTGGCATTTGCCAACTTGTTTTAATCTTAGGCGTAGTTGGGGTATCTAGCTTTGTGTATACTGTGCAGCGATTCTCTCTGTTTCATTTTTCAGTTGATGTATGGCAGCTCAGAGTATCGATTAGGGTTGGGTGTATTCACTCCCTGTCATCGCCTAAATCCTGACAGGCTTTGCTAGTCTTCATTTAATTGTCGTTTTGTAAACACTTTTACATTGCATGTTTGCTCCCCGTTTTTGTTTTTGGACCTTTTTGAAGGAGAACAACTTGAACTGGTACACTTGTGTGCGTGGTTCTACTTTGATCGTCCAGTCATTCGCCTTTCTAGTTGTTCACCAAGTTTTTTTTGAACTGATTTAATTGTTAAAAGTATGATTATGAGTAATTGATTAGAATATGTATGTATCATCATACCATGGGTATATGACTTTACTTTCTATGGTGTACGGTATTACTTAATACTTGTGTAAATCATATCTTTGCTATGCAGTCAATTTCTTCATTTGATGTTTATCAACACTGTCTTATTTTAGTTGGGTATTCTGACAACCACCTGCATACTAGTACATGAAGTTCCTCATGAGATGGCTGATTTTGTTATTTTATTACGAAGTGGATTCACTCGATGGGAAGCTGCCAAGGCTCAGGTAGGTAGGCTATAGTTTTAATTCATTCACTCAGTGCTTTAAATTTATTTTTTTTAATGTATTTATATACCACAATAACATAGTCATCCTAACTAGTTTATGTTTGTTTTGTCTATTATTATATGGATGTACTTAAACTGTATTAGGCGATGTCAAATATTGCGAGACTGTGGTCTATTGGATTTTTCATGAAGTTAACGTAGACTAAAACCCAGGTGAGTTTATGAGGATCCTAAGACGATACCTGCTGAGGGTGAAATTCTAGCGATAGCACCATGAATAAAACTTACCCAATAGGGGTGTGTTTGTTTTTGATCATAGATGTCTACGGTCTCTTTCTCACGTTAGGGGGTGGTATAATAAGGTAAGTAATGTCGATGTTGGGTTAGGCGTAGAGTGTTGCGCAAAGAGGGAAAATCAATCGACGAGGCTATAAAGTTACATAAATTGAGATGGCTAGGTCACGTGCTGCTCATGCCTAGCCATCGCCCCCCCCCCCGACGGACGGGCATTACTAGCTGATATAGTTGCAGGTTGGAAAAGAGTAAGTGGTGCCATGCCAAACAAAAAATTCATGGGATCAATCCATGAAATCCTTGACAGCTAAACTGGGTCAGGTAGGGAGATGCAGACTTCCGGGTTGGCGCCCACCCTCGGGACTCTAAGAATCAATGATGGCTGGAGAAAATAGGTGGTGACATGGCTCAAAATCGTTGTCAATGGCTTACGCAGATGTATTCGGTCTGTGTAATCTTCCATATTCCTTTCTACCATTACTCATTCTGTTTCACTCTTATACTTGTCAAAACTCTCTTGATTCTCTTCACTCTCATCTTATTCTCTACATTTGTGTGGTATTTGGAACGTGGCAACTGGAACTGCTGCACTTCAGTGCCAAGTTCTATGTTGAATCCAAACAGACAGACAGTTTGCTTCAGTCACTCTTGAATAATCTTTTTAATTTGAAGATGGTTTTGATAAACGATGTACAAGTACGAATAACAACTGTTATTTTCGTCTTCATCCTTCACTAGCATCTTGTCCAGCTGTTGTCACTCCTGTTTATTTCTTCATAGTCAACATAACTGTCGATGAATAGTTTCACTCTAAACAATGCTAATCTCTGAGCTGCTTAGGTCAGCGCATAGGAAGAATGCTGTATACTTTTATCTGTTAATGACTACTACCGAGTGTCTATCAATAAGATTTTTGAAAAACGTGGACATTGTGTTAGTATGTAATTCCATAATATTTTTTTAATTATATAGATCAAACTTTTCCCCACTCCTTTGCATGTCCAGTAGAACATAAAGCTCTAGGCATGAATTCCTGAAGCTTCAGTAGTCGTGGAGGTGGTTAGCCTGGCGATGCCCGGTGTTTCCTCTTCCCCAAGTTTATTATCAGCTAGTAAACTAGGCGAGGTCTAGGAGTGAGTCGTCCAGGAATCGAACCGCGGACCATGTGCAGCGTTGGCGAGCACTGCAGACCACACAGGGAAACAGTAGTAATTACTGAATGGTGTTTTAAACACAATGTTGTTTAGTTCATTCATAATCATATCAAATAAAATTACACAACTTTGCAACTTGATTTCTATAGTTTTGTCTCATGTTTTCTGTTCGTTGGAAATAGGCAGTCGAATTTTTCAAACTTCCTAGACAGATGCTGAACTATTCGCTTGTATTTTGATTTGACACTAGTAACTAGTGTGATGCCTCTAGTCCTCTCTTTGGTGCAGACTGAATTCTATCAGTCAGGTTGTAATGTGGCCACCATTCTAGGTAGCTCGCCATCACGGTGTACATTGTTTGTGATGATATTAGATGGTTGGAGGCAATCGGCAGGAAGCCTTGGACCTAGGTTTCGTGCTAGTTGGCACTCTTCAGCAAGGCGTATCTGCAACCTTGAAGGAACTCATGTCTCTTCTGAGATTCGAACCCGCGTCACCCGGTGCTGCAGTCAGAGACGTTACCACTGAGCTATTCGGGCTCGCGATTGACCTCCTGTAGGACTGTAGTGGATATTTTGATTTGACACTAGTAACTAGTGTGATGCGTCTAGTCCTCTCTTTGGTGCAGACTGAATTCTATCATCACATCACATCTAATATCATCACAAACAATGTACACCGTGATGGCGAGCTACCTAGAATGGTGGCCACATTACAACCTGACTGATAGAATTCAGTCTGCACCAAAGAGAGGACTAGACGCATCACACTAGTTACTAGTGTCAAATCAAAATATCCACTACAGTTCTACAGGAGGTCAATCGCGAGCCCGAATAGCTCAGTGGTAACGTCTCTGACTGCAGCACCGGGTGACGCGGGTTCGAATCTCAGAAGAGACATGAGTTCCTTCAAGGTTGCAGATACGCCTTGCTGAAGAGTGCCAACTAGCACGAAACCTAGGTCCAAGGCTTCCTGTCGATTGCCTCCAACCATCTCATATTCGCTTGTATGCTTGTGTAACCGTGTGTGGTGATATAGTGCTTTAGGGCTTTTTCTAGATTTTGTATTTTTTAGGGTCTACTGGTCTTGAATTAGCCGGGTTTATTGCTGTGTTAATCCAAATGATCCTGGCATACTACTTTGACGTATGTTTTCAAACCCGCATTATCAGTGTATGCGGTATTAGATAAACTAAGTTATTTTGTCTAATGGGCTCTACATGATCCTCCTAAGCAACATAACTCATTTTCAGGCGATCTTGTTCAGAATGCTGAGCTAAGTCTTGGAAATTCCGTCTATCTGTATAGCAGCGCTACGATGTCACTCTGTTTTGTGTTGTCATCTTTCTGTATACATTTAGTATTTATGTAACTGTAACTGGTAGTTTTTTTGAATTTTTATTCTTATACTGTCTCAAGTACTTCCGTCTCTCACTAATTCGTGTTTATGCAATGAGCTCTTGTGTGTTGTTCAATCACTAGTTACTCATCATCTCCATCAATCTAGGATTTAAAGATAATCAGGATTTTGATATGCATGAAGGTGTTATAGACATGCATCCTAGAGAGAGACCTTTCGACCCTGAGTATGCAGACTAGGTTGTCTTATTGTCCGATAGCATGCAGGCTGCCAAAATCGTACTTAATCAGTTGGCGATTAGTGTCTGTAAGTATGGTGTATGCTTTGCACCGTCTAAGTGAAAAGTACTGTAATAAGATTGGCAAGAGCCTGTACTTGCACCTAATCTTGCAGGTGAACCGCTTGAAGTCATTGATAAGTTCGTGTATCTGAGTAGTTGTATGAGTGCTGGCGGTGGGGTGGTGGATGAGATTTCCAACCGTATCATGAACGCTAGGGTGGTATACGTTAACATGAGCCACCTCTGGCACCGTCGCGACATTAGCCTGGTTGTCAAAAGTCGGCTGTAAGGTGCTTCGGTGTGCGCAGTCTTGCTCTACGCCTGTGAAACCTGGCCTGTCCGAGCTGAGAATGTGCGGCGACTCTGCGTATTTTGACCATCACTGTTTCCGCAGGATTGCCTGCGTTCAAAAGCATCATCGCGTGAGTAATTCTAAGGTCCGGTGGCGTGTGTCTGAACACAGTGGAGATCACCATTCGTTGAGTGTCGCCATTTGGAAACACCAGCTTCGGTGGCTTGGACATGTGCTGTGTGAATGTCATTCCAGGGGCTTCCGTACAGGTCTATGTTCGCTAAGCCTGTGATGGGATGGAAAAAAGCATAGAGGTGGTCAGTCTATGACGTGACGTTATGGGATGAAGATTTGTGTAGGTTAGCATCGGTTGGTGCGTCACGACTCCCTGGTTGGGTCTCGAAAGATAGCTCGAATTGATGGCTCAAAACGTTATCGGATATGGGCAAGAATCGCAATCAATGGCAAACGTGTTTCAAATTCCTTCTTTCTTCCCTTTCTTACAATAATTGGCGAATGTTGTTTGAACTTGTTGAGTATGACTGTTTTCCTTCCAGATGAATTACTTTATCCATTCTCCTGTCTGTCTGTCTGTTTTCGACATAGAACTTTGCACATATGTGCGGCTGTTCAAGTCGCCACACTCCGTGTAGCATACAAAGCAAGAGAAGGAAGTAAGGGAAATGCATATTAGGGACAGTAAATAGAGGTGTGAGACAAAGGAATAGTAATAACGAAGAACAATATAGTTTCATTGGAAATTATATGTCACAAGGAGTGGATGCATCTGCGCCAGCCATTGAGAACGAGGATTTTGAGCCATGTCACCAATTGTTTCCAACCATTGGTTTTTACCGTCCTGAGGACCCCAACAAGACAGGAAGTCTACACCTTCCTACGTGGCTTAGACTAACTGTTGTAGATTTCATTGACTGGTGCCATGTTTTGGTTTGACCACCAAGTGCTAGCTCTTTTCCAGCTAACACTGCCCGTCGAGGAAGGCGATAACTAGGCATACGTAATACATGTCCTAACCATCTCAGTCGATGTAATTTCACAGTTTCGTCGATTGATTTCCCCTCCTTCCCTACCACTCGACCGATGCCTAACCTCAATATTGCTCACCTTATTATACCACTTAACAGACACGGAAGATAGAACGCAGACACCTATGATCGAAGACAGCTAATCTTTTCATGTCTTCCACTCTCAATGGCCAGGTCTTACAGCCATAAAGGAGGACGGAGCGGACTGATGAGCAGTACACCCGCCCTTTGGTCGATAGTCGGATATCACGTCTACGCCAGAGACGGTGTAAACTGGCATATGGGAAACTATTGTTTTATTGTTCCAAGTTTTTTTTGTGTTTAAATAAATAAAATAAGTAAATATCTCTCTAGATCAGTTAGTAAAACGTTCATCACCACAAAACTCCAGTTAATCTTAACTATTAGAAAGATGTCTTCATTTCATGTAAAAGATGAGCTCCTACGTCTGGTTACCTTTATGTGCACTTATCAGTTCATCTACTCTAGTGGTACAAAATGCATTAGCTGTAGTCGGACAGTGCACATACAAATTGTAGCATTGTTTTATTAAGGTCGAAAAATGGCCTGTAA